TAGAAGTGATGGCGATTGGTGGTCTAGTAGAAGTGATGGCGGTTGGTGGTCTAGTAGAAGTGATGGCGGTTGGTGGTCTAGTAGAAGTGATGGCGGTTGGTGGTCTAGTAGAAGTGATGGCGGTTGGTGGTCTAGTAGAAGTGATGGCGGTTGGTGGTCTAACGCATTCCACTTCCGCCCACAAGATCAGGTTTCGGTCCCATGATGGAGCTTTTTGTTTTTGTTTTTCTTTTGAAGCAACTTCTAGCATTTTGCATGCTAGTTAATTGAAACATCTTGGTCAAGCGAAGGCCATACAGGCTAAACTAGGACAAGTACAGGCCTGCCCAGGTCAAGGGATATATTGCGATCCAAAACGATCGAGAAATGACTTTTTTGCTTCTCGATTTTTAGCTAATTGACTAACAACTGTAAATCTAGATTGCATATATTGAGTTGTCCAGTTATGAATGCGCGTTTTTACTATTTTGTAAATTTCTCAAGATATCGAACAGATATATATGAGTGTTATATATCATTCGAAAGCTGAAGATCTCCTCGGCATTTTGGAATAAAAAAGTTTTTCAATTCATCCAACTTTTTGGGAAATTGACTGCACAAAGGGAGAGGTGGTCGTTTTCGAAAAAACCCATTTCAGCTTAGCTATTCCTCAAGTTTTATGGTGTAAAATAACCGCCCAGAAAAGAAAAGAAAAGTAAAGATGCTCTGAAATTGTTATATTTTTTTAAAAAGTTGTATTGATATATCTATTGGCCAAACATCAAACGGTTAGCTCAATTTAAGCGGAGCCAAAACTTGATCCAAAGGCACCCTTCCATTTTTTGGCCACCTCTTCTTCTGTGCAGCCAATTTGCTCAAAAGCTGAACAAATTCAAAAACCTTTTATTATTAAAATGTAGAGGAGATCTTCAGCTTTCGAATAATACTCATATATATCTTTTCTTGATTTCGGTATCTTGAGAAATTTACAAAATAGTAAAAAACGCAAAAATAGACAACCCAATATTATTGGGTTGGTGGAAAAGTTCTTTCCGATTTTTTGGGAGAGTACCTTAAATCTGTCCAATTTTGACGTTTTATAGCTCATCCTAAAGCTGAATTCAAGACGGATCGATTGATAAACAAAACGCGCATTCATAACTGGATAATCCAATATTTACAAAACTCATGAATCATTCAAAAAATTCTGTATTATTTGTACCACATTATTCATGAATAATTGTAATAAATGTATTGTCTTTGAGATTCAGCAAGTAACTCAAAATTTGAGTTCTGCAACTAAATCAAAGGATAATCGATTTGCAGAACCACGCGTTCCCGTAGAGGTGAATTTGAGATGATGAAGAGCTCATAAAGAAGAGATTCACGAGATTTCAATGTTTTTCCCAACTTTAACATTTCTATTTTAATTTCATTTATCTTTTAAACTTTACCGAGTAATCCACTGGCTTATTTGAGTAATCTTTCAAAATTCTATTCTTTGTCAAAACTTTTTTCGCTCACTTCCGATCAGTGCTCACGATTTGGCACTCATCTCCCATAAATTTGTGATTCTATTGTGTTCCAGTTTGTCTCATTTGTGCTTTCTTTGTATTAATATTTCCATTTTCTTTACTGATTTCAATTCATTTCAATTCATCTCATACGCCAACCTTCCATTTCCTCTAAAAGCCCCCACAGTTTCTTTTTGAAGGGCGCCTCCAGAAGGGCGCCTCCAGAAGGGCGCCTCCAGAAGGGCGCCTCCAGAAGGGCGCCTCCAGAAGGGCGCCTCCAGAAGGGCGCCTCCAGAAGGGCGCCTCCAGAAGGGCGCCTCCAGAAGGGCGCCTCCAGAAGGGGGCTTTTTCTCATACGCCAACCTTCCATTTCCTCTAAAAGCCCCCACAGTTTCTTTTTTAATCGAGTTATTAAATTCTGGAACATTTTACCCCCTGATGTTCGTGATATTTCCACCTTGGCTAGATTTAAAGCCGCAATTTCGGCAATTGATTTGACTGCTCTGTGATTCTTTCTTGAGGGGATTTATCTTTTGGGTGTGTTTTGAGTGGTGTCCCGGGTGATTATTGTGATCTTGTTTTGTCGTTATTCAACTCAATAAAACATATATATATATATATTTCAATTCGTGATTGTTTATGCAGCTTATTTGGTAAAATTTCGATCAGAAAAATTTCCCGATCAAAATATCCGATATTGAGAACAGTTTGGAGAGAAATGAAAATAGAAAATAAAGAAAAATGTTGGATTTGAGCGAAATTACAACTAATTTCAATATAGCGATATCACTTTTTTTCTGGACATTTCTTCAAATCGAGAATCTTTTTTGCCTAAAACACTTTCGCTACTTTTAACTGTGCAGATCACTTGTTTATGTCAAACAATTTCTCTCACAGCTTTCTTTTTTTAATCGAGTTATGAAATTGTGGAACCTTTTACCCGGTCATTTTCGTGGTATTCACACTTTGGCTAGATTTAAAGCCGCGATTTCGGTTTTGCAATTGATTTGACTGCTCTGTGATTCTTTCTTGAGGGGATCTTTTTCTCTTTTTGGATTTGTTTTGAGTGGTGTCCTGGGTGATTATTGTGATTATTGTGATTATTGTGATTATTGTGATCTTTGTTTTGTCGCTATTCAACTGAAAGCATATACAATCTAAAGCATATACAATTTGCATTCGTGTTTTTTTTGAAAAGCTCAACTTTTCATAGATAAATATCCGTTTATTAATCGGCAATATTCAAAAATAAAAGTCCTCTCTTGCGCAAATAGTTTATGTATATAATTTATCAGTTTTTTTTTTCTTGTCATTCTTTTTAGCAAAAAATCCTACAGAACCGACTTTTTGGGGACTAAAAAACAAAAAAAAAAAAAAGTTTTTCAAAATTCTCTCATTTAGTCATTTCCCCAAAACAAAATCGAAACATTTTTTTAAAGGAACTAGAAATTGAAAAAAATTGTTAGAAATTTGTTTGAAATTTGTTATCGATAGCTTTTTCACTGTGAAATTAGCTGTGAAATTAGCTTTTCTGTAAAAGAAAGTTCAGTGAAAAAGTTATTTGTTCTATATTTCTTTACAAAAAAACAAAAAAAATATTCTCTGTAAAAAAAAAAGAAAATTCTGCAGGAGACAGATTCAAATGGACAAAAAAATGGGCGTAAAATCGTAAAAGAGAAAAACGATTAATGTTTTGGGCAAAAAAAAAAAAAAGAACTCGGCCCTGTACGCGAAAAACGTAAAAAAACAAAGGAAAATCAATAAATCAAAAAACTTATAAAAACCAAAAATAAAAGAAATCTTTAAAATAATTCTAATAGAAATATCATCAAAAACTCTACGGATTTAAAGGGGATAAATTTAAATTAAAAGAAAGTTCTCATTTTGTCGTCGGGGGAGAAATAAACGGGGAACTAAAAAAACAGATTTAATTAATCAATTAATCAATTAATCAATTAATCAATTAATCAATTAATCAATTAATCAATTAATCAATTTATAAATTTATAAATTTATAAATTTATTGCCAATGAGATGAATTTAAAAGATTTTTACTTAAGAAAAAGCTTTGAAGAATTGCAAATTTTACGTAAACGCACAGCTTCTAGTGCATCAAAACTGAGAGCGCAGTGCAATAGAATGCGTGTGTTTACGTGTCGATGGCGATCATCGACACCGCGATTTGAAATGGCGATCATCGACACCGCGATTTGAAATGGCGATCATCGACACCGCGATTTGAAATGGCGATCATCGACACCGCGATTTGAAATGGCGATCATCGACACCGCGATTTGAAATGGCGATCATCGACACCGCGATTTGAAATGGCGATCATCTTTCTAGCTTAGGGATTACTATACTATCACCATAATCAATATAAATAACGTTAAATAACGTTAATTAATTTGTCTTAATTCACTTCTTCAAAGCCTTTTCTTGAGCCGATTTTTTGCGTATCGTATTTCGTTTTTAAAAGTTTAATTGAAATTTTCAAAAAAAAAATTACAACAAAATACGGTTTTCCTTAAAAAAAAAAAAAAAAGTAAAACTTTTCATATAATTTGTTTGCCCGACGACCGGGGGAATTTCGCTGAGAGGCACATGGTATTTCCTATTTTTTTTAAAGAAAAAAAACTACAGATAAAAATTCATAAACTTAGATAAAGAAAAAAAAAATCGTTTAGCAACAAATATCATAGAATATTTAAAAACAGAAAATATTTTTTAAAAAAAAAACAAGAAAAACCGCAAAACCCACCTAAAAAAAAACGGAAATATAATAAAGAAATAAAGAAAAATTTAAAGGGGAAATTGATGAGCAAGACTCGGCTCACGCGGGTTTTTTTTTTCTTTTTGCTAGAACGATCATATAAAACTATCATCAAAATTGAAAAAAATGACTCTTAGAGAGAAATTTGTATATCTCAATGAGAAACAACTGAATTTTATGGGGGGTTTTCTTTTTCCTATTTCATTTGTTATTTTGTGTTGTATGGAAGGAACATGTATGCACGAGCACCGCGTATGGTAGAGGGAGGAGAGTGGGCAACAAAGTCGAGGAGAGTGAGGGCAACACACCTGAAAATTCGGATCTACAACTCGTGCTTTTACGCGCATCCTTTTCCACTTGCCAAGCTATAAAATTGGTAATACAGAAATCCTTACTATATAGAGTGATTCAAAATTATAGCAACACGGGTCGGCTTCAATTAAGATGCCATTTTCCGAGTGGCCACCAAGCTCTGCTGATCTTCACCCCCTTGATTATTTTGGATTGATTGTCTGGAGTGTTTTGGAAACAAAAAGCTTGCTCAAAGGCGCACAAAAAACATTAATTCTTTGAAGAAATCGTTGATGAAAGCCTGAGATGAGTTGAATAAAGCCTACCGTAAATACTGTAATAGTACCCCAGCCGCCTCGTACAGTCGCGTAGTCGCAAAAGTTTTTTCGTATTTCATTTTTTTCAAAGCGTCCGTACTATAAGATATTGAAATCGTACCGTTATTTGTGTTTTGGCGTTGGTGTCGAGAGCATATTGGAGGTGATTTGAAACAAGTCGGGTTTCCTCGTGTGCTCAACCTAAATCAATATACATTTTTCTTGCTTTATGCTTTAAAGAAAAAAAAAACTCACCACTCCAGGTCCACCAAGTGGCGGTTGCCAAACCTCGTAGCCGAGTTTCGTCAACTCACTCGAAATCATGTCCAACAGCGTTTGCGGAGTGTCTGAAAGTGAAAGTGGTTTTCTTTATTCCTTTTAATTTCAAAATTTTTCTCACCTGGCTTTAAAAAAGCGAAAACCGATCCACCACCGCCAGCTCCGGTCATCTTTGGGTGAATTCCATATCTCAAAATTTGTTTATAGCCTTAAAGTTCAATACTTATACAATATACTATTCAATATTTCATAATTCATAACAAAACGAATTCCCTCACCTTGCTAACGTTGTGCAAATTTGATCAACTTTTGGATGTCCAACTCCAAGCCCAATCAACAATTGATTATTGATTCGGCACAAGTCCTAAAATTTTTCCATACAAAACATAATAATGTTTAATATTTTTTCGATTTTTATTTTGTATTTTAATTATTTCTATTTATTTCTAAAGCTAAAGCACACAACGCTGAATCACGAAATCACGTCAGCATTGTAGAAAAAGAAAAAGTTTGCAAAAAGTTTCTATTACTTTTTCTTTTTCTATCTGGAAATATTTTGAAGTATATTATATAAATATAAAGGAAGCTTAAAAGCTTAACATTTTTCAATCACCGCTAATTGCAATTCGCGACACAATAAGGCCGGGAATTCATTCGATCAACCAAAAAAAAAATGCCAACCAAAGTCGTGGAGTCGGTTAAATTGGAAAACTGATCGATATCGATTAAAATAGACAGCCAAAGGGCTCACGTCATTTCAGGACATTTACATAGAATTAGTGGCACTCTTCGACAAAATCGATTACCCTACCTAGTTCAATTTTTTTTTTATCTAATCCCCAACTTTTTCGCATTTCTGATTGATGGAATGAATGAAATAGAAAAAAAGAAAAAAGAAAGTAAGAAAGAAAGGAAGAAAGAAAGAAAGAGATAAAGAAATAGGCTAGACGAATCACTCACATTGAGCTTGGTGAACGTGTCGATGAGTTCGCCTTTATCGGAGGCTGCTGAAATGGCTGAGGCTGAGGAGCCGCGTTTCCCGCCTGCCACATACGAAGCCAATGATGTTGATCTTACCGAACCGCCCCTTGTTGGCTGCAAAAAAACACAAATCTTCTTTTTACACTTTTACGCACTATTTCTTTTTGGGTTTGTTTTTTTTTTTCTGTGCCAACGTTCCCAAAATGAAGCTGACACCACTTTTTAACGAAAAAATGTTAGCTCGTCAAGCAGATACACAGTTTTTACGGTAGAATCTCAGTCTTGTTACAGTATGCTGAAAAGATTTAGCCGCCATGGCCAACTGGCTAAGAAGTTTGTTTCTTAGTCGGGAGGTCAAGGGTTCAATCCCGCCGGCTGGATTATTTATTTTTAAAGACTGAATACTTTTGCATACTGTAGCGAGTACTGAAACTTTACAGAACAGAGTTCTTGAACAATAAGGCAATGTATCTGCTTTCGGAGAAGCTTTTCTTGTGTGCTAAGCGAGATTTTGCGATGGGGACTTGGTGCGAAAATAATAATAAAGCCGACTTTTTATAGCCAAGGGATTAGCTGCTGGACAAGAAAATTTTCAGTGTAGAAAAAGAGCATTTCACATTGGAATTGGAAAATTTTGGCGCTTAGAAAAGGGATTTATGAAATGCTCTTTGATTTGATTTAAAAGAAAAGAAAAATCAAAAGAAAAATGATAGAGAAGCATACGCTGAGTGATGGAGAGAGCGGCGGAGGCACCTGGCAACCGTCGGTTTTTTTTGTTGTTGTTTTTATTTCAATAAAAAATTGTTAGTTTTTATCTGCTACACTAAATTTCTAATTCTCTAGGAAAAGCCAGAAAAAAACTAACAATAAACCCATAGATTTACTTAAAAAGATCCGAGAAATCTAGAAAAAAAACAGCAACATCCCAAGCTTTACCCCTAGAAAAGTTCAGCACTAGACTGCTATATCGTCAATCGTTTTTTTCGATAAAACTTTTAATTCTAGAATCTAGATTTAATAAAAGTCTTTTAATTATACGGTAGTCTAGGATTTAAATGACTCATCTTACATTTAAAGTAGATTGAAGTGTATAGTGACCAGTATCAAACTTTTCAAATTAGTGACGTAACCAAAAAAAAAAGTTAAAAGGAACTTAAAAAGAAGTTAATTTCAAATTATTTGGTTACATCAGCTGTTAGAGAATTGATTAGATGTTGAAAAAAAAATGGGAGATTGGATTGGGGGAAAATTTGAAGCAATTGGGGTAGAGAGAGCCACCTGTAGCGAGTGGTGATCGCCATCTGACGAGAGACCGCCATCGTTGGAAAGCCAGCGCATCTTGATCGAGGGTACATTCGCCTGCAACACACAAAAACCCGTCAAACACCAGCCACCATTGAGGGGATTTATGAGGATATACAGGGGAATTAAACAGGGGAGTTGAACAGAGATCGGGGACAGGGAACGCCACAATTCAGCACACCCCCCATCCATCTCGATTCGACCATATCTGGGTACTTTATTATTGATTATAGGTTTGCCGTAAAATAGAAAATAGAGCTTATTGATTATTGATTATTGTAGATTCGTTGCAAAAACACCTCTTTTTTGGAGACAAAATAGAATCTACAGCAACTACAGCGTCTACAGCAGTTCGTTGCTTCTTAGTTTATTGATTATTCTTCTCAAAATTTATTTATATGTTAGTTTAATACAGTTTAGATCTGACTTATTAAGAATTTTTTTGATTTATTAATACCCTGTTGGGCGAATCGAGTAGACTCTTTCCAAAAAATGGACGCAAAAACAAAAAAATGGCTTTCTAGAAAGCGGGTAAGCCACATGGCGCTTCACATAGAATTAGTCGTTTTTAAACCAATAATTTTCAACAAAGGAAAAGATCTTTTTAGTGATATGAATGGGAAAAGGGATGTGGTGGAATGGGAGTCGAAAGAAAAGAAAAAACAGACCTGCAAGGAGTGATGATCGTGCTCGGAGCAGCCGCCATTCTCACTCGGTCCTCCCTCGCCGTTTTCCTCGGGTCGATGCAAGATCTTTGCCGCCTAGAGAAATACTATTATATTATTTTCTACTATTATATTATTTTCTACTATTATATTATTTTCTAGTACTATATTATTTTCTACTATTATTTTATTTTCTACTATTACATTATTTGCAAAATATTAGGTTACTAAGAAAGTCGTCTTTGCACAGATTTGAAATCGAATTTCTTCAAATTTCTTCAAAAACAAATTCACTAATTCAAGAACAATTTGTTCTATTTATTTACAAGTCGACTCCAAGAAATTACTCGTAAAAAATGAGTGCAGGTTTCCTTTAAAATTTTTGAAAAAGTAATATTTTCTAGTTTAAGCTTTTTCTACAAACTTTCTTTCCAATCTAATGTTTAATTATGTAGATAGATTTTGTCAAAATACCTCAAATATCCAAAATTTTAAAGCTTAGCTTTAAAGTTACTTTACAGAAACAAACGCAACCAACCTCAATAGAGATAGCGTCTATCGATGTGAAAATCCCCTCGACGACGGATGGAAACTAAAATAAAGCAAAATTATTAGCCAACAATCCAACAATCCAACAATCCAACAATTCAACAATTCAACAATCCAACAATCCAACAATCCAACAAACCTTTTTGAGTCTCTCTTTCACCGTTTGCACCATTCTCGACGTGTTTCGCTCAACTTTTGAGTTCACCAATATTACCCGCAATTCCGGCAAACTAAATGAAGAAATTAGATGAAGAATAAAGAAAACTCACTTTTTCAAATGCTCAATCCGCGTTCCCGGCTTGTAGCTGGCGACTCCACCTGAAAATTTCATTGTGAAAAGATTTTTTTCGAAACATAAAAGTCACACTTTTGTTACTCCAGCCTAAAAGCAAAGATTTCCGTTTTTATCTTTATAATCTTTTTTGGTGAGAGTTGAAAGAACTGAAAGAATTAAGAATTAAGAATTAAGAAATAAGAACGAATTTTGACGGTGATTGTTTTCCCAAATCTCACCATGAAACTAGGAGATTTTCGGTGTGAAAACCAATAGATTTCTAATGGAAAAATGACCATCTCTTGGTCAATTTTACTTGAATCTTTTTGATTTTAATTTCAATCATTAGAAAATTCAATTCTACATCTATTGATATCAAAATGAAAAAAGATTGAAGTGAAATTGGCTGAAATTGGCTGAAATTGGCTGAGATGCAATATTTTCGTGATGTTTACACCGAAAATTCCTAGATTTGGGGTAGGCTAGTTTCCGCAATTTTTTTTGCGCAACAGGGTCATTTGGGCGCCAACCTTCTGGTCAGCCAACCTTTGATTTGGCCATTTTGTAGATCTCAAAATGCAACTAAATGGACCAAAATCATAAAGATTAGCCCACTTAGAAGAAAGTTATGCCGAGTTGCGCAAACGACCCAGTTGCGCAAATGACCCTGTTGCGCAAAAAAAAGTTGCGGAAACTAGCCTACCCCATGGTTTATATGAAACAAACGATGAATGAGTGTAAACAAAAAAAATAATAGCAGAAAAAGCGAAAACTTATTTTGAAATGAAAAAAAAAGAAAGAAATGAGGCTGGGAAAGCGAATCGGTTTGGCCACATCCGACTCATGCACTTTGAAAACCCTATTTAGAGAACTTAAATATTAGTTACAATATGCGCAAAAATGATTTTTCTTTTCTTAAAACATGCGAGTGGAAATTTGCATGCGAAGTGGATGCGGAGGAGACCGCGCAAGCTCTAAACGCTATCTTTTAAAAGGTAACTCGTTCTTTCTTTGCTTCTTTCCTTTTCCTTTGCTAGATTTGCCCGGAATCCCCGCACCACACCTTTTCAATAAAATTCTTTGATGTTTTTTGTTTAGAGAAAATGAAAGCAATTTTCGGACACACAGGACCACATGGATACGCACGGACAAACGGGGTACATCATCGAGAAAAGGCTATCAGACATTTGATACGCGCCCTGGATGGCTATCGAACATTTCGATAGCCATTTCGATAGCATTTCCAACTTTGTACTCAAATTTCTTCACGTTTGACTGTTCAATTTAAATGTTCTTGATATTACTAGATGCGCCAAGTCTTTCTCTATCGATTGATAGAAAAACTATTTAAATTGAACAGCCCAAAACTAAGATATTTGAGTTTTTCAAATTGAACAGCTTAAGATCAAGAAATTTGAGGTTAAAGTTGGATTGCTAATGGCAATGGCGTATCAAATGTCTGACAATCCTACCGAAAGTGAGAAGAAAACACGACCGCCAATAGAGACAAATCAGAAAAAAATTCTAGAAAAAGAAGCTGAGTCGAGCGTTGAATTGAACCAAGAACAGTTGAATTCAAAAAGATATAGAGTTGATTGAGTTTCATTAATCAATTACAGAAGCGGATTCTAATCAGTAATTCTAAGCTGGCAGAGTTGATGCAATTCTTGGTATTGTTATGCGATTACAAGAAGTTTATTCAGTTTTGAGTCAAGCTTAGCTGACATTCTGAACTCTGAAAGAGTTAGAACTTATTTTTAACTTACAGAAGACTATTGCTATTGCTATTGCTATTTTCAACAAGGTTCTGGGCCTGTAAGCTAAGTCAAACACAGGTATTGGCCTTGCTTCATCTGGCTACAACCAACACTTTTAAAACTGGTTAAAGTAAGGTATAAGGCTTCTCTGGCAATGGGATACGTGTCTTTGTAGCTCATTGGCAGAACATTCGCCTGGTAAGCGGCCCGGTAGGCGAGAGATCGCGGGTTCAAATCCCGGCGCCGGATGCTTTGGATTCCCAGCCTCAAAGGACCTACGTGTCAGGCCAGTGCCTGTCCAACTGTAACAAGTTCAGATGCTCAATCGGTTCAATTCAACATCATTCCTAATCCAGAAAAAGCAAGAGATAGACGAGTGAGTGAGAGAGAAAAGAGAGAAGCGTTTGGGCAAAGAGAGAGAGAGAATAACCACACGAACACGAGACCGCGATGGTCACCCCGTTCATGCCTTAGCGGGGCAGGCCACTGCGCGCCAAATTACCGTAACATCCGACAAAGGCGAGATGGCTGATCGATTGCCAACCGTAATTGCGATGTGTGGCTCCTGCAAAACGACAAGAGACCTCACCGAGAAATTACACGCAAATTTTCCCTTGACTTTGATTTGCAGATTTGCAGACTTTGCAGACAATCATCGTTTTAGATGATCTCGGGTTCAAATCCCGATTCATGCTCAAAAATCTTACGATGGGTGGTGCGAGAACACGCGGGCTCACTCTTATGCAAAAATTTTTGAAAACATGCTTGGAGCAATGGGTTTTCTTTTCTAAACTGAGCAATGGCTAGGCTTAAAATTGTTGGAGGGGAAGATCGAGGTGCTAAGGAATGAGGTGACTTTTTAAAAAATGAACAAGCACTATGTTATTGCTGATAAAAGCGATGATTACAAGAGATTTCACACGGGGAAGCAAATAAAGCCACACTTTTAATTTTATGAAGAAAAGAGTGGCACAAAGGGTTCAAAAAAAAGGGGAACCACTACTAAACTAGAGGGTCTAAGACAGCCAAGACAGTAAAAGGAAACAAAAAAGAGTAAAACTAATAACTATTTTGAGAAGTGAGCAATGAAGAATTGAGAATCGTTTTCCTGCTCACTCTAGAGTGATAAAAGAAAAATGAGATGGAGATTGAATAGAAGCAAGAGTGACAAACCATAGGTACAAACGGCAGCATCAAGTCCGGATGCTCGTCCATGAATGAGCGATTCGGCTGAGGTGGCCCATTTACGAATTGTGTCCAAATCTTTCTCCTCCCACGTCAATGAACCCTCGTCATCGGTCTAAAAGAAAAGTAAAAATGCTGTCAAAGTTTTAAAGTTTTAAAATTGACTGATAAAATCTTAGCTCTTTTTCACAATGCTCAGGCATCAAGACTGAGTATCTTAAATATATTTGAATAGTTTTACTGTACTACTAGATACTGTACTACTAAATACTGTACTACTAAATACTGTACTACTAGATACTGTACTACTAGATACTGTACTACTAGATACTGTACTACTAGATACTGTACTACTAAATACTGTACTACTAAATACTGTACTACTAAATACTGTACTACTAAATACTGTACTACTAGATCCTAAATACTAATATCTGTACTAATACTAGTATTGTGTATCTTCAAGAACTCATATTGTGCGTAGAAATTTTTTTTTTCTAAAAGATTTAGATAAAGAAAATAGATACTAGGCCTGGGAAAGAAGCGAGCTTGTAAGCTTGGAATTTGAAGGTAATTTTAAGGTACGATTTTCTTTCACATATCCTAATCTTTAGCATTTTGTTAGTATAGTTCTAAGCAAGAAACTAGAAGTAGAAGTGAGCACATATAAAAAGAAAACTTACGGGAATCGATGGCGGCGGAATGAGGCCGGCAGTTTGCAAGAGAGCAGTGGCAATACAAACACAATAGGCACCTAAAGGCTACTTTGTAAAGATGGAGAGAAATTCTCACTATCGAGGACTGATTAGCGTTAGAAGAAAGTTGTGTGTGTGTGTGTGTGTGTGTTTGTGTGTGTTTGTGTGTTTGTGTGTGTGTTTGCCTCTTGCACAACTCACCCGAACTTCCAAGACCCACGCAAGACGGCAATTTAAAGCGTACAGTACATTTGACGGCGAGAAGATCTCTGAAAATCTTTTTTACTGTACAAGAAAGGATTTGAGAAAAGCTCTATTAAAGTAAAACTTTCAAAACGGGATTGAGGAAGAGATGATGTTAGAAAAGCTTTTGAAAAAAAAATGGCTATCACATCTGCATTATGAGACTCTAAAGGACTTTAAAAAAAGCAAAAAAAAAAATGATTTGTCATGAATCTAGAATCGTTTAAAAGCGAGATTTTAGTAAAACTTTTGATATTTAAGTGATTAGGTTAGACTTTAATCTATGACAAACATTTCTTGCTACCATAATCCCTCTAATAGTAGCGCTCCCCTCTATAATGACGGGCGGAGCGTCGCGTAGTCTAGCTTTGGACGCATTTTTCTCGTCATCCGTTTAAGCTACAATGCTCGTTTTGGTATCAAAAAATAGCTGAAATTCAGGGCTATTTTTTGATACTAAACATGTATTTTTAGAAACTATGGGTGCTTAGAAAAGAATGATTTAGTAAAAAATTCTTTGCGACTACGCGACTTTACGGGGGAGGCGGGTGCTACTATTAGAGATATTACGGTAATCAATTCATATAAACTGTCAACTTTAACAAGCAATTCTATTAGAGATATTACGAGAGATTCTCTAAATCATTTAATTATTTGGTATATCGGCTAGACTTTGCTTCATGACAAATCTCAATTCCGGAATGGAAAACCCGCAAAAGTTTGAGTGCAACAAACACACATGCCACACGATGCTTTCTCTCAGCAAAACTTTTCACAAATGAACGCACTTGTTGGCAATGCTTCTTGCTGAATCCGGCGGCTGACTCCCCTCGCGTTGTGTGTCTTGTCCACCTCCTTTCACCACCTCGTAACTGTAAACACCCAACACAACATTCAGCTATTTGACCAGATTTTAACCTTGTACCTCAGTTACAAGCTCAGATACAAGCTTAGAGCTTGTAAGCTTTGAGCCTGTAAGCTTTGAGCCTGTAAGCTTTGAGCTTGTAAGCTTTGAGCTTGTAAGCTTTGAGCTTGTAAGCTTAGAGCTTGTAAGCTTAGAGCTTGTAAGCTTAGAGCTTGTAAGCTTAGAGCTTGTAAGCTTTGAGCTTGTAAGCTTTGAGCTTGTAAGCTTAGAGCTTGTAAGCTTTGAGCTTGTAAGCTTTGAGCTTGTAAGCTTTGAGCTTGTAAGCTTAGAAAAACTTGTTCTCATGCTACGCTTTTTATATGTGATTTCTGTTGACCATGCTGATGAATTTACAAAAGAAAAAAAACTTGTTAGAGGCAAAACGACAGAAAGTTAGTAAAATTGGTTAGCGAAAGGGGGAGGGTTGAGAAGCACTTGACTTTCTTTTCGATTGCAGAAAAAGGATTTCCAGAGTTGGAAAGTCAAGGCCACTGGATAAGCTCTAGAAGCTGAAAGACTTACCTTTTCCGGTGAACGACGCCAAGCAGGAGATACCAAAAAGCTAAAATGGCGAGGTGTTGCACACCGCATTGATCCTCGCACGAGCCGGAGAGCTTCCGCGCAATCGGCACCAACACCTCCAGCGATGGTGCCTGATCCTCCTCGATCGGATACTCTGCTAAACCAATGATAGATTCAAGGTTGAATTTTGACTCAATAGAAGCTTGTCGAAACATTCTTTAACTTCTTTTCACTCACCAGCCAATCGTTCACCGGCTCGGATGAGATCTTTAAGCATCCACGTCTTCTCAACCCCCAAATCAGGCAACGATAGATAGATTCGCCCATCAGCTGATGTAAACAACGAAACATAAGTTCGTAAGTCAATCGAACCGGCAATAGCTGTCTAAAACGTTTTATGTAAAAAAAACAATGAATAATAGAAACAGTCAATTCACTCACTCGTCCATAGACGACCGCGTGCTCTCCGAAGAGAATGATCTTTCCCGGTGCACTCACGTACAACCCACCAGAGGCTGAGCTAAAAATAATAACACAATGATTTGTTTAAGAACTTTAGCCGATATACTAAATCAAGTTTAAAGTTTAGTCCAAATGTACCTGAGATTTCTCATTGGCGAGGCGTGCGAGGCTGGCCGTGAGGAAGTGGCTGAGCCTCCTGGGCTATCCAACCCTGCAAAACTTTGATATATGACTTAAATAATATCAATTTCTTTTCTTAGATCTTATTCGAAATCAGTTTTTCAACCTATCGTGCTGTTTTCGCGATCAGTGACCGAATCACCATTGATTTCGACAACCAGCGCCTCGTCGGCGGTCATTTTTCCCTCTAGAATCATAAAAGTAGTAAAAAAATGGAAAGAAATAAAGCAATGAAGAAATGAGAATTTAAAAAGATCTCAAATTTGTTAAAAGAGAAACAAAAAAACGGGGGTGGGACAAATGCGACCTTTTTTTTGCGCACCTGGACATTTGCGCACCTTTTTTTTGCTGGAAAAGGCCTTAGGAAAAGCCGTAGAGCTTCGAAAACATTTCCATATAAGGGAATCGTATGCGTAGATTCCGAATTTCGACAAATCAGACCTCGCTGACACGTCAAATTTGGGCTAAAAGGCAAAAACTGCGGAAAAGCGTTAAGTTGCGTAGTTTTTGCCTTTTAGCCCAAATTTGACGTGTCAGCGAGGTCTGATTTGTCAAAATTCTGAATCTACGCATACGATCCCCTTCTATGAAAACATTTTGAAGCTCTACGACCTTTCCTAAGGCCTTTTTCAGCAAAAAAAAGGTGCGCAAATGTCCAGGTGCGCAAAAAAAACTAGCATTTGTCCCACCCCCAAAAAAACTCGTTCGTGTTCGTTTGTGGGGGTCGAGGTTTGGTAGGGAAATTTATGCAAAACCGCTAAAACTTTCGCCTCGCTCAATTTGTGGCCCCCGTGCGCTTCTTTTGCTGATCTAAATCCCCGCTTTTTTTTTGCGTTTTCCCCCAGCCGTCCGCAACAAATTTTGGGTGAATTCTTCCTTTTTTTTTGTCTAAAAGAAAATCTCTCCTGGAGACGGGAATTTCGTTTCAAAAAAAAAATGGACAACTTGGGGTAAAGGCACACCTAGAGAACCCTGAGAATTTGTTAAAGGGGAAAGAGTGTTAAAAATTGAGGATCATTCTGAAAAATTCATCGCATTGTTGCCAAGTCAGAGAATGTTTTAGCAAATGCTTTCAAATAATAGACTCAAGCTTAACGTTATTAAGAAAAGTGTTTTAAGATTTAGAAAAAATTTTAGAACAAATTTTAGAACAAATTAGAAAGTTGCAGATGTTTTGGAAGTAATTGGAAATGGGAAAGAATGGAAGGGAAAGATGAAATGAAAGAAGAAATGAAAGAAGAATTGAAAGAGGAATTGAAAAAAGAATTGTCAAACTAAACTGGTAACAGATTTCAACGTTTCTCGTGGACAGCAGACAGGAGACAGGAGACAGAAAAAGACGACACTGGACGAGGAGAAGTGAAAAAAAAGTGGTAGCTGCCAGCTGCTTTCTTGCAAAATGGAGAGAAAGTCAAAAAAAAGGCCAAGGAATACCAAGGAATACCAAAAAAAGGAATACCAAGGCCATCTTCCACAAACATTTTCTTACATTTCTCTGTTTTCCGTCAGATACTTTGACAAAAACTCGTCAATCGAATCGTCAATCGTTTCCAATTTCAGCACCATTCGCCTTTCATATCTGATCAATTTCGCGGCCGCTTCTTTTCTCTTTGAAACAGCAAAAACTTTGCTTTATCTGATCATTGTGAAGACTTTGACTTTACCGAAAAATTCAGAAATTTTAAAGCTATCAGATAAAGCTATGATAAATCAGAATCAACTAAATCAAAAAATCTTCAGTCAAAAAAATCAAAAAAACTGTAATCAATCTAAGAAGTTTTCATTTTTATTTAAAACCAACGTCTGATTTTGGTTTATCTTGTAAATTTCGAATTCTAATTCGAATTTTTGGGATAATCACCAGAGCATTTATATTCCGAGTCCCTGAGAATTGAGGTGAATATTTGGCCCTTTCCCCGCACGGCTTCTTGCCCATTTTTGGGAAGTTTTTCGTAAGGGCTAAGAGGGGAAAAAGAGAAAGAAAAGGGAGCAAAAAAAATGCAAGAAAGCCGACAGAAAAGAAGACGAAGCCATCTCTCTTTCCCCGGGTTTTCCCCCTTTTTTTTGTGCCTGCCGTGTGTCGAGAGAGAGAGAGTAGTTCCAAAATCGATGTGGTTCTGAGAGTCCCTCGGGCACACACACACTCTCTGCTCTCTTCACCAACTCTTTTCCCTAGATTTTCTGAAAACTTCCACTGAATAGAAAAGAGAAAAGAGAAAAAGGAAAAGAGAAGGAAAAGAGAAGGAAAAGAGGAAAAGAGGAAAAGAATGAGATGAGATCGAAAAGTTGAGAACGAGGCCCAACAAGGGAAAAGAGAAGAGCCGATTGAGAGAGCCGCAAAATCCACATAGATTTCCGTTGAGAAAGCGGGGGTGAAAAGGGGAATCTTTGGCAGAGACAAAAATCGGTTTTTTCTTTTTGAGGTGGGGTTTTGTTGTTGAGAAAAAAAAGAATAAAAGAGCAAGAGATTGAAGGGACCATGCTCGATCTCTTTTCTCTAAAAAATCTAGCCCCTTGAGGCGTTTCGGACTTGGTACACGAAAAAAGAATAAGCAAAGACGAAAAAAAAAAGTTGTTGAAACAAAGTGTTTGACAAGTTGATAAGATGTTTGAATTGATAAGAAGGGGAATTTGGGGTTTATAAAAGATGAACAAACAATGGGCACAGATGTTGCCTGAGAGGCAAAATTGAGCAAGATAAGCAATTTGCGAGACAAATTACCAGATGTGTGAGCTTTAGAGGGGAAAAAACAATTATCACAAGTTGGACAAAAGTTTAGATTAAAGGCTTTTGATAAAGTGGAGAGTTGAAAGGGAGCAGACAGACAATGGAGTGGAGCTCGTATTTCGCTCTCTTTCCCTCCTTTCCCCAGTCTTTGTGACCCCATCATCCCTCTTGTGTTTCCTTTTGTGACAAGTTAAGGTACCAGATAGCTCATTGTTTAAGCAGTGGTTACCAGTGATCAGTTGGGGAAGAAAGAGGTCGAGGGTTCAATCCGGAAATCTATTTCTCCTTCCCAATTCTTTCGCTTCTTTATTACAAATGACGAAATGTTTTTTATTAAAATAATGAACAATTTTTGAAATAACAAACAGCCTTTTCCTCCAAATGCACAAAAAAAGCTGCTAAACAAGCTAAAAAGCTTACAAAAGCTTGTTAGTTGCATGTAAAATTTTGTTGCAGCTGTTGTTGCAGCTGTTGCAGCTTGTTGCAGCTGCAAGCTTGTTGCAGTTGCAAGCTTGTTGCAGTTACAAGCTTGTTGCAGTTACAAGCTTGTTGCAGTTACAAGCTTGTTGCAGTTACAAGCTTGTTGCAGTTGCATGTAAAATTTGATTTCTATAGTTTTTTTCTCTAATTTTAAGATTTAAGCTGGAGCTTTAACGTTAAATTTGCTAGCAATTGGTTTAAAAGATAATTTGGTCAAAAAAATCTTTAGAAGAAATAGAAAAAAAGAATCGAATTTAAACTTGTGAAAACTTTAGAAGATGTTAAAATATGCTCTAACAAGAATTTTCTCTAGTAATTTCCTAGTAAGAATTGCGTGCTCAAGTGCTACTCCTACCAAAAGAATTTGGTCAAAAAAAAATGAGATCTCAAAAGTCAGAAAACGATCAGTTTCTGGAGTGCACAAGAATCTCTTGTAAATGGCACGTTTATAGAAAGCCTTTCAATCAAAAAAAAAGGGTAAATGTTGACATTATAAAGTAGCAAAAAGAAAAGTATGGAATATGGAGTATGGAAATGCTTGCCTCAAAAAAAAAAGAAAATCTGACATCATTTTCCACAAATAAACATATTTTCACACTTTCACTCCTCTTTTTTTTTGACATCAGTGATCGTAAAATAAACGAGCGCGCCCGAGAAACGGTCTCTTTTTTTTTCTCCATTAAAATCTCTGAACAAACTCTCGAAATTTCAAAATAACTATTAATATTTTTGTTTTAAAATGATCGAACAATTTGAGAAATATAAATTGTTGTATTTTCGAGAGATACGCTTTGGAAAATGCTCACTTTTACCGCAAAAAAAAGCCTTTACGAATGACGTCAACGTCAACGAGATTGGATCAAAATCTTTCGATTAATCTTTCGCTCCGTTTTTTTAGAGATTTTCAATTGCATTCTTTTTATAAAATCAATATTAAGTGTGACTTCAAGGAAAAGTTGTGCAAAAAATTGTGAACAGTGTTTGTAGAATAGTTTTAAAATTTAAATTTAGATTTAAAATTAGATTTAAAATCTATTAATAAGCAATTGTGAAATGTAAATTTTAGGAATAATAGCAACAAATCTTATTCCAATTCTAGCGGTCGTAGCCGACCGAACAGGAGTCTTGTCTCCTAGTCTCCTAGGGGGTCAAAGGTTTGTCAGTATCCTGTAAAAGATCATAAATCTTATGATCTTTTACAAGCGGGGGTTAAGGGTTCGATTCCTTTTTGCTAGTTCTTTTTCCCTTTATTATGGGTTTTTTCTCTTAAAAACATTTGGGTAATAGGGGTAATTAGGGATAAAAATTTCCTCCGTTGTGTTGTAATTCATTATACGTGTCGAATAAATATACAATGATTAAATATTTAAGGGGAAAATTCACAGGGAAAGACAATTATTTTGGTTTTTGAAAAAAGAAAAAGGAAAAAGGGAAGTGTTGAAAGAAATAAAAGCGAGTCGATTGAATGAATCACTCAACATACTTGTGCTTAGTATTCAATCAATTCAGTCCAATTCAATCAACTCAACTCAATTCAATTCAAAACGAATCAATTCAATGTTCAAGAGAAAAAAACAAGTCAAAAACGTCAAAAAAAAAAAGACAAAAACCTTTTTCGGTAGATGAAAAAAAGAAGAATTTGACTTTTTTTGCATAGACTTTTAAACTAAAATTCTTTTCTTTCTTCTTTTTTTGATTCACAGCGATGAATCAAATGTTTTTTGAAATTCATCGACTTTTTAGATTTATAAACATTAGAAAAACATTAGGAAAAACATAATATAAACATATATTATAAAAATTTACATTCTTCAATGTCTTGTGTAAATTTAGATTTGAAAATTTTATGATTTTAAAGCTCATAAACAAGTTTACTTTTCTTTTGGCTAAGAAAACACTTGTTTGACTACAGACTACAGACAGACTACAGACAGACTATAGACTAAAGATTAGGCTAAAACTAAACAAGTCTCGCTAACCAATTAATCGACTTTTTCATTTATTTAGCTAAACAGTTTAAGAGTTTTCCCCATTTCTCAATCGTTTTGTGAAGGGAGAATGAAATGAAACGTCATTCTCCATTCCTTTAGCCTTTTTTTTTCCTCAGCCCAACCACCGCAAACAGAAACCCATAACAAACAAATGCAAAAGAGTTTTGACCAAAAATTTGCGTCAAACTCACCATCGCAAGAAAAATGAGACAACTGAATAAGCCTAACGTTTTTTTCTGATTACATTCTTAGTTTTGGAAATTCTCATTCTCTGATTTTAAAGAAATTAGAATTGCCGAAGAGCTAAAATCTTTGAAAAATTTGCTTTTGAAGTTGTTTTTTTGAAAAATAGCTTGAAAAATGGGGTATTTCAGTGCAAAGCCGTAGAAGTATTTACAGCTAATAAGAATAGCTTAAATTTCCCCTCTCCCCCCCCCCCTCTCCCCCCCCGGGTTCCTTTTGTTCCCCCGTTGAGAACAGTGCAAAGCCGTAGAAGTATTTAAAGCTAATAAGAATAGCTAATAAGAATTTGTCTCTTTCTAGCCGCTATCGCTAAGTGCCCCGGGGGTTACTTGTGTTACCATGATGGGAACATCAATCAGTGCTACCGTCATGACACTGCCAGAATGTAAATGTGAGTTTTTGTTATTGAAAAAGCAGTAACTTTAGTAAATTCTTAACATTGATTTTAAAGATATTTAAAAGAGCCAATATTTTTCTAAATATTCCATTTCTCTATTTTAAAACAATAGATTAAAGTAGAAAAATGGGATAAACAAGATGAAAGGAAAAAAGAAAAGAGAAAAAGAAAAGTAGGTCAAACAGCTGTTGGATTTGTTTTCAATGCTTCAGTTATGGCGTTTTGCTGAAAGGGAAAGCCTTAAAATAGCCTCGATTCGTTGAATCAAAGTACTTTTAGGCTGAAAAATTGATAAATTTATCAGTATTTGCTTAGAAGTCAATGTGCGTAATTGATGGGGCTTACGTAGCTGCTGGGAAAGGCACTGATAGCTGAAGAGCTGAGCTGAATTTCTTTTCTGAATTGAGGAATTTCTTCTTCGCTTTTTCTCTTCGGCACTCGTTTTTGCAGTTTTTTGCTTTTCAAAGAACCCCAGCTAATCATGAAAAGCCGTTTTTTGAGAATTGAATAAAGGGGATGGGTTGATAGAAAAAAAAAAGTGGAAAATGACTTATTTGGTCTCCCTGGGCTTTTCCAAAAGAAGTCTTCTTTTCTAAAGAAGATAAAGAATTTCTTGAAGGCAATAAAGTTCAAAAAAGTTCAAAAATAAAGTGAGAACAGTTTTTGCAAAAAAAGCAAACTATTTGAATGTGGAAAATGAGTGCCAAAAAAGCTTTTTTTTTCGGAAATTGGAGTAGATGCAGCTTTGCGTGGCTCGGTGTGTGGGATTCGGACATCAAACAGCTTTTTTTCAAGCGAAAAGAAACTACAGCAATTAGAATTAATTGGAATTGAATGAATTGCAAAAAAAAAGGATTCAGTCAATATTTAGAAAAGAGTGGTTTTTGTAGGGAAATGGGTCAGGGTTAAGCTTTCGGATTATCGAGAGAGAAATGTGGCTGGGGCAAAGACATAAGTCTTGCTGGTGTTGGCCTACTAAATAGAATTATTGGAAATGTGGAGATGGATAGTTGAAGAAATGGGCTCCTTTCTTCGGCAAGGGCAAGGCTAGGGGCCTTCCTTGGGTGGGAGGGGCGCAGTGACGCAAGCAAATTGGAATTGTGCATTCGGCTGGGGCGCTTCTCCCTTCTCTCATTTCTTTTCTTCTCAATCTTTTTCCCACCACTTCAACTGACCCCTTTTCTCCTCATTTTTTTTGACCTTTATTTGCGTATTACCTTTCCTCTTCTCGCCTCGCACTCGCTGGCTTTTGTTTTCTGGCTTCAAGGCTTACTTTGCCTAACAATTTTTTTTGGGTATCGATTCTATATCAGAAGAGCTTTGGGGCAGTTTTTTTTTTGCCAAAGAGTATCCATCAGTCTTTTGCTCCTAATTACGAATCTAGAAGGGTCCAAAGTGCGAGTCTTTTCTTGATCAGTGAAGAAAAAAAATGGCAGAGCATCGGTGTTTTCTTACATAGTCTGGAAGAAAGTTTGTAAGAAAGAAAGAAAGAAAGAAAGATGGAAAGGAAGGAAGAAAGAAAGGAAGAAGAAAGAAATGAATTTTAGAAAGGGCTAAGGAAGAGCATGGGAAAAAGTGATGCAAAATGGCAAAGCTAAGAGTTCAGAAATCGGTGTTCGATCTTTATTTTTGATTTTAAGAAAAAAGAAATAATTGTTTAAATGAAGAAATAGGATTCATTGATTCCAGAGGGGAAAATGATTATTTGTAGCCGCTTGTGAATAGTTTAATATACCTCCTTCAGCTCGTATCACCATCGCGAGCCAAGCGTTGGCGGGAGGCTTTTCTGGAATTTCGTTTTTGATTTTAGCCAAATCCTTTAAAGTTAAAGCTTTCAGATGAGTATTGAGTTGAATTTTTAAAGCTAATAAAATTCACCTTTGAAGGAGGAGCTGTTGGAAGCGGGTTTTCAACGATCAAATGTCGGTGCGCCAAATCGACGAATCGAACCACTCTCTCACGCCGTTACCTCCACTAGAATTTCGTCTTTAAAAACTTTACAAAAGATAATAAACAATTTAAAACAAAACAAAATAAAACTTTCTATTAGCATTTTTCAAATGAAAGCTTTGACCAATTTCTTGTTTATCCGAGAAAAAATGTTTTTCTGTTGCTTGATGGAAAACAACGAGAAAGGGGTGACTGGCTTTTACCTCCACTAGAATTTCTTCTTTAAAAACTTTACAAAAAAAAGATAATAAACAATTTAAAACAAAACTTTCTATTAGCATTTTTCAAATGAAAGCTTTGATCAATTTCTTGTTTATCCGAGGAAAAATGTTTTTCTGTTGCTTGATGGAAAACAACGAGAAAGGGGTGACTGGCTTTTCATTCATTTATTTTGTTGTTTTCTTTTGGAGAAAAGCAGAAAGAAAGCAGAAAGCAGAAAGCAGAAAGCAGAATAAATGATAGAATTGAAGAAATGAAGAATAAATGAATAAATGCTTTTAAATGCTAAATGAATAAATGCTTTTAAAAGAAATCAAAAGCTAATCGTTAAATGGGGGAATTTCAAATTTTTCCCATGATCATGAAAAGGAAAAATCGGGAAATGAAATGGTGAAGAAAAAAGAGGTAAAAGAAAGGCAAATGAACTCAACAACACATGTGTCTTGAATCCGAGAAGAGAAAATGAGAAAATGAGGGTTGAAAAGGAAACTCGGTTGAATTCTCCGGAAAACAACCCTCATTTTATGACCTTCAATCCGCTCCGAAATCCGGCAATTCCTGGTCTCCTTCTCTTAAAATCGCTAAAAGAAGTCACTTCACGCTGAAAACATTACAAGTTTACAATCGTTTATTCAAATGAATTCAAATTAGTCTAATACGATCCTTTAGAAGTTTTTAAACTTGAAATTAATCGGATACGATCATCTGGGAAGTTTTTAAACTTGAAATTAGTCGGATACGATCTTTTAGAAGTTTTTAAACTTGAAATTAGTCGGATACGATCTTTTAGAAGTTTTTAAACTTGAAATTAGTCGGATACGATCTTTTAGAAGTTTTTAAACTTGAAATTAGTCCCACCGATCCTTTAAAGGTCTTAAACTTGAAATTATCGGATCGGTTCTTTAGAAGTTTTAACTTGAAATTAATCGGATACGGTTCTTTAGAAGTTTTTAAACTTGAAATTAGTCCCACACGATCCTTTAAAAGGTCTTAAACTTGAAATTAATCGGATACGGTTCTTTAGAAGTTTCTAAACTTGAAATTAATCGGATACGATCTTTTAGAAGTTTTTAAACTTGAAATTAGTCCCACACGATCCTTTAAAAGGTCTTAAACTTGAAATTAATCGGATACGATCATCTAGAAGTTCTTAAACTTCTTAACCTGACCCAAAATGTTGAAAATTCCTTTACATTTACAGTTCACAATTACAATTCACAACCGAATAGATTCAATCGGATTCAGTTCCTTTCACACATTCACGAAAAAGTCATTTTTTGGCTTGGCTGTCATTTCAAACGACAGCTATCTAAGCTGTAGACTTGAATATTTCTAACTAGAGGCATTCTGGGATGGAGAATCTGAATTCGTTATTAATTAGCAACGTTATTAGCAACTTTAATTTCCGAGCCAATACGGTCATCAAAAACTCTCTAAAAACTTGGGTAATTAAACAAAATTGGAGGAAAAAGGCGAAACGAGCTTTTGCTTTTGTCCAAAACGAGCTTTTGTCCTTTATCACTTATGTGCCAGAAGCCGCACGATTACATAAACATAAAAATTTTCACGTTTTTGTAATCGTTTTGGCCTTTTGGCCTGGTCCTGGATTTGGGGTTGCACTTGGGTAATTAAAACGGATGGAATATCAAAAAATAGAGCAGCTTTCTTTAAAAACTAACAAACGGATTCGCATTCTCCAAAGCTAAATAAAAGCTTCAAAGCTTAAAGCCGAATTTTTACACAAAAATTAATGGGTTAATCATGCCTGGCTTTTCCCTTGAGAGTTTACTTTCGATCAAAGGTGTTGCAAAAGCCAAATCTTCACATAAATCCTTGTAAATCAAATACAAACCAACTTTCATTTACTCCAAAATCTTAAATTGATTGTAAATAGCTGAAGCTATTTGAGAAAAGAGATACGGTTAGACATTTAGACCAAGAATAGATCTGTTTAAAAGTTCGTAACGAGCTCTACTGGACTAATTTTCTTCTTTGGCTTACAATTAACCTGATCAATTTATATTATTATCATTATATTATCAGTTATATTATATAGAAATCAGAAATATTTCGTTCTTAAGAAGCGATCCAAAACTACAATCAACTATTTCAACCAAAGACGCATTTTTTGAAAGTACGGGCGCTTTGAAAAATACTAAAAAACTTTTGCGACTAGCGACTACGCGACTGTACGAGGAGGGTGGGGTACTATTACAGTAGCTCGGTAGCTCTATATAGAAATCAGAAATATTTCGTTCTTAAGAAGCGATCCAAAGCTACAATCAAAAATCTACAATACAAAACAAATATGCCATAAGACAAGTCTTCCCATTTATCAATTCATATAGGAAACTATCGGATATGAAGAATGCGATGAATGAAGAAAAGGGAGCACCGGAAGAATCAAGAATTTGGGGGTGAAAAGCCAGCGGAGGACGGCTCACATGTGAAGCGGACGGATGGCTGATTGAGTCAACAGATATCGAAATCGACTCACTCTCCCACTCTATTGCTTCTCCATCAGCTATTCTTTTTTTTCTAGATCCATTCATTCTAAAAGATTTAGACACACGATAAAAAGTATCCAAAAAAAACGTTCCTTTTTGCCGTAATTACATTTATCTCAAATTTGAAGATTAAAATTATGAATGGAATTTTGGCTGCTTGAGAATGGCTGCTTCTCCATCAGCTATTCTTTTTTTTCTAAACCCATTCATTCTAAAAGAAAAGCAAATGATAACAATTATTTTTATAGAAAAATCTAAAATTTTGAGCAAAAAGAGGAAAAAGCAAAAATTGTTGCATTGAGAAGTATAAACAGATCATTGATTTGATGCGTATCGAAACAGATTGGCAAATAGTGACAAAAACACAGTGCTTAACGGCGTCTGATGCCGGGGATATATAAACGCAATTTTTGGAATAGCCGCAGAGAAAAGAGGCGGAATGGGGCAAAATGTGTTGTGGATTGGGGGATCGATTTCCCGAAAAGGCCGCTCAATTAAACGAAATGCCCGGTTTTGCCCGGGCAGGCACTCCTATCCCTTCCATTCACCCCTCCCCTCCTTTCCCTGCTGATAGAATTGACTGACTCCTGCATCCCGTCCATCCACCCCCTTGACTCTTCTACTCATTCACCCAACACTGCACACCTTCAATCACACAACAACAACTCTCAATCACCCCTCGTTTTGCCCTTTTTTTTCCTCTTCAATGACCTTTCAAAGTTAAACAATTATGTAAGATTTACTATGTAGATAAACATTTAAGATTTACTATGTAGATAAAGATAAACCAAAAATTTATCTCATACCTTACTTAATTTATTGCATATGATGATCTACGTTTTGTGAAAAATGGATTTGGTTTTGAAGCATAGAGTTAGAGTTAGTGAAATTTTGAAAGAAATCCAAAGGAAACGAAACGAATCTTTCTGTAGCTCTTTAATTGTTACTTCTAGATTTTCGTGCATTCCATTTTTGTCATTACATTGGTCGAATTGTCAGATTGCCATTAAAATCAATGGATTTGTGAAAAATAGATTTGGTTTTGAAGCATCATGATCGATTTCCCGAAAAGGCCGCTCAATTAAACGAAATGCCCGGTTTTGCCCGGACAGGCACTCCTATCCCTATCAATAAAACAGTTAGTGAAATTTCGAAAGAAATCCAAAGGAAACGAAACGAATCTTTCTGTAGCTCTTTAACTGATACTTCTAGATTTTCGTGCATTGCATTTTTGTCATTACATTGGTCAAATTGTCAGATTTGTCAGAAATTTGCTAGATACAATGAGTTGTTTTTTATTTCATTGAAAAATTCAGTCATTGAAATCACTGTAGTTCAATTTTATCAAGGATTCAAAATATATCTTTAACTTTTTCTAGATAAAACTCAAGGTTTTTCTAGATTTACAAAAAGATAATTGAAAGAGAAAAAGATAATTAAAAGTAGATAATTGAAATCAAAAGATCTAATAATCCTGCTATTTTGAAATTTTGAAATTTTGAAATATTCTCTTCAAAAGGAGATTGTAAGGTTTTAAGCTCTTTTCTATTCACCTTCATTAAAAGATTTTTTGTAAGCTCAAAAAGCTTACAAGCTCAAAAATGAAATGCTTAATTAAAGGAACAAAGTTTTAATAAAGCTTCAAAAAGATGCGTAAAAACGGGGTAAACCGATGAGTAGGTGGGACAAGGGAGATCAAGTCAAAAGCTCCGGCTGAAGAAAATCGAAGAAAGGCCTCAGGCGTTGGTATAGGCATACGGGGAGGAAAACTCGGTGGCTGGCCGGAAAGGGAGGGGAAAAGAAAAGAGGGAGAGATGGGGGGCATGGCGCTTCTCCAAGCAGTGCACTGCCTGAGTGCGCGTCACGTCTCGGCCTCCACTCGTACGAGCCTCTCTCGCTCGTGCTCGATGTAGGTCTCGGGCTCGTCTCGCAGACGAGAGCAGCCCCAGTGGGCCGTCTCTCGTCGATCGATTCCCTCCATCGCCCCATCCCTCTGCCCCTTCTCCTTTCTACCAGAGAACATCTTTCTTTCTCTTTCCCTCTCTAAATATCCCTACTTCTGATTTGAAGACTTTGCCAAAACGAAAAGCAAAACGAAAAAAATCCCATCCTATTTCCTGTGTTTTTTTTTCTAGATGAAATAAAAACAAGCATTAATTCTAGCTTTAGGGATCTTTGAAAAGTAATTAGGCTGTTGCAAAGGGAAGTTTTAAAAGCAAAGGTTTTAAAGGCAAAGGTTTTAAAGGCAAAGGCTTTAAAATTACTTGAAAGTTAGTAGGGTTTATAAATGCAAGTGAAATCAAATATTTAACAGAATGGGCTTAAAATAAGATGTTATAGAATAGAGAAAAAAAACAAATGAAAGGGTTAAAAAGAGGTGGGACTTGCGAAAGAAGGTTAGCGAAAAGTGGGAAAAAGAAAAAAAGAAGAAGAGAAAAGCTTTGCCTGGAAAGAGAACGGCTATGAATGGATGCCGAAAAGTTGTGCGTGAACAAAAAAAAAAGAGAGAAAAGGACGGGGGAAAGCCCGTGAAGGGGCCATGGCAATGTGGTGTTGGTCGATGAGAACACGCTTGAAGTCCCCTCCACTTGGAGCTCTCCACCAAGAATTTAAGTAAAGTTGAGACGTTTTTAAGCCCCTCATCTTTTAAGAGAAGATAAGGAATTTCTTTTTTTTGTCTTACTTGAAAGGCTTAGTGTATTTCAAAGGTTTTGAGTTGAATTTTTTGCTGAAAAGCTGAAAAGCTGAAAAGCTGAGAAGCTGAAAAGCTTTTAGCTTTCTTGAAAAGCTTAATGATTTGATGATGAAGAAATGGGGGAATGAATGTGTAAACTTAGAATGGGCATTTGCTAGTTCGTGAAAAGAGGAGGTGGCTCCCCGCTGGATAATCTGGGTTGGGTCTTTCCTCTTTTCCCTCTTTTCACCTCTTCTTTCATTCGTTCAAATAACATTCTCCCGTTTTTTTTCCTATGATTTCCGGATTAACTAGACTTCATTTCGGGCTTCTTAATTATAGTTAAAAGTTGAACAAAGTTGACTAATTATGTACGTAAAAGAAGAAAAAAAACCGCTTAAATGAGATTCCGTTTTTCTCAAATAATGCTACAGACTAAATGGAAATCGAATTGAAGTAAATGAGATTTCAGATTTTGGGCGAGAGAAATCGTAGAAACGTTTTAGAAAAAAAAGGAGTCAAAGCGAAAAGAAAGCCGTTTGAAACCCAATTTTCAACCCATCGCCGATCTACAACCGATGGGGTTTGTAGGTAATGTTTACGATAGTAAAAGACCACAATGAAAGCATTAAGTAACAGAGATTTGAGTTTTGAATCCAATTTTTACAACAGATCAATCGTTGGATTGAGTAATAGAAGAAAAGTCGCATCAAAGCTTTATGAAGCTATATATAAAAGAGCAGTGCCTGTCTGTCTGTTTGTCTGGCTGTTTGTCTGTCTGTTTGTCTGTTCGTTTGTCTGTCTGTTTGTCTGTCTGAATCGAAGCCGGCTTTTGTGGGCCGTAGACAGGCGCGCTCTTGACTGCGCCATGTCGAAGCTGTGCACCATATGCGGCAACCCATAAAAGATCCAGCCAAAAGTCAAAAGGCTGCTTTTGCATAAGTGGTAACTCAATAGTCTAGTCCATTTCCAGTACAGAGTCAGTTGGGAATTCCAAAAAAGCCGATAAAAGCAAAAGTGTTCAAAGTCTTCAAAGTCAGAGCAATCTTAGAGAATAATCAATTTTTATCGACTTGTCCAACAAGGTGAGCGAAAAGAAAACTAGGAGCACGGGGGGGACACAGCGATGGGTAAATCGATGAGATATGAGGGATGTGATGGTGGAGAGAATGGGGGGGGACTCGCCTTGCCCCCTAGCGAGAGGGCAAACGATGTGAGTGAGAGGAGGAGTGAGCACTTTGAGGGGGAGCTGTGAACAACTGCCCCCTCTTGGACCTCGCCATCCACATCTTTCCATCGTTGTGCCCTCTGCTCCCTCTGATTGGCCTCCACTCCACTAAAGCCGCAAGATCTCCACACATACGCAACTCAACCAGCAAGCATCACCTATCGATTCATGCAAAGACAAAATCCCCTTGTCACGTCATACTGTGCACGTCTAGATAAGCTTTTTACATTAGTTATCGTTGATTTATTGTTGTTTAGACTGAATGGCTGGATGGGAATACTAAAATTGGATGGTTATACTTATAGTTACTATTGAAAAGAGCCATCTTTATCAAGTCAAAAACTCTAGAAACAAAAAAAAACGGGAGAGTTGATAAAGCGCTTAAGCCAAGATCGCATCTTTGTGTAGAAGACGAAAATAAAGCAATGCTTGGTGGGAAAAAAGGAGAGCAACAGAGTGACGGTCCCCAGGGAGGTGAACCCCTGAAGATGGGAAGGAAGGGAATTCCCTATAGCACACAACTCCATCCATCCGCTACGGGGGCTCTTGTTGGGCAGCTTTCCCCCCTCTATCGCGTGACGCAATCCAGTGAGGCCCGGGGAAAATTGTTGTCTGTTTTAAAAGCTCTCATAAAAATATGGCACTTAGATTTTGACTTATAGACAGGGAAAAAATTGTGGAATTTTTGGCCTAACACAACGCTTCTTCAAAGGATGTGTGCTGAAGAAGTCTAAAATTTTTAAAACGATTGTAAAACCAATACACCTTATTAGGTTACATTTGCTGGAACTTGTTCGTTACCGGAATTTTTGAAGCAGTAACTTTGAAGGTGCATCACTTTGCTTGGAGAAAATATTATTAACTTTTTAACTAGGATAGTTCAAATTTTCGAATTTTCGAATCAAACAGAGATTGCTTACAATTAGGCTAACCAATCTAGAGAAAACGGCATCTACAGGGTGCGGCAAAAGTTCCGACACTTTTTGTAAACGGGCAGTTTGACTTGGAAAAAAACGCGATTTTTGAAAAACTAACACCGGATTATAAAAATTCAGATATTTTTACCCCCTAATATACTTTTTTACACAAAAATTGCCATCTAAACAACCTTTTGATGAGGATGTTTAAAGGTCGTTACAGCAGTTTTTTTTGCTGTTGAGATTTGGGTGCCCTTCGTAGAATCGCTTGAAAATCTTTCGTTTTTGAGGTATAAAGTTTTTTTTGTGGCTTGTTTTCAAGAAAAAACTCAGTTCTATCAAATGGTAACAGCAGTTTTTGGAAAAAATTTCATTCTGCAAAGTTTAAGCCAACTTTCGCAAAAATCTTCAGCGACCAGACCGGGATATAAAAAATTCTCGTCAAAAAGTTATTGAGAGTTGAAATCTTTTTATGAAAATAGCTATATTGGGGTGAAACTACCTAAATTTTTAGAATCCGGCGTTAGTTTTTTGAAATTCACGGGTTTTTGAAGCCAAAAAAATTACTGCTTACAGAAAAAGTGTCAGAACTTTTGCCGCGCCCTGTAAACTGATGCGATAGGCTCACAGAGACCAATTAAATCCGAGCTTCATTTGATAAACTTAATAAAATGAGTAGTTCCAATCAATTCCCCGATCCCGAAAATCCCCGGGCACAAATTTACAGCTCAATATCTTCTTCTTGAGTCATCTACAAGCAAAAGAGAAATCCCTAGGTAAATGACTGGCGAGGTGTCACTATGCCCAACTTCCCCGGGAACAATTTTTGCTTCAAAGTTGGCTGTATGTTTCTGCAAAACTGATTACTAGAGAGCAGTGCCAAAAATCCCCAACCTGCTCAATTCCCAATGCTCAACATTTTTTAGTCAAAATTTTGCTTATTTACCGCAAATGATCTTTATGATTAATCGATATTTATAAAAATTCTTGGATAATAAATTGACTTGTTTTCCAATCAATAGGTTATTACTGACGATAAATTTAATTGCCCTGCTCTTGCTGAATCGTTCAATGAGAAATCTGGCATATAGATAAATGGACAATTATGGAAACTCCTAGTTATGGAGATTTTCACAATCTTATCATCAATCTCGCCATATCATATTTATCATCGAATCAAAAATTTGGGACCTATTGTGTACTAACGATGAGTGAAAATAAATGGCAAAATCTCAATAGCAACTAAAAAGAATTCTAAATCCCGATCAAATTTTAGCCAAGCTACTCCCCCCACCCTCACTTGTGTCGATTTGGATTATCTCCGTTGCTAGATGAGAAACCGTTGCCATGAAGTTTCAAGAAACTCTTGAACACCGAAAAATTAGAGTGTGTTCCTTTCGAGTAAGTAATTACTCGAGTAAAACTTGCATAAGTAATTTTTACTCGACCAATCGACGCTTTTGATCGAGTAACTACGAGTAATCCTCTTTACACGTCGAGTAAATTGAATATCTTTACATTTGAAGGGATTTGCCCTCAAATCAGTTAATGGGCTGAATATCTTTAAAAGGAGCCATATAAGTCCGTGCTCGTGATTTTTTCGCGCCAATTTTTTGTAATAATTTTGGCGTAGGCTAATTTCCGTCATTTTATTTGCGCAACTCGCCCTTTCTTCTTTTGACTTTCTTCGAAGTGGGCCAATCTTTATGATGTTGGTGTCATTTTATCATAAAGATTTGTCATAAAAAATCATAAAGATTGGCCCACTTAAAAGAAAGTTATGGTGAGTTACGCAAATGACCCTGTTGCGCAAATAAAATGGCGGAAATTAGCCTACTCCATAATTTTCGCTAAAAGTAAGGTAATTTTTCCCAAGTGTGCGTTTTAAAAAAACTCATTACTCGCGAGGAACGCACTCTACTAAAAATCTCATTCCCCTGCATCAAAATTTTCAAGCTGTTTACAAGCAAAGACTTTTTTGAGTCATGTTCTTTGGAAATTTTTTGTTGTTTACGTGCTGATGGGAGGAGAAATTTTTGGAATGGGCAACAATCCAAAGGGGGAGCGAAATGCGAGACATAGAGAGGTGTTTTAGTGGAAAAGAACGCGGGGAATCAAGAGAGGGAACACATCTGCCCGCAAAGCCCCTTTTCGCCTCTCGCAACTTTTCTATTTCTATTTTCTCTTTTCACTCTACAAACTACCACGCTTTCCATCCATTTTTTCGAATCCCATTTGACCGCCAATACGTTTTTCTAATTAACCACCTTGAAATCTTGTATTGCTATCAATTTTGCGCTTTCTTTTTTTGCCTTTTTGCTTCGTTTAAATCACCACGCTTTCTAGAAATGGAACAGCAATTCGGTCAACTGAAGCTCTTCGTCGATCTCCTCAAGAAGGACCCCTCGATCCTGCACCATCCTGGGCTGACTTTCTTCAGGGAATATATCGAAAGGTATGGATTAGCTCAGTTTTTCTATAAGACAGTTATCGTATCGTTGTTATTGGGTTGAGAAGTATAAAATGGCGCCGACTTTCAAAGATTTTTTGGAACGCACAAAAGTTCCATATAAATCCATTCTTTGTATAATTAAAAAGGTCTATCATTGCTCTACAAAATGGCTTTTGAGAGATTCCGAAAAGTTGTTTTGTGGATTTTATGGGCTCCTAAACGCAACCAGTCAAAATGACGGAGTCTGATTCGCCGTTTGACTCGTTCCTTTCATATGAACTTAACTTGATGTCAAAACGAAAAATTTAGAGCACATTTAATTACATGAGTAGCCAAATTTTTGTTGTGATCTCGTCATTCATTTTCTCTAAATGACGATTTATAGATTTTCTGAAAAAATGGTCTTTTATTAATCTTTTGAGCGCTATTTGAAATATGATTTTGTAGAGAAATAAGTGACCTTTCTAATGATACTACCCGCGTGTCATTTGATAAAGACTACTCGATTTCATAGACGTTTGAAAGACGGCGCTATTTCATACTCTCCAACCCAATAGATTGTGCAATTTTGCTTTTCTAAATTGCTCAATAGAAGTGAGCAGGTGAAAAGTTGTCTAATGTTTTTAACCGTTGATGCTTTTCATGATATAAAATTTACATGTATAAGTTTAGCTTGGGCGGAAATATCCCCGAGGCGAAGCAATGTCCATTCGGTGAAGCGAAGCCCGAAGCGAAGGCTGAGTCAAAGCCAGAGAAGAAGCCAAGCCCTCCACCCGCTGCTGAACCGATGGAAGCGGTAAAAATGCTATGCTTATGTACAGGGTGTTCGATATTTATGGGGACCAATAGATCACTAGGTTTAAAGCTCGTTTTGTACAAATCTAATGTTAAAAAAGAAACAAACACATACTTTAACAAATTTAAGTCACTTTTTTTCAAAATAATTGCCTTTCGCGTTGATCTTTGTCTAGGAAAGCGCTCACTGCATAGGGTACAGCGAGTTCTTCACAAATAATGTTAAGTTTTCTTGAAAGAATCAAAACTGACAAGTTTAAGTCACTTTTTTCCAAGACGTAAGATTCCAAGATTTTTAAGGTCCCATAAATTTGAAAACTGGTAAATAGTGAAGAATTTGTTATCATTAAACAAGAATAACTAGGTCTAACTCCTTTTCGTGAAATTTAGTGACCGAGTTCCAATGAATCGATTTTTCGCATAACAAATTGAGTAAACAGTAAAATTAAGGGAGCGTGTTATGTTTTTCCCAAATCTGTAATTCAATGCTTCCTTAATGTTTTTTTCATAAACCGATTTTGGAAGCGCTAAACAACTTTCAAACTCAAAAGTTTCCAAAAATAACACCCTGTACAAAAGTTACAAAGTTTGTACTTAACTAATACATTCTTATAGTAGAATTGTAATATAAAGTAGAGAACTGTAAAAAAAACTTTAAAACTACCAATTCAGGAAACCGAGCCTGAGCCCGAGATCCCGTATCCCGAGCTTGACAATGAAGGTGTCATTCAGCCCGATAGTGGAGAAGCTTTGCCAATGGGAGATACATCAAAGGAGGTACTTGTTGACTTTTTTGAACTAATAGTAAGAAAATTTTTGGATAGTATTTTAGTTTGTACAATAATCGGTACAATAAGTTTCATAGTTCATTAGCTGCAAAACAAAGCTCGACATGTTTAGGCTTCCGAGGAGGAGATTGAGAAAGCGCAAGAGGAACGCAACGCTGCACAAGAAGCTTTCTCAAATGGTTTTTATTTTACATTATATTTTACATTCTCAATTTTACAAGAAAGTTTTTATTTAAACTATTTAGGAGAGTTCGATAAGGCGCTCGAACATTTCACTACGGCCATTCAACTCAATCCCGGCTCCGCGATGCTTCACGCCAAGAGGGCAAAGTGAGTTTGGAGGATATGTTTGAACTTGTTATTAAAGATTTGAGATTTAATACTTTAAAACAAACTGGCCAGCTTTAGCCTTTGTAGATCTAGCTTCATTTCTAGCAGTTAGTTGTGACATACCCTTTGATCAAATAAGATTTACAGTAAATATTCTAATAGAAGAGCCCCCTATAAGAGTGTCACCTAGTCGAAGTTTACACTCAAAAAACTGCTCCTATCTCGGCGCCCAGACATCTGTTGCTAGGTATCAAATTAAAGTAGAGAGAATGGGCTATTTTTTGAGATAGTACACGTATTTTCGGCTTTGGCCAGTGCTTAGAACAAAATGATTGAAAAGTGGCAAAAAAAGCCGATTTTTTAATCAATTTGCTCTAAGCGCTGGTTAATGCTAAAAATATGTTATATTTCAAAAAAAATCATCCATCCTCTATACCCTTAATTTGATAGAAACAAATGCGCTCATGTCTGGGCGCCGAGATATGAGCGGTTCTTTGAGTGTAAACTTAGACTACGCGACGCTCTATAGGGGGTGCTTCTATTAGAATATGTACGGTTCCTTTAGCGGTAAACCAGTCCAAAACCAGTTCACGAGTCAAGAAACAGTTAAAAACTAGTCGAATAATAAATTTCAGTTGCCTCTTGAAGCTCAAGCGTCCCGTTTCCGCGATCGCCGATTGCACGAAGGCAATCGAAATCAATGCGGACTCGGCTCAAGGATACAAGTTCCGTGGACGTGCTCATCGGTGAGTTTAGGCAGAAAGTAAGAGGATTTTTCAGTTGTGAAAATATCTGTTTCGCTAGCATATCTCTTTCATCTTTGTTTGATCATAAAGCTTATTTCAGCCTTCTCGGAAACTGGTTGGATGCTCACAAGGATCTGGCCACTGCTTGCAAGCTCGATTATGATGACACTGCCAACGAATGGCTCAAGGAGGTCGAGCCAAATGTAAGTTTAGAAAAAAGGGACATACATTTATTCAATCAGGAAATTTCTCATCTTTCTAAACACTTTGAACAACATCTTTATTCCTCTCGTTTCTTCTTTCGGCACAGTCTCTTCCCGTTGGGGCCGATTGGGGCTTTCTCCTTGAAATTCGTGGCATTAGTAAAGGAAATATAACTGTAGACTTACTCAATTCTATGTCAGATATTTAAATTATAAACCAAATCTGATTCTAATTGAGCACTCAATGCTTACCTTTGGCGGCAATCCCATCCATTCTCGGCAAGAGAACCAGTACTGATGGCAATGCTCGCGGGGTTTCACTCCTAAAAATTAGCAATACTATTAAAATGCTAAATCTAAATATTGAATTTTTAAGACCTACCTGGTTGGGGTTTTGGTGTAGGTGGGGATGCTGGTTTTTGGCCCTTCTTTGGCTCTTTGTGCTCGACTTTCTTGGCTTTTGGCTCTACCCCTCCGTAGCACGAGATTCGGTATCTAAATTTGTAAGTGGAAGTCTCAGCTCTGTACGATGAGCTATCGGTGAGCTAGAAACTCTAGAGACTCACTTGCACTTGTGCTTCTGATGTGTACTCAAATGGATTTCATGACCTTTCTTCTCTTCCCGATCAGATTCCTCATCTGAATCGTCTTCCTTTTCTTCTCTCTCTTCCTTCTTTTTCTTGTCTTTTTTCTTTGCTTCAGAGCTTGGTGGAGAAGATTTCGGCTTCTCAGCTGGGATCTTCACCTATATAAACATTTACTGATCAAAATCTTTTCCCCCACCTTTTGCTTTTCCACTTCTTGCTCAACTTTCTTTGCTGGCACCTCATCCTTCTCAATGTCATCAACTTTCAGTCCATGCTTAGCGTAACACGATTTCCGATATTTGCATTGATGCTGGATTGAGAAGGCTTTTGAGAGTGAGGTTTCAACGGGCTTGATCGTTGGCTTTGGTAACTAAATCTCTTCGCTTTTTAGCTCTCTTGACCATCTTACCTCGTCTCTAACAAGCACCAGGCGTCCAGTCTCGTAGCAAGACTTTCTGTACTTGCAGGCCAGCTTTTTGTCCTCTTCTTTCAAGTGTTTCTAAATTTGTTTTATGCTTATCAGATATCTAACCAAACCTGTAGATCCGTTTCGTATTGTTTCTCAACATGGCGATTGAAGTCTTCGAGAAGATCCAAATAACCTCGATCCAAATCGGGCTTTTTGCCGGAAGCATAGCACGACTTTCTGTACTTGCATGTCATTCTTTGTTGTTCCAACGATTCAAACAGAGCCTTGTTCAATCCAAGTGCTTCTTTAACATCCGGTTCAACTTCTCTTGTTTCTTTAACAGGCTCCTTTTCAAGTTTCTTCTCTTGCTTCACCGGTTTGACCACCACAGGCTCAGACTCTTCGACTTTTTCTTTCTCAGCCTTCTTCTTTTTCTTTGGTTTCTCTTCCGGTTCTTTTACAGTCTCTTGGGGTTTTGGTGCCTTCTTGGATTTGACTTTTGGTTCAGGCTCGGGCTCAGGTTCAATCTTTTCTTCTTCTGGTTCGGGCTCAGGCTCCACCTTTTCTTTGCTCTTCTTGGACTTCTTGTGTACGACTTCTTCTTTCACTTCAGGTTCAACTCTTTCTTTGCTTTTTCTTGACTTCTTCTTCGGTGTCATCTCTTCTTCAACGGGTTCAGCTTGTTCAGCTTCAATTTCTTTGCTTTTCTTTGATTTCTTCTTTGGAGTCTCTTCTTTCACGGGTTGAGGTTTCGGTTCTTCTTTTGGTTCTTCCTTCTTTGGTGCCTCTTTCTTTGGCTCTTCGATGACCGCTTTTTCCTGTTGATAATGGCGATTTTTGTGTTGGACCTACAAATGTTTAATTTTGTTTTTCTGACGTTGAATTTTACCTCTTTCTCAGTTTTCGCTTTCTCAGCCATCAACTTTTCTCGTAGTTGCTTTGGTGTTTCACCAGTCGACTTTCCCTCGAGAGCCCGCTTGGCAAGGCGTGCTTCTTTTCGAGCAGCCAACTTTTGTCTAGAATTTTATGAATGATGACATTTCTGTAATGATGACATCTTTTTGGTCGAGATTAATTGAAAGACTTTCCAACTCACCTTCGGTTCTGTCTTCTTTGAAGAGCCGCCTCATCAAGCACCCGTCGGCGCCCAGATCTCACTACCTAGAAGCGTAAAATTTTTTGCTAAAATACTGGCAGAGTACTCACCGGTTCAACAGTTCTTTCCTTTCTGATCTCTTTGATTGCACTCAGACCATCAGAAAGAGCGATCTTCTCATAGCACGACTTGCGATACTTGCAGAAGTGCTTCAACGCCGTTGCACTGGTTGGCATTGTTGATTCAGTTTCGGCTTTTACTGCTACCGGGTCCTAAAAAGGATCCAATATATAATAGTCTATTAGCTTTAAACTTATAGAAAGCAAAACATTGGCTTACTTGCGGGTTTAAATCTGGTAGGATTCCAGTTTCATAGCAGCTCAATCGATACTTGCATCTAAATAGCTCTTTGCCATTGAAAAGCAATCTTGAAACCTGTGTTGAAGTGTTTGATTTGGGTCATCAATCACTTCTTGTTCCTCCTTTTTCTCAGTTTTCCCCGCTCCATGCAGCAAAGCGCCAAAGTCAAGACTTCCAAAAGACGAAGCGGCAATTTCGGGCAAGACCCCGGTCTCGAGGCACGACTTCCGATATTTGCAACGGAATTTACGCTCAAGTTCGCTCAATTCGTCTAGATTTACGTCTTCTTTTGGCTCTTTGCTTTCCCAGGATCCAAGGAGGAAATTGAAAGACGGTATCGGCCAAGAGTCATCGATTCTTGGCAGTTTCCCCGTCTCGTAGCAAGATTGGCGGTATTTACAGGCAACCTTTTTATTGATCTCTTTCTCAATCGCTTCCAGCTTCTTTTCCACCTAAATTTTTGAGTTACTTTTGGAGTTTAGCTTTCACAAACAATGACACTGTTCGGCAACTCGCGATCCTTTGCCTCATCCTCGCGTTCTTTCACCTTTTGCAGGGTTTTCTCGGCGATTTCCTTGACTGTCTTTTTTTTGCCTTGTGGAGCCGAGATTTTACCACTAAAATGGTGTTTCGTAATCAAAGTTTTTTTAAATCACGGATCAAATAAGTAGCAATTACCTGAAGAAGCTCATTTTCTCTTCATCTTCCTCCTTTTTCTCTTGTTGTAGTCCAATGGCTTCATAGCAAGACTTGCTGAAATTGGTTTTCACGTGCACAGCTGAAAATCTCAAACCGATATTTGCATTTCCACTTCTGGTATCTGATATTTGCCATATCATCTTTTCCTTCTTCCACATCATCATTGTTTTCATCCGCAACAGCCGCACTGCTTGCCGAAAATCCCCATTGCCATTCATTCTGAAACCAATATAATATGTGTTCTTTAAATGATATTCACCCGAATCTCCGGCAAAACGCCGCTCTCATAGCACGACTTTCGGTATTTGCAGCGGTACTTCTTCGAGAGACTCTCTTTGCGAACCTAGGAAGAGTTAATATGCAGGATAAAAAATTTATTCAAGATACAGAAGCGAATATCCCATTCGTACTGTATCAGTTGCTATACTGTAATGCAACAAAAGATCAGAGCTGTACAGTATCTTCCTAGCAGAACTAAGAAAAACCTTTTTCTCCCCCTCCTCACTAGCTCGTTCATCAACTTTTTCTTCTTCTTCATCATCATCTTCAACTGGAGCTTTGTGCTTTTTCTCCGATTTTGCTGCTGATGCAAAGATGCACGGCCAGAAAGTCATCTCCGTTTCCACAGGTTCTAGAAATTTACTTTTGCTAAAATTTGACCATTGAAGCACCAGTATTTTCTCCAATATTCTGCACATTGAAAATCCCGAGAGCTGGCAAGTGATTGGGGTGAACCTTAACAAGTGATTGGTGAACTTTTTAAATTCAAACCTTTCCACAAAGATAGACACGATTCGGTGTGACGATATCCGAGGTTCCGATTCCCCAACAAGCGGCATTCTTGCCAAGAAGTGCCCTCAATTGAACAGTGGCTTCACCTAGACAATTTTGATTGTAATTTTTATACTTTCACTGTTAACAGCACCAAGTTCAACCACCGCTAGCCCAGAAACAGTTTGTAAGAAATCGAAAAGAATTCCGATTTCATCGAGATTCATCTGATCGGTGGCAAGCGAGGAGACGGCCAGGCACGAGATATTCGAAGGCCTAGAATGAGAAAAGAACTGGCGATGTACTTAAAAGCATCAATTAATTTTAATTTCTTTTATTACTTGTTTTTCTCTTTATCATTTTCAATTACCTCTCCAAAATGGCGCTCATCGAATTCCCCTCAAGCTCGCATCCCCATGTATTGAAAAGTGCTCGCGGATCTGCAATTCGCTAATTTTCATGGTTTTTTTTTGCATTTTATTTGAGTGGGAAGTTGAATCCAAAAGCCAGCTGTCGTGGTTTTTTTTGTGTTTTCTTCGCTTTAGTCGCTCTTCTCTTTTTCGCGCCATTACGACAAAAGCTTCAGAGAACTTTTGGGGTGGCTCTAGAAAGGATATCACCTTTTTCCAAAGGGTCAAACTTTCTTGAATTTCCTCTTTTTTTCTTAAGATCATGGAAACAGTAAAGTGTAACAAAGAAATTATTGATTTAAGTAAAGTTTTAAAAAATGAGTTTACCTTCCAAATGTTGAATATCGTGAGTTGGAAAGAAAGCATCAATGAGGTCCCATTTTGCGACTGAGAACTCGGGAGCTCCGAGGATCAAAACCCGGACTTCTAAAGCATTATTTAGCATTGGTATATTTCAAATAACATTTAGAACTATAAAAACATTATATTTCTGTAGTACTTGTACATTTTTTTCTGAATCAAAAACCCTTACCATTGTCCGCAACACTTTCGGCGACGACACACGCCCACAATAGCCAGGAATAAAATATTCCTAAAAAAATCAATAACTAAAAGCAAATCCATGTAAATATTTACCTGAATGCATATTGAAGGTACTTATTATTCGTGTGTGTTGTGGGGGCAAGGCATGGCCACACTGTGGTCGATGTGGCGGCTGTCTCAGACTCGGGGCTCACTCTGAGAGATTTAGAGGGAGAAAAGGGATCACAAAAGATATCTCGAATGGATACAGCAAAAGAGATCGACAAGAGATTTTCGCTTGCAGCCGATTTTCTCGATTTTCTTTCTTTTTTCTTTTTTCTTTTTTCTTTTGCCCGACACATGTGTTCAGGAAGGGCCTCGGAATTGTGGGTGCGGGGGGAAAGAGTAACATGCATCGAAAGTCTCAATCTCTTGAAATACAAACATTATCCCTTCAATTCTCAAGCCCTCTTTCATCTCTAACGCGAGCTCTATTTACCGAAATGTTCATCGATACCTACTTAAAGAGTTGATAAGGGGGAAAAAGAGGTTTCTAGTTTTGGTGAACTGTTGAAATGTTTCGATTAAAGCCAATGAGAAGTAAAAATTTTGAAATAGGCAACATATTATTTAGATAATTATAGCAAAACTTAGAAAAATATTTGCTTCCGGTGGCTGTTTGAAACAGCTTGCTTGAGAGAATCTTCGAAAATCTTGAGTTGAGGAATTTATCAAAAACGATGCATGCAATCTATGCAACTCAATTCATAAAAAGTGATTAGATTTTTTAAGAAACTTGACTCATGGCTTTTAATTATGACGTTTAATCAAGCCCAATATTTGCCATTTAATTTTTAGGCCAAGAAACTCCTCGCCTACCAACATGCGAAAGAGCGAGCCGATCGCGAGAAAGAGATTCGTGACCGAAAGGAACGAGTGCGAAAAGCGCAAGAAGCACACGAAAAGGCGAAGCGCGAAGAAGCTGAGGTAGATTCGGAGAATTTATATTGAATCCAGAATTATGAAATATCAAAATTCATTTTATTTCAGCGTGGTGGTTTCGATGAGAACATGGATGATTTCCCGGGAATGGGCGGTGGAATGGGAGGCGGAATGGGAGGCGGCATGCCACCCGGAATGGATCAGATTTTCTCGGTTTGAAAAATTACTATCTTGCTTTGAAATCGAAATTTCTAGGATCCCGATTTCCAAGAGTTGCTCAAAGATCCCTCAATGATGGCTTCACTTTCTGAGGTTTGTGCTTTGGGATAAAGTGGCATTGAAAAGACCAAATCTAGGTGATGCAAAATCCGGCAGCGATTGGAAAGCACATGAACAACCCAAAGCTGATGAAGGTGAGTCGATGAAGGCATTTCTCACAGTTTTAGAAATTCTTCTAAATGAGTGAGAAAAGCAGTGAACCTGGTTTTAAAGGAGCATGAGTTCAAAGGTGACTGCAGATCAATGTTGCAGTAATCCTGTGCAATTCTAAAGTGCAAATGTAACATTTCATCGTTGTTCGAGTAACAAAATCTCAATTCACAAGCTTACAGGTGTTCTCGAAGTTGATGGGTGGCGCTGGAGGAATGGGCGGAATGGGTGGATTCGGCGGAGGAATGGGCGAAGAAAGCCGTGAGTTTGACGATTATCCTTCGAATTGTAGAATATAGAATTTTCTTGTATCTTATAGAATCTAGATGTAATCTTACAATTTAGTTCTTAGTTTTTAGCTAATACAGAGACAAATTCAGACCACGGTCACAGCCATGCTGACGGTGAGCCATGCGGAGGACATGCTCATGCTCATGCCGGGCATGCTCATGCCGGTGGGTTAGCAAAAACTAACCTAGATTTTTAAAGTTCTCTTTAACTGTGCTATGACCAAGCTTAAGTGCACTAATAGAACATACACAAGTACTTTCATATTTGTGATCTTATCTAATGATTTTAGAAGCCAAGCCAGATTCGGATGTTCCCAAGAAAGCTCCCGAGCCCGATCTTGACTAAAAGGAAAAAAATCTTGTGTTATCTTTCTAAACCTCAGTGACTAGTTGGTATTGTCTTTTTCTGCTGAATATTTTTCAAATCCTTCTTGTACGCCATCATATTCTAGTAGTTTATTAAGCAAAAAGCGAGAAATTGTCCAATATTCAACTAGATTTTCATCCCATGTCCTACTTTATTTTTTTGTTTTCTTTTACAAGTGTTCTCAATTATTTAGTTCTACATCTTGTCAGCCATCTTTTTTTCTTTGAATAAATTTTTATTTAAATCAAAAATAAATACAAATTTGCTAAATTAGAAAAACCTAAAGAGTGAAAGGGGCAAAAAAGGAGAAAACTTTGAATTAGTAGAAATTTTACGGAGACAAACACCGGGTAGGAAACAAGCTCAAAAAAGGATTGGCTATGGAAAAGCGCTAAGAAATGAGGCCTGGCTTTCCACAGGTCATGTACAAATTTCATCAGTAAACAAATATTTTGGATGCACTTTGTGCGCAAAAATGTAAACGCAATCTTTCTGTGCTTACGGCAGAACAGATGTGTTTACATGATTTGAGCACAAAGCACATCAAGGATACGACTTTAGAATCGGCTCTGTACATTGGAGAATCGTTAAAAGAAAGATCATTTATGGAAAATTAGGTAAGGGTGGATTCACGGCGCAACATCGGTCTGTTGATTTGCCGCTTCTTTGCCTCGATCACCACCGCCCAATCGAACATTGTTGTCGTCGTTGTGGCCACATCGTAGTACTCGGGTAGCCTGAAATTTAACCCTCAACTAAGACTGACTAGGGAACGTCGCTAGGTGCCCGTGTCCTTTTAAAACGAGACCAACTCAATAGAATAGAATTATAGAATTGACTACGCTGATTCCGAATCCAAAAGATTAAAAAATCAAAAGAAATTCGCAGATCGAACCAGGGTGCTTTGAACTCGGAGCATCGCGGCTTTTTGGCGATGCACCACGTCGCTAATTTGCTCCAATTTGCGAAAAATGAACTCAAGTAAGGAGACCTAAAACTTGTAATCCAGATATCTCGCTTTACAGGCCTCGAGGGCAAAAACTGAAAACGGATTCGGAATCAGCGTAGTCGATTCTAGAAGTTGGTTTCGTTTTAAAAGGTCCTGGCGACATTCCCCAGTGAGATCTTTTAAATATTCACCTAATTGTACTTGCAAAATTCTCAATAGCTCAATAACGGCTAAGTTTATCAAATTTCTGAATTGTTGAATTGTAATTGACATAATTCAGCAATTCAGATTCAGCAATTCAGCAATTCAGCATAATTCAGTCTTGGTCAGTTATTTTGCATTTATAAAGCAGCTTTTTCAATGCCTGTTTCCTTAAACTCACCGATAAACTTTTCGGCAACGCTTCAATCGCTTTGTCTTGTCATCGTATCGACTGATATCTCTAGAAAATTTGAAACCTTTTTCAGATTTTACTCGCAAACCGGCTTGCCACTAAAACGAGCGCGTTGAGATCTCTCTGAATCTCGATCTCAAGCCGCCAGAAGCAAGTCGACTGCAGCTTGTCGTCTCTAGAAACTTTTGAAAGTCTTGACAGCAATTTCATTCAACAAACCTGCTCAACCCGAGTGACCAAGAGAAATTGCTTTCCGCTATTCTTTCAAACTTTTTTGTCTAAAAGTAAAATCTTATAGAAAAATCGGTACTTATTGGTAATCTCTCCCGTCAAAAAAAGCCAAAATAAATCAACGGCTCGGCCGACTGAAATTTTGCCCACCAAAGCTTCGCTGGTGCAATTAAATGCTCATTTCGCGTGTATGCTAATTTTTAATTTCTGCTTTCGCATTGTTTGCTTGCATTGTTTTTATTTTATTTTAATCACCGCTCGAAATAATGTAGCACGGTGAAAAAGATAAGGAATTGAAGGGGAAAAAGAAACTACTTATGAAGACGAAAGGGAGTGGGACAAATGCGACCTTTTTTTTGCGCACCCGGACATTTACGCACCTTTTTTTCCGCACTTAGCCCATTAGCGCACCTTTTTTCGCGTTTTAAAAAAGCTCTAAAAAGCTAATATTAACCAATTTCTATTCCAAAAGTTGTTTTTCTAGGTAATTTGAGGGTGTCGAATTCAAATTTTGACATAACAGAGCGTGTGGAACCAATTTGAAAGACAAATTTTAAAGACAAAACGGCTAGATCAAATTACAGAAAATTGTTGATTTTCCTCTTTGTATAACTCCGTCCGTTTGTTTCCACAAGCTCTGATATGTCAAAATTTCGATTCTACGCCCTAAAATTACCTAGAAAAACAACATTTGGAATAGAAATTGGTTAATATTAGCTTTTTAGAGCTTTTTTAAAACGCGAAAAAAGGTGCGCTAATGGGCAAGGTGCGGAAAAAAAGGTCGCATTTGTCCCACTCCCAGACGAAAGCCCCACTCCGAAAATCTGAATGTTATAAGCAAATTGAGAGGGAAGATAACCAATAAGTACCGAAAAATCGAATTCCCAATTCATTTACCGTTCCATTTTTGTCTCCAGTGCCACCCTTGTTGAATGGGAGAATGACAACGAATTTCTCTTTTGTGTACATTCCTTGAGCGATTCCTAGAAACAAACTTGAAATAATTGATCTGTTTTAAAAATAGTTTTCAGTTTATAAGTTCAATAAGTTATTGAATAAGCTTTGAATTTTTTTGAATTGCTTTCTTTTGTTTTTCTTTTTAAACCCACTATCCGCTGAGAAAGGCCAATCCCAGATGAAGCTTTTCTCTTCGATTACCGAATCGTCCGAATCACTCGAGTCCAAAGAGCTAAAGCAAATGATCTAAGATTTAGATTAGGTTTAGTAAATGATATAGTTTGATATAGTTGATTTGATTTGATATAGTTGATATAGTTGATTGATTTTACGTTTGGCAACTACATCATTTGATATAGTTGATTTTGATTTTACGAATTAACAAACCGATTAACACTTGAGTGAAGGCCAAAGCTAAGCGCGAAACGTTTCCTCTCTGGTAGTAGCGTCGCTTCGTTCAATGTTTGTGATCGATGCAACATTTTCGGGCGAAATGGACTGAATTTGTCCAAAATTTGTCAAAATTTGTCAAAATTTATGAGATTTTACATAAAGTGCCTAGAAAGTGCCTAGAAAGACTGTTGTTTTGAGCTGTTTAAATATGAGCGCTTTCTTTGACTTAATTTTTCTGACCCCTCAGACGTCAAGATCTCGAAATTAAGTAAATATCTTTATATTGAAAAGCGATGGTACTCTGAGAAAGCGGAGAAAGAAGGGATGAATGGATGAAGAGAAATTTGAGTTGGGATCGGATTTCAAAGAGCTGACTCGACAACTTGGGAAAAGGATGACACTAATGGGAGAATGTGGATGAAGAAGGAAAGAAAAGCATGGATCTTATTGGGAAATGATTTTGTTAAGTTTTGCATGAGTGGAGGAGAGTAAACCGTTTTCTAACGCTTTCCTTATTTAAATCTAAAGCTATTTAAATCTAAAGCTATCTAAAGCTAAAGCTATCTAAAGCTAAAGCTATCTAAAGCTAAAGCTATCTAAAGCTAAAGCTATCTAAAGCTAAAGCTATCTAAAGCTAAAGCTATCTAAAGTCATTTGTAAGTGGCCGAGTCGGTTACGCGCTTGCTTCTAAAACGAGCATTGCCTCTTTTAGGTCACAGGTTCGAATCCGGTCAGAGTCAGCACTTTTAAGAAAGAGCTCTGACATAATTTGTTTTTACATAATTTGTTAAAAACTACTTGCAAACAGTTATTAAAGACAAAATAAATTAAAGACAATCGTTTTAATCACTGAAACCAGTTAAAAACTCAGCAATGTTTATAAAATGATTGGATAAAAAATGAAATTTTAGAATGGGCATTACTTAACGTTTTACTTGACGCCTACTTACCGTAAATACTGTAATAGTAACCCATCCCCATAATGACGGTGTGGAGTGTTGCGTAGTCTAGCTTTGAACGAGTTTGTACGAGAGGGGTGGGGTGGGGTACTATTACAATATTTACGGTAAGTAAAAAATTATTTCGAAAACTTTACTCAAGTAATTACTGATTTGAGATGTACAGACTCTAGGCATGAGTGAGGAGAGAGAGGATTGAGGGTCGCATTGTTGACTAGGTAAATAGTTGAATAGGATGAGTAGTTAGCCGGTGACTATGCCATCTCCTCCAATCTTTTCCCTTCCACTCCAAATATCTCTTCTATTTCTATCTTTCGATCATCACTTAACTATTTTTACGACCAACGCTAATAATGAGTGAAATGTGAACAAGCAGGATTGATTGATGATTCATTTTTGATTTCATTTCTATTATCTCTATCATTTCTATCATTTCTATCATCATTAGGCTCTAGATTCTTTCCAGCTTACAATCAAAAGCTTATTGGGTTCTAGATTATTGAATTTTAAGCAACTATAGCTATTTTAAGCTATTTTAAGCAACTATAATCAACTAACAACTAACTAACTTTAGAGCAATATAACAAGCCTAGAAGTATGGTAAAATGGTAAACATACTTCACAAATCCAGCCATCTTGGGAATCGTTCAAGAGTCTATAGAAATCAGTCTATAGAAATCAATCTATAGAAATCAGTCTATAGAAATCAGTCTATAGAAATTAAAGCAATACGGAAGTCTATAGAATACTTGTTGAACTAGGCAAAAAAAAAAGCTTCCCCAATAAAAATGAGCAAGCGACAGACGGGTGAGGAGTAGAGGAGATCAAGAAAAAAGAGCTTTTTGTAATGGGTCCTCTCGACTCTCTTCAAAGAGACCATTGAACGGAGCTCCTTTTTTTTTCTTTCTCCTCACCAAAAACTTCTCGGTGGTCGATTAACTGATCCCTTGAACTCAGCGTCTCTTCTCAAGATCGGTCAAATGTAAAAGAAAAAAATTGCTAGCCGAAATCTGAGATCATTTATTTTCCCCCGTGCCGTTCAATTGCAATTGCTTTCAGGAAAAAATGTTGCTAAGATTTTGAAGGAAAATGATGATTCTTTTGATAGTAATTTATCGATTTATCAAACTTACTCGAATCCAAGCATTCTTGATGAATGATTCTCCATTTTTTGGCGTTCAACTACAGAATTTCATATGATTTTTAAGTAAAATAATAAACAAAAGACTTGATAAAGATAAAGATAATCAAAGGTTTTAAATAAAATTGAAAACAAAGATTTACAATGATTGTTTGAAAATGTTTGAAAATCATTGTAAGCTTTATAGGAAAAGAGATGGTTGTGTGGTTGAGTGAGTCATGAAAGTTGGTTGAGTCATGAAAGTTGGAGTGTTGGTTGAGTTGGTTGAGTCGTTGGAGAGAAAGTTGGCTAAAGATTTAATCAGTTTCAATCTTTTGAGAAGGCTTGAAACATGGCTAGTTTGAAGATAATTTACAAGTTTGTTGGTGTTAAAGAAGGCTTCCTTTGTGAGTTCCGCGTGCCATATGCTTCTTCTTTTTTCTTCTTCAACTACCAGAAAACAAAAGACTTGATAAAGATAAAGATAATCAAAGGTTTTAAATAAAATTGGAAACAAAGATCTACAATGATTGTTTGAAAATGTTTGAAAATCATTGTAAGCTTTATAGGAAAAGAGATGGTGAGTCATGGAAGAGTGAGTGATGAAAGTTGGCTAAAGATTTAATGAGTTTCAATCTTTTGAAACATCTTTACTTTGATGATAATTTACAAGTTTGTTGGTGTTAAAGAAGGCTTCTTTTGTGAGTTCCGCGTGCCATATGCTTCTTCTTTTTTTCTCTTCAACTACCAGAAAAAAACACTAAATCCATGAAAAAGTTGCCCTTGTGAGAAAGACTTTTTTTTTTTTTTTTTTCTTTTCTTTACTAGCTTTTCGTCTCAAGTTTCGTTTGAAACCAGGAAAAGAAACGTTTGTTTTGTCACCATCTGTCTGATTTTAGAAAAGGCTTTACTTTACTTACAATAGTAAACTAAGAGTTCATAAAAAATCAGCGAGCGAAACAGGCGAAACAATTGCATTGTACCCATAGTAGTCCTGATAGGGAATGTGTTGGAAAAAAAAAGAGAAGAAAAAATGGGGAGACAAATGGGGAGACAAATGGAGAAAAAAGGCGAGCAATCACAAATGTACAAGGCACTAGAAGCGACACCAAAGCGGCAGATGGTAGGGTACGCAAAAAAAAGTGAGGGAGAATTGGCAGTGATTTTGGGGAAATTTCTGGGCAAAAAAGATAACCGTATGATGTGTATGAAATGTATGAAATGTAGAAGAAATCTCATTTGTTTTTTAGACACGACGTCTCCGGACGACAGCTAGACGACGAACGACTTCGGGCTCGTCGGAGCCAGCGATTTGTTGCAGCAAGCGTTTCGTGATCGGCATGGAAATTATCTAGATTTTTTTGGGTTTTTAAAAACCTTTCAGTTCTAAAGCTAAAGTTATTTAGATCTAAAGCTAAAGAAATCTAAAGCTATTTAAATCTAAAAGTATTTAGATCTAAAGCTATTTAGATCTAAAGCTATTTAAATCTAAAGCTATTTAAATCTAAAGCTATTTAAATCTAAAGCTATTTAAATCTAAAGCTATTTAGATCTAAAGCTATTTAAATCTAAAGCTATTTAAATTTAAAGCTCTTTTATCATTGCTAATCTTGTTTAAAGAAGTTCAAGTAAAATGTTTATGATGATTTTGACTTTTCTAATTTATAAATGATGGTTTAAACTTTGAATTTGATATTTCGATGTAGCTGGGTATTGTATTTTGATTAAAACTTTGTCTAGATTTGTCTAGCTTTTGAGTTTTAGCTTTTTTTTCTGTATTCCATACCTTTCCGCCTCTCTTGCACGTGGCTGAACGAGGTTTTTCACAAACGCCGCAAGCGGCTCTAAAATTTATTTTTATAAACAAGATCAGCTTTATTTAAAGATCATTTAAAGATCTTTTAATGAATATCGAAAATTTCAAACCTGCAATTCTCCATCATGAAGTTCTTTCCGTGTGTATTCGTGCAATGACCCATCTTCTTGAAAGACTTGCAATGCGGATGGCGATCAGAGCATGCTAAAAATTTTGCAGTGATACGAATAAGTTTAAAACCACCACCAGCTTGCCATTACCCAGTTTTTTTTAAGCTTTAACTTATGTTATTCTTGTTTTATTTTATTTATCGTTAAACAGTTTCCCTATTTTCAGTTTTCAACTAGTTACCGTCAGTGGTGTTGTAGGCGGGAGTGCAAAGACCGCAAGTGGCTTGACAATAGACGGACATGTACTCGGGTTGCCTGGAATCATTAGATTGCTTTGTCTATGCCTAGTTTTCCTCTATAGATCTTTACGGGTATTGAAAAGTTTCATAAATATGTCTCTTTAAAGTGTGTAAAGTTAAAAAAAAACTAGCTGACAATATGAGGACTTTGGTAAAATTGATACAATGTTTGAAAGCTCGGGGGTGGGACAAATGCGACCTTTTTTTTGCTGGAAAAGGCCTTAGGCAAGGCCGTAAAGCTTCGAAAATATTTCCATATAAGGGAATCGTATCCGTAGATTCCGAATTTCGACAAATCAGACCTCGCTGACACGTCAAATTTGGGCTAAAAGGCAAAAACTACGCAACTTAACGCTTTTCCGCAGTTTTTGCCTTTTAGCCCAAATTTGACGTGTCAGCGAGGTCTGATTTGTCGAAATTCGGAATCTACGCATACGATTCCCTTCTATGAAAACATTTTTGAAGCTCTACGACCTTTCCTAAGGCCTTTTCCAGCAAAAAAGGTGCGCAAATGTCCAGGTGCGCAAAAAAAAGGTCGCATTTGTCCCACCCCCGAAAGCTCTTCACTTTAGTGATAAAACACTATACGGTAACAAAAGGATTAAGGTATTTTTAACCAAAAAAAAAGAAATTTCATACGCATCACATCCACCAAAGGACTCCCACGATTCGCAGCATTCATGACGATTGTAGCAATCGACGAAGAGAGGCGCCGCCATCTGGAAAACGTTTTTTTTTGCTCTTTATTTTATGACCGATTTTATGAGAGATCGCTCTATCTAATAAAATTTGAAACTTGATCGAGAAATACTTGAAGCAAATAAAAAAGAAAACTACTCACTTTTACTTTCACTTTTTTCACGAGAGCTACTTCTTGCAATTTTTGTTTTAATGCGATCGCTTTTGTTGAGTTTCCTTCGACTCGAAGGGTTTTCGCACCTCGAGCAAACTGAAATTCGAATTTCTAAAGGGAAATTGATAAAATGTTAATGTGTAATTTGTTTCAACTGATTGTCTAGTTCAATCTAGAAAAAAAGAGAAAGAGTTAGTTGGCAAGTGGGATAAAGAGCTGTGGACAAGTAACGAAGCGAATTAAGCAAAGCAAAACAAAACGAGAATAAAGCTTTAGAGCTGCTTTGGATCAAGTCGATTTTCTAAGCACTGTTTTAGGTCTGTAAAAGCAAGTCTAAGTTAGTTGGCAAGTGAGATAAGCAGAGAAAACTGTGAACAAGTAACGAAGCTAATTAAGTAAAGCAAAAAAAACGAGAATAAAGCTTTAGAGTTGCTTTGGATCAAGTCGATTTTCTAAGCACTAAGCGATTTTCTAAGCACTAGGTCTGTAAAAGCAAGTCTAAGCAAGCATGTTTTAGAGAAAAGTAAGATTAAGATAACAAATTCGAGTACCGTTACGGTACCTATAGCTTACGGTGGCTCTACGACGTCTGATCGGAAAATCGTGCTCGAAATCGACGTCAACGTTCGGCATCGATAATGCTTTACGGCGACGAGCCGATTGCGCGCGATCCGTGTGATGCTCTGCCAAGTGGTGATGCCTTTTTGAGTGCACAGTCGTCTCTTCTTCCACTCCATCGTTTACCCCTTCTTGACTCAACGCCTCGATTTCTCTCTACACAAATAGAAATTGCTTTGCAAACATTGCTTCATTCAATCATGCAAAAAAAAAACTCAACAAAAATAGCCTGAAATCTTGAAATTCTGAAAAATCAATCATTTTCACACAAAGCATGCAAAAAATTTCACAAAACTAGCATGCAATTTGATAGTTTATCAGATTTTGGTGCGCTTACGACGCTCACACTCAGTGAATTTGGCTGTGGATCATAGTTTATCAAATTTTGGTGCGCTTACGACGCTCACACTCAGTGAATTTGGCTGTGGATCATAGTTTATCAAATTTTGGTGCGCTTACGACGCTCACACTCAGTGAATTTGGCTGTGGATCATACCGCTTTATGTAAATTTCTTCTTGCTGAGTGGAGAAGTGGCTTTCCAAGCAATCGCACATTTTTCAAAAGCTTCACACTTTTAGGCGTTAAAGCTTTAGCGACTCTAGCTGGCGAGGCTTTTCGCCTCAACGCGGCCACTCTCTCCAATTGGCTTTTGCGAGCCGTTCGACTAGTCTAATTTGATTTGAAACGATTACTAGACTAAAAGATCTAGAAAGATCTTGAAACTTACAGCGAGTTGACACCTTCCGAACCAGCATCGTCCTCTATAGCAAGCGTTGAACATTTCAAAGCCTTGACAGCTACCGCCGGGTTTGATCTACAAAGAAAAGCTTGCTTGCTGTCTTTTGCTTTTGCTTGTCAAAGCTGCAATTTACCTTCGCCACACAGTGGGGGAAACCTCGAGTGTCACAGAAGAGATAAGGCGAACCACACGATGGATTCTATAAAAATGAAAACAAATCAAATGCAGTGGATCAAATCAAATTACCTGGAAAGAGCAAGTGGCTCTCGGAGCATATCGGTACATTTGATCGGTGTATCCATTAGCAAGTCCTGAAAAAGAAAATCTTTTAAAAACCCATTACCCAACTCTACCATCAGCATTGACAAGATAGGGGAATGGCCTCATAATAGCGTTCCGGAAATGCTGCACATTCGAGCAACTCCAGTGATCCGGAGCGTATGACTGAAAGAGTTTTTTGATAACATTTTAAAGCATCTTAAAGCACTTACAAGGAAAGGCAGTAGACATGGAAAAATTCCAAGTCGAACCTAATTCCAGTTGCATTTTGCTCGGCCAAGAAACGGTCGAGAAAACGACGGTGGAATTAGGTTCGCGTTGGAATTTTCTCATTTCTAAAAGGCACCAACTTAAGCTGGTCTTTTGACTCGAGCTTAAGGCTCGAGCTAACTTATAGCTTATACACGCTGGCTCGACGGGCGCCACGGTGGTCTAGTGGATAGTCTGCTAGACTGCTGATCCTGCCACCTCTTTGCACCCAAGTTCCAATCCAACTCTCGCCAAACTTTTTTAGAAAACTGTTTCTTTATTTGTATTGAATCATTGACTCGAATTTTGCACACAGCTTTCTGCAATTTCAATAAATTTACGAAAGCTGGAATGTTTCAAATTCAAATTTCAAATTTCCCATGGTCAATTCTATCAGTTAGATTTGGTCTCAAGTCAAAAGGTTCACATAAAGTTTTGGTGCCTTTCTGTTGTTAATCAAATATGATACCTGTTCACGGATCCATCTTGGCTGTTTCAATTGTCTCCAGAGTTCCCAGAGGTAGTCGACGAACGAGTGATGCATGAAGAAGATTGGCTCATTAGCTGAAAATTTCAGCTAATTCAAATTCAAATTTTCAGCTAATTTCAGCTAATTCATTTCAGCTTGTATTACTTGCAAGCTGAGATATTAAATAAGTCAAATATCAATGAATCATATTATACCCGAAGTTGACGGTGGTTCCATGTCGCCTCCAATCCACAAGTGAATGTTCGAGTGCGTGTATTCGATGGCTCCATAGTTGTTTCCATAAGGGCATCCTGAAAGTTCGCTTATTTAAATTGTTAATATCTAGTTTAATATCTAGATTAATATCTAGTTTAATATCTAGTTTAATATCTAGTTTAATATCTAGATTACTATCTATATTAATATCTAAATTTAAATCCAAATCGTTTAGCAATGAAATATCGAAAGTTTACCCCATTGTGGAGCGGTGAAAGCCAGAGTGAACTCAATAGCGTTTTGAGCAACAATGTTATTGATTTGTTGTTCATCAAAAAGTCGTCCTTTTCTCGCCAATTGACTAGAATTTTAAAGTTTCATTATTTTAATGTTTTTTTTCTAAAGTTTAAGAACGATTTCTTTTATAAAATTAAACCGATTGATTGTCGAACGCCCTTCGAGAGTTCTCCAATAAGCGAAAGGTCCTTGAATCACATTTCCCCAGTAATCGGATTCACCTAAGATAAAGAAATATGATGTTAGTCGATTAAAAAGTGATTTGTCGAAGTTGAAAACAAACCAGCAAACATGTTAGAGAAGAGGATCGAGTCTCTAGCGTCGGGCAAATACCAATCCATCACCGAATCCCAGTAGGGAACCGCCACCGCTGGATCGACAAGACGGAGAGCGATTTCGAATCTGGATTTGATTCAATTTCATTCAATTTCATTCAATTTCAATTTTAATTTCAATTATTATATTGTTTTTGTAATTATTTATTTATTTAGTTTATTTCTTTTAGTTATACCTTTTTAAATACTCGCGATGCCATGGTAAAAATCCAGGTCCAGAATGAGCACCAGATCCAGTTCCAACCTGGAAATTTCTTCCTTTTTTTAGCCAATCTTTGGGGTAGGCTAGTTTCCGCAACTTTTTAGTTATACAATAGATGAAAGCTTTGAATCAATGAGGGAAAAAGACGGGGGTGGCTACTTTGCGCAACTGGGTCATTTGCGCAACTCACCATAACTTTCTTCTAAGTGGGCTAATCTTTATGATTTTGATTTCATTTTGTAGATCTCAATAAGTGCAACAAAATGAAACCAAAATCATAAAGATTGGTCCACTTAGAAGAAAGTTATGGCGAGTTGCGCAAATGACCCAGTTGCGCAAATGACCCAGTTGAGCAAATGACCCTGTTGCGCAAATGACACAAAAAAAGTTGCGGAAACTATCTTCCCAATCTTTTAAAATCCCTTTCTAACCAACTCTTTTCAAATTCCTTTTTTTAATTTATCTCTAATCTTTTTAAAATCTCTTTAAAATAAAATTTCACAAAAAAAATCCCGTAAACAAACTGATAAATGTTGAGCTGACAATCGATCATATTCTCCATTTCTCTTGAGCACGTTCAGAGCATTGTGCCATCTAATAAGAGAAACAAATAATTGATATAATTGATTGCTTTAAGTGAAGATAAAGTGAAGATAAAGATAAAGTTTTTTTGCATTGTTGCTGCATTGTTGTTTTCTTTCTAAAAAAGCAAAAAAGCACCGATTTCTTTCATCATCAGTCATCATTCGATACTCTTTTCGATAAGCCATCTGCAGTGGGGCTCCATTCGAGAGAATGCAATTCCCGTTCCGTACGGTACCCTGGAAATTGAAAATTCTCATTTTCTATGAAGACAACTTCTATAAAGATTTGTAAACTTGTAGAAAGTGCTTTGCTGAAATTGAAATTTTGCTTAAAGCCAAAGCAAATCTATTTTTCGCTATAGATCGAAAGATTTCCTACGTAAAAGATTCCTTTTTTTAGATCTACTAAATATTCTAATAGATATTCTAATAGATAGTCTAATAGATATCCTAATAAATATTCTAATAGATATTCTAATAGATAGTCGAATAGATATCCTAATAGATATCCTAATAGATAGTCTAACAGATATTCTAATAGATATCCTAATAGATATTCTAACAGATATTCTAACAGATAGTCTAATAGATATCCTAATAAATATTCTAATAGATAGTCTAATAGATATTCTAATAGATATCTTAATAGATAGTCTAATAGATATTCTAATAGATATTCTAATAGATATTCTAATAGATATTCTAAGTTTTATCTATCGTTTTCCTGTTTTTTTTATGACCTAAAATCCCTCTGATCCTTTCACTATGTAAATTCGAATTGACAGGCAAAAACGCGAGAGAAATAAAGGATTTTAGGGAGAAAAGATCTCACAGATACTTGAGATTTTTCCCTTTTTTTTCTTAAACAAATTCCTGAGAATTTCTCAATTTCCATTTAAAGTCCAGTTTTTAAATGCCAGAGCTAGAGTAGAGGGGTTTTTTGAGTAATCAAAGATGAGTGAAGAGTACTTGTGTTGCTGAGCATGACCATGCTCAGCAAAAAGTTCCATCTAGGTTCTCTAGAGGTTCTAACCTTTCTCTTTTTTTTAGACTCTTCAGAAATCAGAAAATCTTGCTGTTCAAGGGGTTTTTTTTTCAAATTTTCATGATCTTACGCGGAAGAATGGGCAAAGACAGATGATCGTCATGCAATCGTAGGGATGATAGGCGGCTTGACCACGACTACCCGCAGCCAGTGGAATCGGTTGTTGCCAAGTGGGCGCTCCTGAAAATTTCATTTTAACATCTTCAGCTTTTAAGCATTGAATTTGTCACCTATTTTTCAACTATTTCACTCATTTACCATTTCTTCTCGTGTCCTCGACCACTGAGTTCCCCACTGCGGCTTGACGAGCAGCACGTCGACGGGCAATATGATCCATGTGACGGATCTGAATTTTGAAAATTGACGCATTTTCTAAGATACAGTCGGCCACTTCAAATAGCTTAAGCTAAAAGTATTCAGCTAAAGTTTAGCGTCAAAAAGTTTCATTCAAACAAAAAGTATTCTTGAATCCTGAGAATTTACTACAGGTTTTAGCTGGCTAGCTGGCTAGTTGACTAGGTGACTAGATGACTAGATGACTAGGTGACTAGATGACTAGATGACTAGGTGACTAGATGACTAGATGACTAACTGACTAGCTGGATAGCTGGATAGCTGGATAGCTGAATAGCTGACTAACTGACTAGCTGAATAGCTAAATAGATGACTAGCTGACTAGCTAACTAACTGACTAGCTAACTAACAAACTAGCTGACTAACTGACTAGCTGGCTAGTTGAATAGCTGACTAGCTGGTTAGCTGAATAGCTTTTAAACCCTATAACAAGAGACAATTCTGATCTTTAAAACCTATTTCTAAAACCTGAAACCACTTTTCTAGATGTTTTTTTTGCTAATGTTTCTCTAGAACGGGAAAAGGAGAGCAAGAAGAGGCGGTCTTGTTCACCCTGAGGACAGAATTTTTCCCACGCTTTCTCCATATAAATTCTCTTGGCTATATAGACTATTTCAAAGAGTTTCCTCCCTATAACTTAGCTTCTACAATTTAGCTAAATAGCTAACTCTCACCATTTTGCATGTGTTTTTCGTGTCAAGATTTGGCGCATCGGAGCAGTCTCTAGGCGGCTCGCGTCTCAATCTCTGCATTGTCGCCGCCATTCTAGATTTTAGATTGTAGATTATTTTTAGAAATTTAAAGAAATTTAGAAATATATCTTTCATATCTTGTTTTTATACAGTACCTGGATTTCGTTTGTAGCTGCGAACGAGCGGTTCTTTGTTCAGAACGTGACACTTTCTGCGTGAAGACCACAGTCAACCACGAGGCACAAAGCACGAGGCTCAGCGCCGGCAAGCGCATTTTTTTTAAACCTAAAAACAGCTAGTTTCTCAAAACAAAGCTGAAACTAAAAGAGAAATAGAGAAAGAGCTAAAAGAGTTAGCAAAAAAAAATGAGCTAAAATCTTTTTGATTAAAATTTAAAAAGGGAAATGAAAGCCGATAAGTTTAAGGGAATTTCAGTTTCATTTTTTTCAGCTTTTAAAGGTTTTAAAGGTTGTTTATATGAAGTTTATATGAAGTTTTTTGGTGAAAAGTTGTCTTTTCTTTCTTTTTTTTGATTTAGAAAGAGACAGTGACTAAGAAAAGAAAATTCTAAAAAACCTCACCAATTGACTCAAGTTTTTGGTATTTTCAAATAGAAATTTTCGAAGAAAATAAAAATTTTCCCTGCTTTTTCTATAGAAATTCTAAAAGATTTCAATTTATATTTAAAGAAAAGAGGAAATAACACGGGGAAAGTTTAAGGAACATTACATCTGATTATGGGAAAATTCAAGGCAAAGAAAAAAAGTGAAGCTATTGAGAAATTAAGCGCAATATCAAGATCTAGATGTTTGCTTGCAAAACTGATGGACTCAACGGCTCTCGATCTTTTTGTGAAGGGAGGAGGAGCTCCACTCCCTCAAACACACACAGAAAAAAAAACAGTTTTCCCTCAAATTGCCGTGAAAAATTATTCCCTTCTCTAGATTTTCCCTTTTCTCATTTCCCGGATTTCTTTTTGGAGAAAAATCCTCAGCAAAACGAGAGAGACTGGGCTTTTTTTCGAGCTTTTCTCGGCTAGAAAATCGTTCGGCTAACGGGCTCAAGGTCCATCTTGAGACAATAGGATTTTATCATGAAAATCAATAGTATCTGAGTAATCGAAAGGAGAAAACTCAGCTTAGAGAAATGTGAAATGAATCTAGAGAGAAGGGGGATTTGAAATTGGCATGTTTTGCTTCGGTAAATAGCACTGGGAAATTGAAATGGGCTAAATAAAATTACAAGAGTACTGGGTAAAGTAATGAAACACATGCTTGTCCAAATAAAGTTAAACTAGATCTTTTCATCAGTAGAAAGATAGAAAGTTTTAAAGTTTAAGTTTAAAAAGAGTAAAAGATTCACTGTTGGGAGTCGAAACCGCGATCTTCAGCTCACTGGGCGATTGTGCTAACCATTACACCACAATACACTCGCTCTAAAGGCAGTTAACTAAAGAACCAGGACTAAAATTTAGTTCTAACCGATCTTTTTAAGTCTAGTCTAGCTTTGAACGAGTTTTTCTCGACACTGGTTTATGCTACAATGCTCGCTTAGGTATCAAAAAATAGCTGAAATTCAGGGCTATTTTTTGATACCAAAGACGCATTTTTTGAAAGTACGAGCGCTTTGAAAAAAAATTAAATACTCAAAAACTTTTGCGACTACGCGACTGTACGAGGGAGGTGGGGTACTATTACAGTATTTACGGTAGGTGAATAAATCTAGAGCTTTTAGGTTTTAGAGCATATAGAAAGACTATAAAAATCGTGGAACTATAGCCTAACCCAGACACTTTCTTCCAATCCCAATGCATCGAATCGGCTCTAATTTCTCTAATCGACTTGTTGAAAAAAATCGAGTTAGAAAAAAATGTTTTTACGCTTTCTTTTTTTCTTTCCCCATTTTCTATTGTCATTTTTCTTTTCGCTTTCTTTTCAAATCGCCGATCTTGACAAGAAGAGCGAGAGCAAAAGCTCAAAGTGCTGAGTTGAGTCAAGAGAAAACCTCAAAACTGAGTCTCATCCAATCGAAAAATAAGTCTAAGTTGATGAAATGATTTTTCTGGAAAAGTTTTAGAAAGGGAGAAAATTTGAAGGAAAACTTTTATAAAGAAAAGAAATTGTGACGTGGTTTGGGAAAGAATTTTGAAAGATGCTAATATTTCAAAATTCTTTCTCATTTTTGTCATTAATTAAATCAATTTCTTTATTTCTTTAATAGATAATCAGATTTTTGTGATACTAGTAAAGGTATTTATAAAATTCAAACAAAAAAAACATAAGAATTTAAGGCTTTGTCTGGTTTTGACTGGCTTTGATTGGCTTTGACTGGATTTGACTGGTTTTGACTGGCTTTGACTGGTTTTGACTGGTTTTGACTGGTTTTGACTGGTTTTGACTGGCTTTGATTGGCTTTGACTGGATTTGACTGGTTTTGACTGGTTTTGACTGGTTTTGACTGGCTTTGTCTGGCTTTGATTTAAACGAAAGCTAGAAAAGAACGTTTCTTGCTGAATCTAGTTTATATCTAGAGATTTAGCTTGAGTAAAAGTTATCAATATGTTCTTTAATATCACATTGCGCTAGTACAGTCGACTTTTGATTTAAGCATTCTAAAAAACGGCCTTAAACTTAAACTTGTTGCTTAGCTGTCCTAAACGGTCAACCATTGGCTGGGTAGCTGCAGTGCTTTCTGCTTTCTCGTCGTTAAATCGAGAGTCAACTGTATTGTATTTTATCCAAAAAAACACCTTTCATCTTCGGATTTTATAAGAAAAGCCAAAAAAAAAACCCAGAAAATGAATCAAAAAACAAACTAAACAACTGAAAAATTGGGTCAAACAAACTAGACAACTGAAAAAGTGTTTGTAATTGTTTATTGTGTAAAAAGACATAATTGTTTGATGGCTTTGAGAAATAAGCTCTTAAATGAAAGCTTTTTACAGGAAAAGAAAAGGATTTTATTTTTTCAAAAAGATTTTTGGGCACAGATTCTCCTATTTTTTTTTTTTTTGGTTTCGCGGCTTGAAGGTCATCTTTTATTTTCAATCTTCCACTAATAAATATCAAAAAAAAAAAAACATCAGAACCTTATCAAAGCCTTTTTGAGAATCAATTTCACTGCTTTTTATTTGTTTATGTTTGAAAATGATCGGAAAGTGAGAAAATTTCGGTAATGATAAAGAGAATGATAATGATTTCGGTAATGAAAACCTGGTAATGATAAAGAGCTGGATGGTAAATGGTATGAAAAGGAAATCTTTCGATTTTTTTTTTGGAAACATTTAACACAGAAAGTGATTTAACAAATCTCAAATTGATTTGACAAAAGAAAAGCTAATTTTTAAGCAAAAAAAAAACGCTAAAAAGCTAAAAAGCTAAGTTCCAAGTAATGCTTACTGTATTTCTTCGAATAGAAGACCGGGTAAAGAGTATCATCGCGTACTCCTGCGTAGCAGCCCTTTTTAAAATTTCTTTTCTGCATAAAAGCTTTCAATCAAGTGCTATAGAGCTGGAAAATGGCTCAAAAATCTGTTAGCTCATGTCGTATTTTTGAGTCATTTTCCAGCTCTATAGCACTTCATTGAAAGCTTTTATGCAGAAAAGAAATTTTAAAAAGGGCTGCTACGCAGGAGTACGCGATCATACTCTTTACCCGGTCTTCTATTCCAAGAAATACGGTACTTTATTCAAACCTAAAAGATTCAAAGAAAGCCAAAGGAAAGCCTCAAATCAGATTGGTTTAAAAAAAATCGAATCCAAAGCCAACTCATGGAAAACTCATGGGATTTTGTAGAACAATGAATCGTTCGTGAAACGGGGATTTTCCCCTCACCTTTATATGATTTGAGAAGGGGATGGGAGGAGAGGGAAATTGAGGATCTCGGAAATCTCGGATCTCAACTCTCCTCAATCCATCTCCATTTCTTTTTTTCCCCTCTCAAAACCCCCCGCCCCCCATTATTACTTGAAAAATTGAAAATTGAAAAAAAATTTTCTTTTTTCTTTGAGCAACTTGTCGCTTTCTTTCTCAGCTTTTTGCCCATTTTCACTTCTCGATCGGAGTGCTAACTCGGTCCTCTCACCATGCTCATTTTCACCTCGTGGGTGGTCGTTTAACTGAAAATTGCCCCCATTCTCACATATTTTTAAAGAGAATTGTTTAAGCTAAATGCTTTATTCAGAAAGAAATAAAGGGCGAAAACGACATGAAAAATGTACTAGATAAAAGATGACAAAGTCACTTAATGTACTAGATAAAATGTACTAGATAAAAGATGACAAAGTCACTTAAAATGCAACGAAATAGCCCTTTTAAAATTAAGCTAAGCTAAATGCTTAAACAATGTTTTTCTTTTTCAGTAAGAAATTTACCGTAAATACTTTAATAGAAGCCTTTAATTTACCGTAAATACTACAGGAGCGTCACGTGGTCTAAGTTTAAGCGCAAACAAACGCTCATATCTCGACACCAGTAAGTTTATTTCTGCGCGCTTAGGTATCAAATTAAAGTGGAGAGAGTGGGCGATTTTTTTTGGGATATAACACATATTTCGGCTTTGACTAGTGCTTAGAACAAAATGATTTGAAAATTGATGAAAAATCGGCTTTTTTTTGCCACTTTTCAATTACCGTATTCTCTCTAATAGTAGTGCACCCTAAGCGTTGCCTAAATTGCTCGAAATCTCGAGAACCGCTTATCAGAACCTATCGATGTGGGGTTGGAAAATCTAGCTGACGATGAGATCTTGTGGGGGATTTGAGTGTTGAGCTTCTGCAAAAGCTTTGAAAGCCGTGAAATAGTCATCAACTCGGCTCGGCTCGGTGCATGACTATTAGAGAGAATACGGTATTTAAAGTTGGCTTTCTTTTGTTTAAGCTCATAGCTCAAGCTACAGGAAAATTCAATAAAATTTAGCCTCTTTAAAGCTAAAATAGTGATCGACTCGGCTCGGCTCGGCGCATTACTATTAGAGAGAATACGGTTTTTTTTTGTTCTAAGCACTGGTTAAAGCTGAAAATATGTGTTATATCTAAAAAAGAATCACCCCGTCTTCTCTGTTTTAATTTGATACTTATGAGTGCAAAAAGAAATGTCTGTGCGCTAAGAGATGAGCGGTTTTTTTTGGTGTATAAACTTAAACTACGCGACGATTTTATAGGGGGGCTTCTATTAGAGTATTTAATCTGTTTTAAATTTGCAAATTGTTAATTTTCCTAGCAGTCACTGCTAGAAGTAGGAGGTGATTTTCGGAAATCTCTTCATATTTCAAATGATTAACCTGCCATTTTTGCAAATCATTAGCTGTAATCAAATTAGAAACAAATTGATCGTGTTTGAACAAAAAAAAAAAAGGAAAAACCAACAAATGTTTAAACATAAAACATAAACATAACAATGTTTAAACATTTTTTCATTTTTTCTCCACACAAACACGATCAAATTTGTTGCTAATTTGATTCTAATTTGATTCTATTAGGGTGGTGCAAAAGGAACTGCCGATTTGACGGTAAATTCAAAAAAAAAGATGGCGTTCGATGGTCACATGATGGTGACATGATCACAATGGAATATTTTCGCAAGATCTCGAGCAGATTGGCATGGATCGACCTGAATAACGTCCCTCAGCTTGGCTTCGTTCACGACTTCTGGCCTCGAACCGTGCTCGTAATCTTCCAAAGTCTCGTCTCCCTCTCGGAATCGTTGAAACCAAGTCTGACACTGCCTGAGAGACAAACTGCCATCTCCGAAAGCAGCACCGAAAGCAGCATTTGATTCTAATTTGATTCTAATTTGTTTCTAATTTGATTCTAATTTGATTACAGCTAATGACTTGCAAAAATGGCATGTTAACCATTTGAAATATGAAGAGATTACCCGGTTAAACGAAATAGTTGTCTCAAATGCTACAATTTGCAATGAAAACAAAACTATAGTACAATTATCAGCTACAGTAATTCCAAGAGACTGAAGATCTCTTCTACATCAGCCATACAGTACCACATACAGTACAGTAACGTGCTACAGTAATCCATTAAACCCCTTTCATCAGCTACAATAAGACTACATTGCCCCTTTCAACAGTTACGATACAGTTAAGAGTACAGTACTTTTACAGTACAGTACAGTACAGCACTCACAGTACAGTACTTTTACAGTACAGTGCAGTACAGCACTCACAGTACAGTACTTTTACAGTACAGTGCAGTACAGCACTCACAGTACAGTACTTTTACAGTACAGTGCAGTACAGCACTCACAGTACAGTACTCACAGTACAGTACTTTTACAGTACAGTACAGTACAGTACAGTACTTTTACAAAAGTTTATACAAAAGTACTCCTGTAAAAGAGTTAACTGAAAAGTTTTCTTGCAAAATTTTAGAAGAAAGAATTTCTAGAATGAAATCAAATTCGCACTTTGTTGTCTATCTTTTTCTTCTTGGCTTGCTTGTGATTGTTGTTTTCGAGACTTTTGTCACAGACACAGACATTTGTGGATTCTTTTCTTCCAATCTCCCATCTCAATTTCCCTCAAATTTAAGACAATAAAAAAAGCATGTAATCAAAGTGATAAAATGCGTTTTTCTTTCAGTGTCATCCTTTTTTTTTGTCTAGCTCAACAATTTCAAACAACTTTTCACACAACACAACAACTTCCCTTAAATTCTTTCCAGGTTTTCAGGGAGCTCACTTTGTGAAATGATAGTTAAATTAAATAATTAAATAAAGTTATTAAATAATTAAATAAGTTATTAAATAGTTAAATAATTAAAGTTATTAAATAATTAAATAATTAAAGTTATTAAATAATTAATAACTAATTAAAGTTTTGATCTTTTTTGATTTTGATTAAAGTTTTTTTTAAATCTAAATTCGTTAATCTTTGAGATCTTTTAAAGTTAAAAAGAATTGAAAGGAATGCAAAAAAAAAAAGATGTGAAGCTTAGATACTCATCGCTCTCGAGAGTGAGACAAAAAAAAAGGGTGACCCATCTGATATCCGAGAAAAGTCAAGATTTTCTGGAAAGATTTCCAGAGATTTTCTCAGTAATTTTTTGTGAGAACAATACATGTTCATGTTCGTTAAAAAAAGTCGAAAAATCTCTCGAAATCTCTTTTCCTTTTTTTACTTTCAAAGTCGACGCGTCTTAAAAAGCTGAGTCTTTTTTTTTTTTCTTCAGCTGGATTTTCTCTATATTTTTCCGGGGTCTTCTTTGTTCAACTTTTTCAATTTTTGGTATTTTGAGGAAAAGAGAAACGAGTGTGAAAGAAAGTTGAGGAAAAGTGTGTTGACAAGTTTCTCTCTCATTTATTTCATTTAAAAAATAGAGAGAGAGAGAGAGAGAACAAGATCGACTCACTTTCAATGCTAGAGATCTATTGGAAAAATATTGGGTTAGAGAAGAATTTTACTGAGTAAACTGCAGTGTTTTATGAGTAAATAGCCTCATGTGTTGAATTCTGTGTTGAATTTTAAATTTATCTTTGGTTTATTATGGTTAACTTGCGATTTTTTTTGCAAAATCATTGTAATCATGCATGCAAAATAGGGCCAAATAGGCCAAAATAGGGCCGAATAGGCCCAAATAGGCCTAAATAGGCAGCAATAGTCGCCAAATAGGCTCAGGTTGTTGGATGAGATTTGATGTAAACGGGTCTGAGTCTAAGTCTAAGCCTGAGTCTAAGCCTGAGTCTAAGTCTAATCCTAAGCCTAAGCCTGAGCCTGTGTCTAAGCCTAAGCCTGAATCTAAGCCTGAGTCTAAGCCTGAGTCTAAGTCTAAGCCTAAGCCTGAGCCTGAGCCTGTGTCTAAGCCTAAGCCTTTAATCAGCTGTAATCAAATTAGAAACAAATTAGAAACAAATTGGATCGTGTTTGTGTGAAAGGAAAATGAAGAAATGTTTAAACATAACGTCCCCTTTCTGAAACTGTTAAATTGCTTTAAATTGCTTTAACAGTCAAACCATTAGCTGTAATCATTAGGCAAATCATTAGCTGTAAGCAAATTTGAAACAAATTTGATCGTATTTGTGTGCAGGAAAAGTGAAAAAATGTTTAAACATTGTTATGTTTATGTTTTTTGTTTAAACATTTGTTCATTTTTCCGGATCTATTCGAAAGAGATCTATTGGAAAAATATTAGGTTAGAGAAGAATTTTACTGAGTAATCTGTAGTGTTTTATGAGTAAATTATAGCCTCATGTTCTGTGTTGACTTTATCTTTGGTTTGTTATGGTTAACCTGTTATTTTTTTTGCCAATCATTAGCTGTAATCAAATTAGCAAATCAAATCAAATTAGAAACGAACTAGAAACAAATTAGAAACAAACAAACAAATTTGCTCGTCTTTATGTGCAGGGAACAAATGAACAAATGTTTAAACATTGTTATATATAGATACTTTATTCAGGAGCTGAGATAAAGTGCGCTAGATTTAAGATTAAAACACATGCATTCATACACATAACACGAAAGGGGCCGATAAAAAGCAACATGATATATATATGGAATATATTATACCGTGTTGCCTCGAAACCTTTAAAAGCACAGATAACGTCAAGGATTCACTAGAGCTTCAAGATCATCTACAGATAATTTAAAGGTTTCGAGACTATTGGACTCTCTCAAAACTCTGGGGAGTCGATTCCAAATTCTGGCAGTTCTTATTCGTTCCCGTATTTTCTCTAATAGTAGTGCACCCCGGCGAGCCGAGTTGATGACTATTTCACGGTTTCAAAGTTTTAGCAGAAGCTCAACACTCAAATCCCCCACTAGAGCTCATCGTCAGCTACATTTTCCGACCCCACATCAATAGGTTCTGATAAGCGCTTTTCGAGATTTCGAGGAATTTAGGCGACGCTCAGGGTGCACTACTATTAGAGAAAATACGGTATACACAAACTTATTGGAGGTGACTGGAATTTCTAAAACGAAAGAACCTCTGTTATGTTTATGTTTTATGTTTAAACATTTGTTGATTTTTGCTGATCTATTCGAAAAATATTAGGTTAGAGAAGAATTTTATTCAGAAATTTGTATTGTTTTATGAGTAGCCTCATGTTCTGTGTTGAATTTTGACTTTATCTTTGTTTTTTGGACAAAATACTGGAACTGCAAGTGGACTGTTAAAGCAATTTAAAGCAATTTAACAGTTTTAGAAAGGGGAAAAAAGATTGTAGGTAGTAAAAGTGCTTTAAAAAGTTTTCAAAGTTCTCAAAAAACTTCTCTAACTTCTCTAAGTTCTTTAACTTCTCTAATTTCTCTAACTTCTCAAAGTTCTCAAAAATTTCGAGCTTCTAGTGGAAAGAGTTAAATAAAGAACTACACGAATTACTTTTACAATTACACCAAGTAAAACTATTACACTTCTTTGCACTTTGCATTTAAATTCTGATTTAAATATGGGGAGATCATAGGGAAATCAATGAGAGACAATCGCAGATTGGTCTACCTGAAATGGGAAGATAAGAAGAAGAAGAAGAAGAAAGCCTGTATCGATGCTTGCCTGGATGCCTGCCTCGATCCCTTCCCACTATCAGAAGTCGGGCTTGGTTTTTTTTTTCGCCGAAACTTACACTCGTTCACCCTTTCACTCGCTGTCCATCAATTGAAAGTCTCTAAAAACTCGAGATCGTGAAAAAAAAGCAATGTCCGAGGTGTCATCACTTACGCAAAATGAAACTCAACAGATGATCCCTACAAGGAATCATAGGTAAATTCTATTTCTTATACTTTGTTATAGATATTTTATATAATATTAAAGAAAAAGTTATTATAGTATATTAGAACTAGAATATTATAGTTAATTCTTTATTCTTTCTTAATTCTTTCCACTAGAATATTACAGTTAATCCTTTATCTTAATTCTTTATTCTTTCTTAATTCTTTCCACTAGCATATTATAGTTAATTCTTTATCTTAATTCTTTATTTTAATTCTTAAAATTCTGATAGAATTCGGTTAATGCTGAATGCTCAATTTGATTTAATTTTAAGAAGCTAGATTCGAAAAATAGATTCTCTAAAGATCTCTAAAGATTCTACAATTCTCTCAATTTTCTCTCAATTTTCTATATTATTTTATAAATCTTAAAAGAAGCTATCTGGAGTACGGTATATGTTTTGTTTTTATAAAATGAATCAAGAATCTAAGACTTTAGCTTTTAGGAGTCCCTCACATGCAACCCTTTTCGCTCCTCGACCCAAAGAAACCACCTCGATCTCGCCCGAACAAGCTTTAGCACATATGATCAAGGTAACTAATGAAATAGATAATTAATCTAATTTTATATTTTATAGGTAATGATGGGCACGGGAATGCTCTCGTTGCCGATCGCTTTCAAGCACTCGGGTCTCTACCTCGGCATGATTCTACTCACTTTCATTTGTCTCATTTGTATCTACTGCACTCGGCAACTTGTTTTAGCTCAACATTATCTATCTTATTTGTAAGTTCTTCGAAATCTCCTTCTCTTTCTTCCTTTCTTTCTCTTCCTTGTCTTTCCTAATGCTTCTCAGCCTGATAGCTCAATGGTAAAGCATCTGGGTGGTAAGCAGAAGATCGCGCCGGTAAGGTCGAGGGTTCAATTCCTCTCGATTGCAAATTCTTTGCTATTGGGAAGATGATTTCTGTTTTAAAACCTTCGAATCATCAAAATGACAAGCTTATAATCAACTTATTTTATGAAATTAATATTGAAAATTTAGAAAAGGTCAAACGAAAATGGATTATGCGAATGTGATGCGAAGTGCTGTTGAAATCGGGCCACCGTCTGTCAGAAATTGGGGATATTTTGCCAAGTAAATGTTTAAAGTTATGAAAAACTGAAAATGAAAAGCTGGAAATGAAAAAAAACGCTACAATGCCATCAAAATTTCTCAAATTTTTAGACAATGCGTGAATGTGAACATGTTCGTCGCGCAGCTCGGTTTCTGCTGTGTTTACTTTGTTTTCATGGCCGACAATCTGAAACAGGTAGAGAAATTTGCATCAAAAAAACCATAAAATCTCTCAATTGTTTATTTTTTAGTTTTTCGATCAAACCTCATCGATTCATATCTCCCAAGCCGGTTGGATTGGTCTTTTGCTTATCCCGATTCTCGCTTTATGCACGATTCGAGAATTGAAAGTGGGTGAAAGTTGGAGGAACTTTTCGAGAAAGATTACTTACTTTACAACTTTGAAAACTGAGTAAATTTTGGAGAAAGGATCTGGACCCTGGATCTTGATCTGGACCTGGACCCACTGGTTTGGACGGACTGACCCCTGGATCTGACCCACTGGTCTGGACCCACTGGATCTGGACCCACTGGTCTGGACCCATTGATCTGGACCCTGGCGGATCTGGACCCATTGGATCTTGATCTGGACCTGGACCCACTGGGTTTGGATCTGGATCTTGACCCACTGGATCTTGACCCACTGGATCTTGACCCACTGGATCTTGACCCACTGGATCTTGACCCACTGGATCTTGACCCACTGGATCTTGACCCACTGGATCTGGACCCATTGGATCTGGACCCATTGGATCTGGACCCATTGGATCTGGACCCATTGGATCTGGACCCATTGGGTCTGGACCCATTGGATCTGGACCCATTGGATCTGGACCTGGACCCACTGGATCTGGATCTGGATCCACTGGATCCACTTTTGACCTCTTCAATTTTAGGCTCTTGCTCCATTGGCCGCCATTGCGAATGTCTTGTATTTGTGTGCGGTGACGATTGTTCTCTATCAAATTGTGCAAGTAATGCAAAAGAGCTTGGCTACTGTAAATGGGCTTAAACTCAGCTCAATATTTGGTGTATAAAACTAGCAATCCTTAAATCAATCAGCACAAAATATCTAACTACATAAAGCTAACTGAACAATTTGAAGGAAAGTATCTTTTGACTACGTATTCTTTAACAAATTCACGACGATGGCATTTTTGAGAGTACAGTCGCGTAGTTGTTACTGTTTTGCAGATAATTTGATAAAGATTCAAAGATAAACGAAACTATTCTAGTCATTTGATAGTCCTGAATCTTCTCTTCAAAACTAGTATAAAGTTACCGATGAAAGGAAGAAGAAAAGTTTTTAAAACTTTGAGTTTACATAAAAATAATCATCATTAGTATTTATTATTATGAATTATTTCCTCTAAACACATGAAATCCATAGTTTTTTTTCTAAAATTATTCAAAAGTTTCAAAAGCTAGTCCATTCTCCATCTTTTTGAGTCAAAAGCTAGTCCATTCTCCATCTTTTTGAGTCAAAAGCTTGAGCTTTGAGCAAAAGCTTTGAGTTTCAAAAGCATTCTCAATCTTTTTTGAGACCAAAGTGAGAAAGTGAAGATTGTTAATGCAAAATAATATCTAGTTTTTAAGGGGGCTTCTATTAGAGTATAAAAATATTACTATATATCAACTTATCAAGTTATTTAAGGTAGAAAGAGCTACATGGGAAGTGCCAGCTTTCGGCTCTCTTTCAACTCTGCCGCTTTTCTTTGGTACAGTCATGTTCGCCTTTGAGGGAGTTGCGGTGGTTGGTTTTGATGAACGAATTTTTGCTTTTCTTTTTTTAAAATCTAGTAAATAGATCTAATAGATTTATCTAATAGATTTATCTATTAGATTTATCTAATAGATTTATCTATTAGATTTATCTATTAGGTTTATCTATTAGGTTTGTCTAATAGGTTTATCTAATAGGTTTATCTATTAGATTTATCGATTAGATTTATCTAATAGATTTATCTATTAGATTTATCTAACAGGTTTTTTTCTTTCTAAAATTTAAAATATAGTAATAGGATTGGGTTTAGGTGCTCCCAATCGAGAACCAAATGGACGAGCCGGCTCATTTCATCTCGTCAAACGGCGTCCTCAACACCTCATGCTTTTTAGTTCTCATCCTCTACTCTGGAGTCGGATTTTTTGGGTTCTTTTTCTTTACGTTAGATGATTTTTGATAGAAATTTTAGCTATTTAAAATACGGAGATGCTGTCATGGACACAATTACTTTGAATTTACCTCAATCAAGGTCAAAAAAATAATAATTAAATAAAAAAAAAAGCAATTTTAGCTTTTATCAAGTAATCAAAGTAATGTTTGTGTGTTGTATTCTTGTTTCGTATCCACTTCAATTCTATGTTCCCATGGAACGTGTCGAGAAATGGGTGAAGAGAAAGGTAAACCCATTTGAACACCTTCGAGAAATCGTACTTTGTGCTCAAGTAAACGCAAGGATCTGGTAGACAAATCTGGTAGACGAGATCTCTAGAAGATTCGCTAGAAAGCGTGCATTTTGACTGCAAAATTTCACAGAATTTTTAAAAGCTCAAACGATTTTAAGGTTCAAGAGGATAAACAAGAGAAACTCATCTATGGAATTCGCTTTATCACTGTTGTTTTTACTTGTAAGTTTGAAAAATTGAACATAAAAATGGAAAATGAAACTATTAGGTTAGTGAATTGAAAACTGCGGGACTTTAAACTAAAATTTATTCAACATAAAACCATCAATTCATTCGAAATAATTTCCATTATTATTGACGACTTCTGGCCATTTTACAGGCAATTTGCGGATTCCCTCTTTCGTAGTAGGATTTTGGTTTTGAATCGAAAAACGTTTAAAGCCCATTTTTGACTGCTTCTTCCAAATCGAAGTGTTCTCCCGCAAGCTCATTACTCATGATCCGGAATAAATAGTAATCAAAAGGGGCGAGGTCCGGACTGTATGGGGAATGCGCCAAAAGTTCCCAAACAAGGCTGTTTATTTTAGAGCGACTCAGTTTTGCAATATCAGGGCGAATTTTATTATATTGGTTTGGTGAATTGAAAACTGCGGGACTTTGAACTAAAATTTATTCAACATAAAACCATCAATTCATTCGAAATAATTCCCATTATTATTGACGACTTGTGCCCATTTTACAGACAATTTGCGGATTCCTCTTTCGTAGTAGGATTTTGGTTTGTTTGTGAGACAAGTGTGAGACTCAAAAGTCGAGAACTGGAGATGTTCCAGTTTGAGCATTTGAACACTTTCTTCAAAAGAAACCCATTTTGGTGTCAATAGAAAAGTTGTAGAGAATCAAAAATTAGGCTTATAGCCAAAATTTCCATTGACACCAAAATGGGTTTCTTTTGAAGAAAGTGCTCAAACTGTCACATATGACAATAGCCGGCAGTTTTCAATTCACCAACCCAATAAAAATGAAAACTCTCAGGCATAATGGCTCAACTAATTCCCCATTTGGCTCTATTCATCTCACTCGTTGGCTCTGTGGCGGGAACCTCGCTAACTCTGGTAGAGAAATCTTAATTTATAGCTTATAAGTTATAATCTTATAAGCTTGCCATATCTTTATGTACAAAAAAGAAAAAAGAACTTTTTCTAGGTTTTCCCACCGCTTATCGAAATCCTTTGTTATTACTCAAAGGGTGGATTGACTCCATGGATTTGGGCGAGAAATATCGCCATCATGCTCTTCTCGATTGTCGGCTTTACGACAGGTTTTTCAAATTTTTGTATAGTTTATAATAATTTTATAATATTTTATAATAATTTTATATTGTAATCCCCTAGGCACTTATGCAAGCATCGTGCAAATCATTGAAGCTTTCGGAAAGTCGGACGTTTGAATTTGATGAGAAATTTGGTGCTCAAATAAATCTTTTGTGAATGATTTTTGTTTCTTTAATGATGCAAATTTTATGCACTGATTAGGGTAGAAAATAACAACTAATCAGTACTAGAATTTATCAAAACTTTATCATATCAATACTTTACTTTATCATATCAATACTTTATCATATTAATACTTTATCATATCAATAATTCTAGTATTGATAATAATAACTAATCAATACTAGAATTTATCAATACCTTATCATATCAATACTTTATCATATCAATACTTTATCATATCAAATACTTTATCATATCAATAATTCTAGTATTGATAATAACAACCAAATCAATATTAGAATTTTCAGTTCACAATTTCTATTTAGCACTAACTGTTGATAAAGAAATTTAGTAAAAAGTAAACTTTAAAGGGGAATTCCGGTCCCCAGCGAAATCCGATTTTTCCTTTGAACCATTATAAATAGTTCTCAACAACCAGCATGACCAGCTACTGGTTTGGCCGAGTGGTTAGTGTTTTTGCCAAAGAGGCCAACGTTTTTTGTTTTTGCCAAATCTCCTTCGTTTTCGGCTTTTGCTTTTTTGTTTCTCATTAGATTTTTCAAGAAGCGATTAGCTGAGCCAAGATCCTTACGAATATCTAGAATTATTACCCTTTCATTAACGAAAGCTAAGGAAAAAACTAATTTTTTTTTGTTTAACACTTTCCCATCGTCTTACCTTTTAGAAATCATTGAAAATTGCGGAAATTTTGATTCAAATTGACTGATAGTATCATTTTCTTAATACTTTTTAAACAACTTGTCGATCTGTAGATATAGAATATTGAAATCAAAAAAAAAAACTATTTTCCTAAATACCTTTAGGAAAAAGTACAACTAATAAACCGTCAATTAGCAACTTTTTTTTCGGAACTCATTAGTACGTGTGCTAAAAGTGTTAAAAGTTAAAAGCTAAAAGTGTTAAAAGAAAAAAAAAGATGTAAAGAAGGGGTAGAAAAGGCGTAAAATAATAAAAGATCACAAAGATGGGGAGTGGGACAAATGCGACCTTTTTTTTGCGCACCTGGACATTTGCGCACCTTTTTTTGCTGGAAAAGGCCTTAGGAAAGGCCGTAGAGCTTCAAAAATGTTTTCATAGAATGCGTAGATTCCGAATTTCGACAAATCGGACCTCGCTGACACGTCAAATTTGGGCTAAAAGGCAAAAACTGCGGAAAAGCGTTAAGTTGCGTAGTTTTTGCCTTTTAATCCAAATTTGACGTGTCAGCGAGGTCTGATTTGTCGAAATTCGGAATCTACGCATACGATTCCCTTTATATGGACAAATTAATTCGAAATTATTTTCGAAGCTCTACGGCCTTTGCTAAGAGCCTTTTACAGCTAAAAAAAGGTGCTAAAAGCAAAAAATGTCAAGAGAGGGCAAAAAAAGGTCGCAAAATTATAAACCACCCCAAAGATGTGAAAAGAAAGAAAAGACTCCTTAAATACCCCAAAGCAAAACCGTCAATTAACTTTCATTTGCTTAGCTGAATATCTTTAACGGCCTTTTGCTGATATGGCGAGAATTTGTTACCGCAGTCCAGACGAAAACTACGGTAGAATTAATTTTGCTATATAAAGCTTCCGTCAAATTGAATTTTAGGTTCCCAAACGCATTTTTTTTGACACTTTTTCATAGTTTTTCCGGGATTTTTAGTGTTTTCAAGGTTTTTCTTTATGCAATCCTTGTAGAGAAGACTGAAACGCGTTGATTGGTATACAAATAGTCGTGCTTCTAGAAAATCACTTTTAAAGGGACCAGCGTATCCCTTTAAGCTTTTTTTTCAAAGAACATCAAGATATCTAGCTAAAGATCGTCCAAATCCAAAGCCAAAGCCTAAGCCAAAGGCAAAGCCAAAGATTCAAAGATCCAATCTTAAAATTTGAGAAAAGAAAGAAAGAAAACTTTAATTTCTTTTAAGCAAAGAAAGAACTTTAATTTCTTTTAAGCAAAGAAAAAGAAAGAAGAGGCAACTTTTCGCGTGTAGGTAATCACTTCAACAAACAGTTTATTCGCCATTTGACGGATCGGAAAAGCGGCGTTGAGTTGAGAAAGTGGAAGTTTCACGCGGGAACACCGTCCATTTACCGCTCTCTTCCTCTGATTACTGATCACTTTTAGGTGATTTTGAAGAAATCAAAGGTTTTTGAACAGCTCTTTGAATTGCTTTTTGATAATTTTCATCGCTGATCGTTTGGCAATTTTGTTGTAAAGTTTTAAGAGTTAAAGCAGTGAGATATGTTTAGTTCTTATGGATATCTTAAGCTAATATTTGTTTTTCTTAAGTTTAATCGCTTCTAGCTTATTCATTTCTAGTTTCTTATTTTAAAAGCTTGAATTATTAGGTTGATGCATAAGTGTTTTTGTTCCTTTTCGTCTGCCGTTTCAAGCCAACAAATGCACCAATTAAACTACGGTTGATTTCATTAGAAAAACGAATTATTTTTCTGCAAAATAACATTAAAACGGGTTTAAAAATATTTAATGCCTGGATTTTCTTGAGAGTATGAAGTCGGGTAGTCAAAAAGGGCAAACTCGATGATGCGGTTTAGACACCTTAGCTAAAGAAAACCTATCTTCGTGTCAATAGATAAAAGATAGAGAAAAAAAACGTTTGATATTTCGCCAAAATTTCAGAGAAATTCATTCAGCCAATTTTTCCGTAGAGTTTTTTTATAGATTTTTACGAAAAAGGCGTTTTTCACTCTCGAATTTGCTTGAAAGTGAACCGAAATTCATTTAAAAAGATGCAAATTGAACAAAAAAAACACTTTTTTTATAGAGCAAACTATAGATTAATTGGTGAATTTGTTACTTTTTAACAGAAGTACGAAAAAAACGAAAAGACTTATGCATCAACCTATTAAAAGTTGAAGAAATGAACAAAAAAAAAAAAAAAAAGAAATCGCAAAATTGTTTCGCAAGATTTTTCATGTTTATTGAAAGAAGCTTAGAAAAAGTTCAGTTAGAAAAAAAAGAGAATGGTGTTTTGATGAGTCATTTGATTCTCTTTTACTTGCTTACCCTCTTTTAGCCTTAGAAATTGGGGTTTTCGTGGAGTCGAGGGGTTGGAAAAAGAGTGAAAGGGGGGAAGGGGGGGGATTTGGTTTCGACCGCCATTTTGTGTCCCCTCCGCCTCTCTTTCACACTTTCCTTGCACGCCAACCGTTTTCCTCTATTCACAGAAATTTTTAAATTCGAATTTCTACTTACTCTTTCTCTCTTCCTTTGTCACCAATCTCTTTGACCATTTTATTCAATTACTTCTTTTTCCAGGAAATATCTGGCTTTAAATAAGTTTTGTATTATTGTAATGGATGAATTGCTGTCTATTTATTGTTTTATGAATTGAAAACTTGTCATTTCTTCTTGAAAAGAAGAAATTCTTCTTTCTTCTCTTCTTCTTCCTTTCTTCTTTCTTCTCCTCTTCTTCCTTTCTTCTTCTTCCTTTCTTCTTTCTTCTCCTCTTCTTCCTTTCTTCTTCCTTTCTTCTTCTTCCTTTCTTCTTTCTTCTCCTTCTTCTTCCTTTCTTCTTTCTTGTTCTTTCAAACTGTTTCTTCTCATTTTATTTGACTGTTTTGATAGTTTTTGATTTGAAAAGTTTGAAAAAGAAAATTTATTGAGCCTTTTAGCCTTTTATTGACTCATCTCTTCAAAATCTGTAATCATTTTCCTAACTTTTCTTCAAATTTATACTTTTTACGTGTAAATGAATCATTGTAGAATATTTTCCAAAAAAAAACCGATTGGAATATATTGTTTACTCTGCAAGAACCCTTTCAGACCCCACAAAATACCCGAAACTCTTCTCAAGGAATTATTCACTCTGTTTGTCCTCTTCTTTTCCTTTTTCTTTCTTCGCCATTGGCACTAAAAGCTTCTCTACTTTACTATTATGGTCTAGATCTAAATCTTTCAATATTGAACCTTTAAATACTTTAGATAATATTTTATTGATAAAAAGCACCTTTGTTTTACGACTTCTTTCATAGAGGTGTGGCTTAAAATTCTCAAGTTCATAGGAATTGCAATAGCTCAGCTCAGCTCATCTGCAATAACTCAGCTCAGCTCACTCAGCTCAGCTCATCTGCAATAACTCAGCTCAGCTCATTTAGGCAGTAAAAAAGAAATCCCTATTGTTATGTCTTGATTCTAAATCAAGAAAATATCGATTCGCAAATCTTGTTAGGAAAAAAAGGCATGAAAATTCTTTCGGATAGCGTCTAACACGTCATCCCCTCCCCCAATTTCGAATAAAAACTTTGCTTGCCCTTTTTTTTGCCTCTCCTTATCGTGCCAATGACAATGGGAAATTCGCTTTTCTTTTTTTTCTTTTTCTTCTTCTTTTTCTTCTTCTTCTTTTTGCATTTTGTCCAATTACTTCAAAGATTTTTATATAAATTTTAAAAAAACTTCAATCTTTTTGCAATTTCAGAAGCGTTCGGCCGACGATGGCCACCGCTGAACACGAGAATCCTAAAGAATATGGAGTGGAGGACTTGGTGCTTCTCTCGAAAATCGATCTTCCACATATTGTAGGAAATATTGAGAAACGGTAAGATTTAGAAGTAAGCTTTATGTCAGCTTTATTACAGCTTTATTACAGCTTTATTACAGCTTACAGCTTTTCTAACTTATTACAGAATTTGAACTTTTCTTGAATTTGAGTATTGAGTGGAAAAAAGGGCTGCGCGAGAAAGGGGGACAAATTTTGAGGCGGCATTTCCGTGTTTTTCGCGGGGGGGGATCGGGTGGGGATCGGGTTCGACGCGCGGGCAGCTCTCCTTTCAACGATCCGATCGGATGGACAGGTGTTTTCCCCGGGACCACCGATCTCCTGTCTTCGAAAAGTCAATACGTAAAAGGTGTTCAAAATTTTCTGATTAGGTACTTTTGATTTTGATTACAAAATTTAATTTAAATTTAAATGAAAATTTTGATTACTCGAATTAAAATCATTTTCGAACTAGCAAATTGAGTTTTTTTGAGTTTTTTTAAAGTTTAAATTATCAAGAATCTCTGAAATCAAATCCTTTCAAAATTACGATTAAAAAGTTCACCTTTTTTTGCCAAATAGCCCACTTTTTTTGACAACCGTTATACGGAAAGGTCAACTTTTTTTTGCTCACTTTTTCCTTTCATGAAAAAAAATTTGCATTTTTTTGGAAAGTAACAACAGTGAAAAAACCGACAACTATTGTAAAAGCGATAAAAATTTTTGAGGAATTTGTGAGGAATTTCGTTGGCTTTCCTCTTTTTGAAAGTCAATCAATTACCCGCAGAAAGTCAATGACTCAATTTCTTTTTTTGGCTGAACCTTGCGAAGAAAAAAACCTCAAAAAGGATATATTGGTGTGTTGTGAAATTCGAGGAGATCTCGGAAAAAGGATTAAGAAATTCAAGGCTTGGGTAGAGCTTAAAAAAAAGAGAAATTAGAAAAACTGATAATATTTGAATGTTTACCAGTTTTGAACTAATAGATTGCGAGAACATAGAACATTTTTACAAATATTCCAGCTTCGATTCTCGAATTCCCTTTTTCTCTTAATCCCCATGGAAATAGATAATTATTGATATATTATAGAAATTTTATCGATATTTAGTTCTTTAGTCAATATCTTTAGTTAATTGTGGGATTTCTGTGTGTTCTTGGGTCGTTAGTCAATCCGTCAAACCGAGAAGAAAATGGCTAATCGGATTGAATTCGTTTCTCGTGAGGAACAGAGAAAAAGGAGATTGGTTTCGATCTTCGAATCCCCCTTTTCCTTTTTTCCTTTATGTCAATCCCCATGGAACAGACATATGCTAATTTTCGGCCTTACTCGTCACCCTTTCCTTTCTTGCTAACAATCGAGTCTGTCTCGAAATACCGACTAAGATAAGCATCGAAAGTAGAACATTGCTTTACAATTCAATCAACAATAAGAAATCAGATAAGTTATGCAAATTAAACTAAAGTTAGACAAGAAAATAGCAAAGCTGAGGAAAAGTTGAATGGTTAGCTATCAATAGCTATTAATAATCAATAGCTATTAATAATCAATAGCTATCAATAATCAATAGCTATCAATAATCAACAGCTATCAATAATCAATAGCTATCAATAATCAATAGCTATCAATAATCAATAAAATGGTTAGCTATCACTGATAATTACTGAACATTACTGTATTAAAGTATCAATGACAATTACTGTTCTGAAGTTCTGAAGTTCTCAATTTCTCAAGTTCGATTCCAATTTGCTTTAGTATTAAAGCTTACAGTTAGCAGTTAGATGAGTGAGAATTGAGTCAGTTTAAAGCCTGAGTTCGAAATCTTTCCCTAATCCATTCCTAGTTTACTTTGGCATCAAAGAGCTGTGATCTTTGAGTGGCTCACAGCGGTAGGGCTTTGCCCCTTTCGATTTCCACTTTTCGACGATATCCAAGTTCGTATGCAAATTCGTTTTTCGTCCATAGAAGGTTAAAGGGAAAAGAGAGGAAAAAGGGAGGAAAAGAGAGGAAAAATCGCGTGCCCAGCGGCTGTAAAACGAGTTGACTTTCGATGGGTTTGTGACAGGGAAAAGGCGGACAGACGACGAGCATAACAAACCCGATTTTCCCATTATTTACTTTAGCTCCGGGTCACAATGAATCGAATTTATCGAGGGAAAATTGAAAGAGAGAGCGGCGGGGACCATAAAATATAAAAGATTCTTTTTTTCAGGTTTACCAAGTCACGAATCTACACATACATTGGCGAAGTGTTGATCGCAGTCAATCCATATAGACAGCTGAACATCTATGATCGGGACAGCATTGAAAAGTAAAAATAGAGAACTCATCTATTGTAAATTTATCTATATCGATTTTTTTTATTAGAAAGCTGAACATCTATAATCGGGACAGTATTGAAAAGTAAAATAGAGAAATAGAGAACTCATCTATTGTAAATTTATCTATATCTATTCTTCATTAGAAAGCTGAACATCTATGATCGGGACTAGAGTGTGCTCCTTGTTGACAGACAATTTGTCAGACAAATTTTCATTGACAACTTTTTGTCAGACAATTGTCCGACAAACTTTCGACAACGTCTAAAAGGTGCGCTTTAAGCAAAGCTATAAAGGTCACGCGAAAAAAATTTGCAAACTTTTCTTAAAATATAGTAATGGTTAGTTTTATTTAAGGATTTAGGTTTTTTAGGGCGTGGAATTTTTTTTTGGAATGGTTCTAGTGCAAATGTAGACAATAGGCCTGGTAAATTCGTAAATAATATAATTTTTTAATAGTGTTTCTTAACTTTTCCCGTTTTAAATGTTTTCTTTAATTTTAAATAGCATTTTAAAATTTTTAAGTTTTAGCGAAAGAGTAATAGAGTTCAGGAAAGAGTAATAGAGTTGGAAAGAGTAATAGAGTTAAGGAAAGAGTAATAGGTTGGGAAAGAGTAATAGAGTTGGGAAAGAGTAATAGAGTTGGGAAGAGTAATAGAAGGCGCAAGTTTTAATGTACTTTGCAGAAAATTTGCTGTGCAAAGCATAGGGTTCGGTGCTCCTTGGCGTGCGCTTTTTGAAACGCGTTGTCTGCAAGGAACACACTCTAATCGGGACAGTATTGAAAAGTAAAATGGAGAAATAGAGAACTCATCTATTGTAAATTTATCTATATCTATTCTTCATTAGAAAGCTGAACATCTATGATCGGGACAGTATTGAAAAGTAAAAATAGAGAACTCATTTTATCTATTGTAAATTTATCTATTTTAAATTTATCTATTTCTATTTTTCATTAGAAAAATCTAATTCTGAATATGAATTAGGGAAAAGTTTAAAATCAATTAAAATAAAAGGAAACAAAAATCCATTCAAAAGAATCTCTTTGGATGTTTCTTTAAGGACTTTGAAAAGGATTTTAAAATGAATTCGATCATTGTAAATGTTAGAATAAAGATTGTTAATATAATAATCGATGCTCTAAATTGCTGTGACCCAAAATCTTAAAGGTATCGAGGTCGGGAGATTTATGAGCGTCCACCGCACGCGTTCGCCATTGCCGATGCAGCCTATCGAAGTATGAAAAGATTTGGACGAGACTCATGCATTGTGATTTCTGGTATGTTTATTTCTTTTCATTTTGAAATATTATAAATCCAAAAGATTACAAGATAACGGAAAATAGAGAAAAAAACGTTTGCAAACTTTCACAATCTCATCAACTTACAACCCACCAAATTACAACCCCACCAAATTACAACCCCACCAAATTACAACCCACCAACTCACAACTCATCAACTCACAACTCACCAACTCACAACCCACCAACTCACAACTCCCCAACTCACAACTCACCAACTCACAACCCACCAACTCACAACTCCCCAACTCACAACTCACCAACTCACAACCCACCAACTCACAACTCACCAACTCACAACTCCCCAACTCACAACTCACCAACTTACTCAAAAGATTTAAAATATAGGATATAACAAAAATGATGCAAGAATTCTTTTTATCGGAATCTAACGTAAAAGAAACGTCATTTTATTTTTTTTAGGAGAATCCGGAGCTGGGAAAACAGAGACTAGCAAAATCATCATGCGCTACTTGGCCGCCATCACTAATCAAGGACAACAAAAGGAAATTGAAAGGTTTCTTTCGAAAATAAATCTTTATCTAATCCATAGAATTCTACTTGATTTACATGATTTAGGGATGGCTGTATTGTGGGAACGTAAGTTAAGAATGCACCTACACTTACTAGGGAAAAATCAGATTTTGGCAAGCGCGAATTCCAAACTAAAGCTATATGATTTACGCAAGTCGGACACCGGCAACACGATGGCGTTTTTAGTTTTTACCCAAATCCTCTAGATTTCTGATTTCGCATTTGAAATTTGTCCCCCTAGTGCACTGAGCGCTCTCCGGGGAATATAACGGCTACCTGCATCGGAGCAGCTTAGCAGAAAAAGAAGAATAAGAGCAATAAGAGCAAGCGAGTGAACACAGTGAGAACAAAAACAAAGCAAAAACAAAGCAAAAACAAAGACGTGCGTGGGGGTCGAACCCGACTGGCAAAAGGCGGAATCAGGGGCACTACCACTGTCTCAACGAGGCGCTCAGCTGCTCCGGCAAACGATTGTTATATACCCTGAGGCCGCTGAGAAATCGCTACGCTGCTTCAAATTTCAAAAGCGTTTTTACAGAAAGCTAGAGGATTTGGGTAAAAACTAAAAACGCCATCGTGTTTCCGGTGTCCGACTTGCGTAAATCATATAGCTTTAGTTTGAAATTGGCGCTTGCGAAATCTCATCTTTCCCTAGTTAGTCTTCTTAAATGTTGTTTTGAAAAGAATTACTAAACATTTTCGCTTCTGGTGATGGTGGTTGCTAAAGAAAAATTCGCTTAAAACTCAAAATTTCTCTCGAAATTTTAGAGTGAAGAACATTTTGCTGCGCTCGAATTGCATCCTCGAGTCACTAGGGTGCGCGAAAACGAATCGAAACGACAATTCATCAAGATTCGGTATGTAAATATTATGAATTTCAAATAAAAGATCATAATTTTCATCTGAGCATTGTGAAAAAAACGATATTCAGGTAAATACATGCATATAAATTTCAATTATGGCGGTGATCCAGTTGGTGGTCACATCAGCAACTATCTTCTTGAAAAGGTGAGCTCAAAAGCTCAAAAGCTCAAAAGAAAAACACGATCAATTAGCTGAATAGCTTATAATATACCGTAAATACTGTAATAGTACCCCACCGCCCTCGTACAGTCGCGTAGTCGTACCGTCGCGTAGTATTTCATTTCTTTCCAAGCGCTCGTACTTTCAAAAAATGTGTCTTTGGTATCAAAAAATAGCCCTGAATTTCAGCTATTTTTTGATACCTAAGCGCGCATTGTAGCATAAACCAGTGTCGAGAAAAACTCGTTCAAAGCTAGACTACGCAACACTCCGCACTGTCATTATGGGCGGTGGGGTACTATTACAATATTTACGATAGGTTTTATATTAGATAAATCTATAATCTTTAGATTTTTCTTTATTTATTTTTCAATATTTTCATTATAGTCGCGTGTCGTTCGACAACAAAAAGGCGAGCGAAATTTTCATGTTTTTTACAATATGCTCAAGGGACTTGAAGATGGAACTTTAAGGTTTTTTAAAGCTAAAAACTTCTATAAATCTATTAAGCTAAAATCTTCTATTAAACTTTCTATAAATTTTAGACAATTACAACTACAACGAGATCCAAAAAGATATTTTTATTTGAATCAAGGAAATTCAGATAAAGTAAGTATGAGGCAAAAAAAGCTTGAAAGCACAGAGCTTTAGGTGAATGCGATCGATGATGCGAAAGATATGAAAGAAGTGCAAGCGGCTCTCAAAAGCATTCATACTTTTGAAAATAAACAAATCGATCAAGTAAGTTGGATAAAAGGAATTTCGATTTTGAAAGGTTCTCAGAATTGCTCGTTTTGCAAAGAAATCAATATGGCTTTTGAATGTTAACAAGTACCATATTTTATTCAAAAATTCCCAAATTTTCTATTATTATTTGAATTATTTGTTTCCAATATTCTTGCTCTTTTTCAGCTTTGGCATATTCTGGGCGCAATTCTTCACCTCGGTAATATCGATTTCGCGCCAGCTGAAGGAAACGCAGGCGGTTGTGTGCCAAAAGATCGGGTAGGAGATTGAAATTGACATTAATTCTTTGAAATTGTAAATACAGTTATACAATTGAATAATGTAGTACATTGAATTGAATAGTTGAATTGAATAATGTAGTACAAAGACTCCACAAGTACAAAGAATTGGAACGTTCGAAGTCCTAAAAGTTGGAGAGAAAAAAAAAGACCAATAGATTCGGAAAAAAAGAAGCAATTCGGGAAAAACAAGCCAGCGGGATTGAACCCTTGAAGACCGGGGTGGATCACCCGGCTGGGATACAAGGCTCTTAACCAGTCGCCCATCGTGACATATGATTGTGTCTTAAAAAAACTTTCTTTTCAGGCAAGCCTTCGAGCGGCGGCTGATTGTTTGAGTGTGGCTGAAAAAGACTTGGCGGCGGCTCTTTGTAGTCAAGTTTGTTATTAAAATCAAACCCAAATTTCTTTTAAATAATCTTTTCATAAGAAAAATGTGTCTAGACTCAGAAAAAGATAACCTCATTGTTGCACAAATGTGACTCAAGAACTCTAAGAAAACAAGCTTTTCAACGCTCCTTTTCTATAGTGAATTAACTTTTGCATGAATATGGCGATGCCAAATATTTCAAGAAATAGGAAAAATTTCAGATCGTTGCAGCTCATGGAGATATTGTGACAAAGAATCACGATGTGAATGGAGCTCTTTATACGAGAGATGCTCTGGCTAAGGTATTGAGTGAACTGACAATGGAATTTCAACTGGGTGTGGTGACATATGCCATCATTTGAATATGCCATCATTTGAGTATGCCATCATTTGAGTATGCCATCATTTGAGTATGCCATCATCAAATGACATATGCCATCATTTGAGTCCAAAAATCTAGTTGTTAATATTGGGTTGGGGAGAATGAGTCGGCGCCGAAAATCAAAGAAATTTCTAAAACTTATAGCAGACTTTGTCAAATGATATGCGTTTGATATCCGTAGAAGGGTAACTAATTCTCTACAAAATAATATTTAAAAGAGAACTCAAACAGCGCCTCAACTCAACAAAGGATCATTTTTTTCACAAAATCGATAAACTGTCATCTAGAGTAAACGGTTGGAGGGATCTTCCTGAAAATTTGGTAACTTATGTAATTGAGTGTGCTCTATCTTTTTTATATAAACACCAAAGGAGGTTTATGTGGAAGAAACTGTTCAAGCAATGAGTCGGACTTTTTGTCATTTTGATTCGCTGTGTTTGGGAATCCATAAAATCCCAAAAAAGAAAAGCTTTGTGGAATCTCTTAAAAGCCATTTTGTAAAGAAATAGTGGACCATTTTGATGAAACAAAACGTGTATTTAAAGAAGGTTTTATGGGTGCAAAAAGTTTCTTTAAAGTTTTCTCTGACTCATTCTCCCCAACCCAATAGTTAAAAGTATTTTAAAGTAAAATTGGAGAAGTATTGACTTTATAAATTGAAAGGGAAAGTCGAAAGGCGGACCCGAACCACAGAGGTCAGCTTGACAATCGCCTTGTATTCGGCATCACTGCCACTTAGCCATCACTGCCTCATCAGGCTACTGGGAAATCTGCTTATAAATTCGGGGGTGTGATTTTCGACACAAAACTTTGCAGGCTTATAACTTTTGACAGAGTGTTCCATAGAAAAAACGGAAAGCAGATTCAGAATCGGCTTTGAATTCTGCACCCATGGGAAATGTCATTTGATCACCACCAGTTTCTTTTTAATTAAAATTTAAAATTACAGGCAATTTATGAAAGACTCTTTGCTTTTGTCGTTAAACGAGTAAACGAAGCGGTGAAAGGTAAAATTGATTCTTGAAAAAACTTTCACAAAACCTTTTCTTCAGTCGATCAATCTTCACGATATGCAAAAGGGACTGTGATCGGTGTGTTGGATATTTATGGCTTTGAGATCTTTGGAACTAATAGGTACTTAAAGAATTTATCTTTTCTTAAATCAAAATCAGTTTCGAGCAACTCTGCATCAACTATTGCAATGAGAAATTGCAACAACTTTTCATCGAGCTCGTTTTGAAACAAGAACAAGAAGAATATGAAAGAGAAGGTTTGAGCTGAGGAATTGCTGAGGAATTGCTGAGGAATTGCATTGTTTTATGAGAATTTTAGGAATCAAATGGCAAAAGATTGACTACTTCAACAATAAAGTAAGCTTAGAGAAAACAAAAGTTTAGAGAAAGTTTCGAGAAAACGGGGGAATTTAGATCATTTGCGATTTGGTGGAAATCCCGAGAACAGGCATTTTGTCAGTGCTGGATGACGCGTGCGCAAGTGTTGGAAATGTTACGGACAAGGTAAAAAGAAAGTTAAATTTTAGATTTCATAGCTATTCTCAAAGAAATCTAGGTTTTTCTACAAGAAATGGATAAGAAACTTGGCTCTCACAAGCATTACACGAGTCGTGGCCTTAAACAAAGCGATAAAAGCGTTGGTTTTGACGAGTTTAGGTGAGTTTTTTGCTAATTGAAAATCTGCTAAATCTCAATAAAACATAACAAAATATTGGAATAACAATAAAATATTCAAACAGTTTCAAATATTCAATTCAAAAGCTTTAGAATCACTCATTACGCCGGTGATGTCACGTACAGTGTTGAAGGATTTATGGACAAAAATCGGGACACTCTTTTCCAAGATTTGAAACGACTTGGTTACCACAGGTATATTTCCTTTTGATTTATTTAGTTTTAATGTTTTATAAACGATAGATATTGTACTGTAAATCGAAGAAATTTCAGTAAAAATCCATTGCTCATTTCATTGTTCCCGGATGGAGCGAAATCACTTTCAGAAGTGAATCGACGACCACCAACCGCTGGTTTCCTCTTTAAAAACAGCATGACTGACCTTGGTAGGTTTTATTTTATTTTTGAAAATCATTTTACCCTCATGGCCGACTGGTTAAGAGCTTTGTATCTGAGTCGGGGGATCGCGGTTTTCAATCCCGTCGGTAGATCGTTCAATCCCGTCGGTAGATCGTTCAATCCCGTCGGTAGATCGTTCAATCCTGTCAGCAGATCGTTCAATCCCGTCGGTAGATCGTTCAATCCCGTCGGTAGATCGTTCAATCCTGTCAGCAGATCGTTCAATCCCGTCGGTAGATCGTTCAATCCCGTCGGTAGATCGTTCAATCCTGTCAGCAGATCGTTCAATCCCGTCGGTAGATCGTTCAATCCTGTCAGCAGATCGTTCAATCCTGTCAGCAGATCGTTCAATCCCGTCGGTAGATCGTTCAATCCCGTCGACAGATCGTTCAATCCCAGATTTTTCTCTTCTCAATGTTTAGGGCTAAAAAGTTAAGCTTATGTATAAATATTTTCAAGTAAAAAGCGTATTGTTTGTAGCTGTATTATTATATTAAATAAATGTCCATTAAATATCTTTTAGTGACTCAATTGGCATCGAAAGAACCTTACTACATTCGGTGCATAAAGCCGAATGAAGAGAAAAGCTCGAGTCATTTCGATCGAGAACGAGTCGAGCATCAGGTAAAAATACAGGAATATAGCACTTTATATGTTAATATAGCAATATTTTTATGAAACAAAAAGCACAGGTGAGATATCTCGGTCTTCTCGAGAATGTGAGAGTTCGTCGAGCTGGCTTCGCTTACCGAATGGCTTATGAACGTTTTTTGCAAAGGTAGAGCTCGAAAAATGGTATTTTCAATCAATTATTTATTATGTAAATGACTGAAAATCGATTTGCAATGATTAAAATCGATTTGCAATGATTAAAATCGATTTTCAATGATTAAAATCGATTTCCAATCATTAACATAACAAATCAAAAAAATAATGAATTTCTCCAATTGAAATTTTACGGAAAAAATGGCAAATGGTTGGTTTTTGCTTCCTCCTTCAAGAAAAATGGCATAAAATCAAACGAATTTCGAAATGGATTGTTATTTTGATATAAGTATCACAGAAAGCTGAAACTCTTGGTGCTTTTCCTTTCTATGAATAAATCTCTTCTCTTTTAGTGTTCAGCTTTTAATTCGTGGGAGATAAGCTTCCATTTCCAAAACTTCCACTTCCAAAACTTCCAGATACAAGCTTTTGTGTCCAGCCACTTGGCCAAACCCTCGTCGTGGCAGTGCTCGGGAAAACGTGATTCGTATCCTTAAACACATCAATTTGGACACAGATTGTGTTGAAGGAAGAACGAAAGTGATTTTCCTTTAATTTCACATATTCTCATCAATTTTCTAGATCTTTATCCGATCCCCGCAAACCGTTTTCACGCTGGAAGAGCTGCGAAGCGAAAAATTGCCCTATGTTGTCACATATTTGCAAAAGGTGGATAAATTTTCGCAACAATCCCACTTAAAACCCTTCTAAATATCAACCGTACAGTTTTGTACTAAACTAATGAACAAATGTGTTTATAAATTTATGAATTCCTAGATGGTACGCGGTTGGCAAGCCCGAGAGCGGTACAAGAAGATGAAAGCCGTCAGTTTGATCATGGCCACCTATCGGCGATACAAATTGCGCACATATATCCTTCGGGTCATCGAATCTTTTAGGTATTCTAAGAAAGTGAGTTAGCATTTGTGTTTAATCTAGGGGCGTTCGTCAAATGCCTGACTTGGGGAAATCAGTTCGATGGCCGAAATCGCCGGCAGTACTTGGCCAATTTATGAAGCGCCTTCAAGCCATGCATCTGCGCTGGCGAGCTGCGACGATTCTCGCACGAATGCCTCCACATCTTGTAAGTTTACATTCATTCTGTTACTAGAACTAATTGCTAAAGTTTTAGTATGGGTTTTGTTTTGTTTTAGGATAGATATTGTTGTTGTTGTTGTTGTTGTTGTTGCTAGAGTGTGTCCCTCGCGAGTAATGCGTTTTTTAAAACGCACAATTGGGAAAAAATTTACCGTACTTTTAGCAAAAATTATTGCAAAAAAATGACGCAAAAATGACGAGCCCCGCGTTATATACGATACTTTTTAAAGATACTCAGCTGTTTAACTGATTTGGTGGGCAAATTCCCGTCCAATGTAAAATATGATTTTTTTTTGAAAAACCTGGGGGTAGGCTAATTTCCGCAATTTTTTTGCGCAACTCGCCATAACTTTCTTCTAAGTAGGCCAATCTTTATGATTTTGGTGTCATTTTGTTGCACTTATTGAGATTTACAAAATGAAACCAAAATCATAAAGATTGGCTGACTTAGAAGAAAGTTATGGCGAGTTGCGCAAATGACCCTGTTGCGCAAAAAAAAATTGCGGAAAGTAGCCTACCCCAAAACCTGCGCAAAAAATTGCTTTTATATTTTTTTCGCGCAGGCGTACTTTTTAGAAAACGCATTACTCGACAGTTACTCGAGCTATTACTCGAGTAAAAAATTACTCATGCAAATTTGCTCGAGTTTAATTACTTACTCGCGAGGAACACACTCTAGTTGTTGTTGTTGTTGTTGTTGTTGTTGTTGTTGTTGTTGTTGTTGTTGTTTTACTATAGATAACGAATAACTAAGACTTTGCATGTGTTTAGTTTTCAAGACTTGTTTATCTTAAGTTTCAATTTTGAATTAGATTTACCTATGAATTTCTAGAGAGAATCTTTGCCTCAAAAGTTGGCTGCTTTCGAGGCTCTTAACGCGCAACGCCATTCTTGGGGATATTCGAGAAGTTGGAGAGGAGATTATCTATCTTATGTACCAAAAAATTAAATAAATCAAAATCATAACAATTTTAGCAAGATGAAGTCGACAATATGGACAGTAGCAATTATAAACAAGCTGTTGATGCCCTAAAACCAGTGCATCCGTTCGGGAAAGTTCTCTTCTCTGCATATATTCAGGTAATAAACATTAGAAAGATGAGAATTTTAAAAGTTTTTTTAGAAATTCAATCGTTTCAACAAGTCATCGACAAGAGTTTTACTGGTAACTGACCGTTTTATCGCTAAACTTGACGCAAAAAAGTTTAAATTGCTTAAAGATCCGATCCCACTTGGACAAGTGAGTTTCATTTCTAAGGATTATAAGGATTACCGTATTTCTTCGAACAGAAGACCGGGTAAAGAGTATCATCGCGTACTCTCGGCGTCGCAGCCCTTTTTAAAATTTCTTTTCTGCATAAAAGCTTTCAATGAAGTGCTATAGAGCTGGAAAATGACTCAAAAATACGACATGAGCTAACAGATTTTTGAGCCATTTTCCAGCTCAATAGCACTTGATTGAAAGCTTTTATGCAGAAAAGAAATTTTAAAAAGGGCTGCTACGCAGGAGTACGCGATCATACTCTTTACCCGGTCTTCTATTCGAAGAAATACAGTATAAGGATAAAGAAAAGAAAGGATTTCTAAAATTCAAATTCCCCAAATTTTCGGTTTCTCGAATCTCGGTTTGTTCATCGGGCAACAATTTGATTGTAATTCACGTGGCACAAAATGATTTGGTTTGCTGTTTAAAGAATGGAAAACAAGAGGATCGAGTGGGCGAACTCGTCGGCACATTATTGTCTCACTATGATAAGTGAGTTTGTTTGGGGAAGATTTTTGAAAGGTTTTAGGTAGATAAAAAAAAACATTTTAAGGGATACTTTATGATTTAAAAAGAAGAAATACACATGTTTTGCATGGGGTAAAAGCATGGTAAAAGCAGCAAAAGCAGAAAGCAGTGTGCGTCTCTTTTTAAGTACAAATTACATAAACCAGTCTAGCTTATTAGACAGATTCTTACTGTAGTTACTCTACTAGAACTTCTCCCTCATAATGACGGGCGTACAGTGGCGTCGTCTAACTTTAAACTTTCGTCGTTCTTCGCGCTGCTTTATGCCTGAAAGCGCGTCGAAAGAAACGAACTAGTGTCAAGATCTAAGCGTTTCTTTGAGAGTAAACTTACAAGGGAGTTACTAGAGGAGTCGATTTGTCTGAAAGGAAAGGGATTGGCTGAGTATTGTAAAGAATATTGGGTACTTGTTATACATTCCGAATGTCCCCTCTCCCTTTGCCAGAAGCATTTTGCGTTTTTCTCGACGCACAATTTACCAATTGGGCTGTTTTTGGTTTCATTGGATAGAGGAAAGTTAGACGCATCGAATGAAACCAAAAACAGCCCAATTGGTAAATTGTGCGTCGAGAAAAACGCAAAATGCCTCTGGCAAGGGGGACACTTACAAGGGAGTTACTAGAAATAACTGTGACCGTTTGGGATGAGTAATATCACATTTGATAGATGTCATGATGAATATTGATGACCAAAAAAATTAGCTCCCAAGAGTCACTCTACAACGAGAAATGGAGTCGGCAAGAAGCAAAAAATCACGTTTTTAACTCTCCTTGACGGGCCAAAACTTTTTACTGAATTAATATTTTTGAATAATCTTTTTTGCATGTAATAGAACTTGAATAAAGCTAAAAAATAAACTTTCATTAATTATAGAAACTTAAGATGTTCCTATAAAAAAAAGTTCATTAAAATTTGACTAAAATCAATAGCTTTGAAATGTAAAATTTTAAAAATACTTTGGGAATAGATTTTACTATTTTTTTAGCTTTATTCAAGTTCTATTATATGCAAAAAATATTATTCAAAAATATTAATTCAGTAAAAAGTTTTGGCCCGTCAAGGAGAGCTAAAAACGTGATTTTTGCTCCTTGTCGGTCGCATTTCTCGTTGTACTCTTGGGAGCTAATTTTTTGATCAATATTTATCATGAGATCTATCAAATGGGGTATCGTTTATCCCAAAACGTTATCACTTCTAGTCATTCCCTTGTTAAGCTCCATCACTTCTAGTCATTCCCTTGTTAAGCTCCATCACTTCTAGTCATTCCCTTGTTAAGCTCCATCACTTCTAGTCATTCCCTTGTTAAGCTCCATCACTTCTGGTCATTCCCTTGCTAGACTCCATCACTTCTGGTCATTCCCTTGTTAAACTCCATCACTTCTGGTCATTCCCTTGTTAGACTCCATCACTTCTGGTCATTCCCTTGTTAAGCTCCATCACTTCTGGTCATTCTCTTGTTAGACTACGCGTCACTTCGATTGGAGGCTCTTTTAGTCGAATTTTTTTACGAGATTTAGGATAGTATTAATAATGTAATAATAAACTATGTAGTAAAACGTTTTTCAGATTGGATATGAGACGTCCAATGGTTTTGGTGGCTCAAACGCCAAGCTGTCAACTCGGCAGCAAGAGCAAAACCGTTCGCGTCACAAACGATCCCACCCAACCCACCATGTTTAAGGTAATCAAATTTTCACACAATATCTTGAAAACTTTACATGTAACAGTAAACCAGAAAATAAACCAGAAATTTAAACCAGAAAACAATCTTAGATACCGTATTTTCTCTAATAGTAGTGCACCTTGGTCGTCGTCTAAATTGCCCGAAATCTCGAGAACCGCTTATCAGAACCTATCGATGTGGGGTCGGAAAATGTAGCTGACGATGAGCTCTAGTGGGGGATTTGAGTGTTGAGCTTCTGCAAAAGCTTGGAAACCATAAAATCGTCACCAACTCGACTCGCCGCTGTGCACTAGCATTAGAGAAAATACAGTATACATAATAATTTCAAAGAATCACTCACTCACTCGAAAATTTCTCGTTTAATTTTTGGTGGAAATTGTGAAAGACTAAAGATAAGTGAGCTTCGGTTAGCTTATGTTTAAAATTTAGATTTTAGAATATAAATGTTTTAGAATATAAATTCTAAAACAAAAATACTTACCGTAAATACTGTAATAGTATCCCATCCCCATAATGACGGTGCGGAATGTTGCGTAGTCTAGCTTTGAACGCGTTTTTCTCGACACTGGTTTATGCTACAATAGCAATACAATTATCAAAAAATAGCCGAATTTCAGCTATTTTTTTGATACCAAAGACACATTTTTTGAAAGTAGGGGCGCTTTGAAAAAAATGAAATACTAAAAAAACTTTTGCGACTACGCAACTGTACGAGGGGGTGGGGTGGGGTACTATTACAGTATTTACGGTATAATAATAATACTTTATTCAAACGATAAAGTGAAAGAAATCATAGAGAAATGCACAGTGATACTTAATCATACAATACATACTGAAATCAATAAGCCAATTACTTACGGCAAAGAGCCACTAGATCTAAAGCATCGATACGTTTCTTGAATATGAAAAGCGACTGAATTTCTCGTATGTCGTTTGGGAGCAAGTTCCCATAATCTAGCGGCTCTAACGGGAAATGAATTTGATAAAAATATAAGATTATTTTTAGAAATCTGGGAACGACATTGAGCTGTTTTGTCAAGCGGCTGCTTGAAAAATCTTGGAAAAAAATTTTTTTCTATATAAATTTCTTTCAATTTCTCAAAGAAAGAAAACAAAAAAGATGTGCCAATTTGTTAAGCAATATTTTTTCAAACTTAGGGAATATCTTTTTGCTATTAAGTCAAAATTTAGAATCCTTTTTAGAGAAAAAATTTAGTAATCTTTAGCGATTAAAATTTTAATGTTTTTATGCTGCTTTTTTTTCACTCTTTAGGGGTCGATTTCCACCATTCCAGTGAACAAAATTTCTTTTTTTTTTCTTTTCTTTTTTTCTTTCTTTTTCTTTTCTTTCTTTTTCTTTTCTTTCTTTATTTTTCTTGAAAAATTTCAAATAAATTTCTCAATTTAACGCAAAAACGAACACTTCACAACACAGAAAACACAAGAAAAAACAAAAAAAAAAAGAAAGTGATGAGTGAAAATTTTGTTTTTTTTTAAAGCACATCAAGAAAAAGTGTGTTTAATAATGAAAAAAAATGAAAAAAAAAAATATTTAAAAAATATTGAAAAAAACATTTTTACACATAGTTTTTCGTTAAACAAAAGTTTTCTTTATCGTTTTTTTTTTTTTGAAAAAGTAAAATTTTTCTTTTACACAACCAAAAATGATTTCAACATTTTGATCAAAAAAAATTTACAAATAAAATGTTGAAAGCTTAAATTAAACGAAAAAAAAAAATTAACAATTTTTACAGAAAAAGAACAATTGCATTTTGGGGGAAACGAGGGTTTAAAGCGCTTTTTTTTGAATGCTCACTGGTTTTGCGGGATTCACCCCATTCACCATTTCACTAAAATGGTGAATGGGGCGAACGCGGAGAGAGAGAAAGGTCCATGGTTCGGAGTTTGCTCGAGTTATATTCAAAAAACTTTTTTTTCGATAACTAGAACCTGCCGTAAATACTGTAATAGTGCCCCACCCCCGATAATGACGGTGCGGAGTATTGCGTAGTCTAGCTTTGAACGAGTTTTTCTCGACACTGGTTTATGCTACAATGCGCGCTTAGGTATCAAAAAATAGCTGAAATTCAGGGCTATTTTTTGATACCAAAGACACATTTTTTGAAAGTACGAGCGCTTGGAAAGAAATGAAATCCTAAAAAACTTTTTCGACTACGCGACTGTACGAGGGGGGTGGGGTACTATTACAGTATTTACGGTAAGCCTTTAAAGATACTATAAATCTGATTTAAAGGCTAAATAATGTTTCTAATAATATAAAAATGATCAAAACTTTCGAGTAAACCCATGAAATCGAGTAAACCCATCAATCTTCACAACAAGAAAAATAACAACCAAATAAATGAAGAGAAAAATTCTTTGATGGCAGCTCGACAATGAGCGAAAAGTGAACCGTATTTGGAGGAGAAGGGGGGATTTTCTTTTGACTATATTTCTTTCACTTTCTTTTTTCAACCTGAACAATTTTTTTTTTTGGGGAAAGAAAAATACACAAAAAAAGATACAGAAATAATAAATATACACGAATTTGAAATAAAAATAAAAATAAAAATGATACGTCACCTCTTCAAGAGAGTTTTCTTTGATCACATTTTGCATTGCTGAACGTTTTTGTTTTTTTGCGGTGTTGACACTTGGAGTGCCCGGAAGGGGGGAAATGATGATATGAATGAAATCAAAAGAATAGACAAAAACTCTAGAATTTCTAATTAACAATGAAAATTTAAAGCTTGGGCATTAATGTTTTTTTCTTTTAAATACGTAAAAAGTTTTGCACATCGTCGGCGGCTTTTCGATCGACGGCCACTCGGATGAGGTCGAGCATTGATTGCGTTCGTTTTCGATAATCCTCAGCTTGCTAAAGAAAGCTTTTTAACTATTTAGATGTCTAGTTCTTACAAGTGAATCTTGTGACTCAAGAAAGATTTGAGATATGTTTGTTGTACTCAATTTTAAACCAATTTAATGATCATTAGAGACTATAAAGAGGCTTAAAAACGCCCCAATAATTTCATGTGACTTCATGGAACAATTATTTAGATTATTAAACGTTTAGGTATACTGTAGAGGCCCCATAAAATAGAATAATTCATTAAAATAGCTAGAGGTCGCCTAGTTTTCTTTAAACTTTCCCCCATACCTCTTCGATTTTTCTCTTCAATCGCTCGCATTCAGCCTCTCGCTCGGTCAGCTGATCTCTCAGCGATTGAACCTCCAACGTTTTGTCGAGACCCTGAAATGTTTAAAATTCAGTTATAATATTTAATATTCGGTTATATTATTTACATTGTCTATTTGATTATTCCCCATTATCTGTTGAAATAGTTCTCTAAAGTTAACCTTTAGCAACTCATCCAATCGATTGTCACCTGACGAGGCTGGCGGTGAGGTGAACACACCTAAAGAAACAAATAGAATAAATAGAATCCAATAGAATAAATCTCTAATAATTTTAAATCAATACAATAATTTCACTCACTTGAGTCGAAAAGGGCGATATCGGTTTTCTTGGTTTCTTTTGACGAGGTAGTCGAGGCTACCGACGGCGAGCGATCTTCACGATTCAAACCAGCGCTCATCGATTCTAAATCTTGTATGTTTAAAAATGTTTATCGTTCTTTATCGTTCTTTATTCTATTTTTAAGGGTTTTGTAAATTATTTTTAATAAAATACAGTCAAGAACTGACTTCGAATCAAATCCAAATTGTCTTTGGAGATTGCGTCCCGCACAAGGCTCAAACTGAAGTCATCGTCCATGCACATGAGCTGAAAAGCTTTGTTAAACGACCTTTGTTTCTATTTCTTATTTCATATTTCTATTATTTTTTGTTTCTTTTCAAAGTTGTTAAAACGATAACTTACATCGTCAGGGCTTCCCCGTGAGCCATTGTTTTCATCTTTTGAGTCCTCATCTCTAAAAATGTTTATTTAGAATTCTATGTTATTTGTTGTTACTTCTTTGCCCTCGATTTCCTTTTCAGATTCGAGAACAGCTTCTTCGTTTGCTCGACTGTTAAATAGCCGATTTGCTCTGCATATTTGGCGTTAACCTTCTCGGAGATGTGCCTCCACATGGCGTGTCTCTCTTGGTTGATATTCTGCGATCGAGCACTAAATCTTTAATCTTTAAATAAATATCTTTAAAATGACAATATCTTTTTATAAATTTTATGAATCTTTTGAACTCACATGCTAGCATTCGTCCCATCAAAGCAAAGCCTCTTCAAGTAGTATTTTGCCATCGTGTCCACCATCGCGGCTCGGTCTTTCCTGGAAAAATTCTAGGACATTGAATATTTTCAAATTTCGAATTTACCTCAAGATGGCTGCCAATTTTCGATCCTCACACGAGCCATTTGCATGATTTTTCATTGAAAGCGCCGGCGACGATGAACCAAGACTTTCTTTGGTCACACCAGTGAGTGCTCTAAAATATCGAGAATTCCTTTCAAAAGACAACAACACGTTACAAGTATTTTAGACATAAAAAAATCTATCAACTATCAAACTATTAAACTTACTGTAGAAATGCTTGCAGATTTTCATTCATCGACGAGAGCTCGTCTGTCTCAATATCTTCATCATCAAGTGTTCCATCTAAAATATCAAAATATTAAAAAAATCTAACAAAATAATATGGTACAAACAATACAAAACCCCTAGCACCTAAGCCCTAAATGTAGGAAAGAAAAAAACAATCTATATGGCAAAATAAAAGGAATAGTCTAGCTGGCGGGATTGAACCTTTGATCTCCCAACTAGGACTCTTAGCCAGTCGGCCAGGGCTGCTTAAAAACAAGTTTTTTTATAATTGTTTATCATGAGAAGCTCTGAAGTTCCTGTTACTGTTATAATATTTGTTAAAACCTTGTTAATGTAAGCGTTTGAAAGCATGACAACTTTTGAAATGTATCGTCATTTTGTCTAGTTTTGCTCAATCTACCGATTACGATAGTTTTCGAAAACCTTAGTCACAAATAATGCACAAATGGATAGAAATATCTGCTCACCTGAAGTGTTCGGCTTGACTTCCATCACAAAACACCCATCATCTTCATGAATGACCCCGTCAACTCGAGGCGGACTCTCCACATCAGCTTCCGGTGTCTTCATCTCGCTGCGAGTCCTAAAAAACAAGAATTGTTGTTTTTTGTTTTTATTGTTTTCAAAAAATTTTATTATATTTTAAAAAGGAAAAAAAACGTACAAAAAGGCTGTTCACGATTTCTTTTACGCACCTCATTTTTGCCTCACGTTTCCGATAGTGCATGTGAAAATGTTTCCGCTTTCCCTGCTAGTTGTTAGATTCTAGACGGGGAAAGAAATCTGAAAATTAAAATTGAAATAATGATAAAAAGCTTTACATATTTAAAAAAAAAATAAAAACAATTAAGTTCTTAGAAAACTTTAATATTCAAAAAAAATGGCTGCGTTTCAAGAAAGATTCTAGAAATCTAAATAGAATCGAATAGAATAGAATTTAAATAAAACCTAAATAAAACCTAAATAAAACCTAAATAAAACCTAAATAAAACCTAAATAAAACCTAAATAGAATTATCAGTAAACTGTTTACATTGTTTATTTGGGTACAAAAAGTAAAAGAGGAAAGATATTAAAGATATCAAAGATATAAAAGTTTTAAAAAAATAAAAGAAGAAAAAAATAAAATTTAGATCAAAAGCTTGGTCATAAAATCAAAAGAAACAAAAGCAAAAGCAAAAAAAAAAGCCATCAAAACAGTTTGAAGAGAAATTTTGGTGAAAGGCAAGTTTGTGGATGTTTGACTGATGATTGAAGAAGGAGGAAGCGGCAGAGGAGAGGGACGGACGCGGGGTGAGTGAGGGGGATGAGGATAGGAAGAGGATAGGAAGAGGGGGGGAGGAAGGTGCTCGACGGGGGACAGGCCCCGTTTCTTTCCCTTTTTCTCATCCCCCATCGCCGGCCACGCCGATCGCACGCCGAAAATAGGCTCTCGGCTCTCCCGGGGACCAACACCAGAGTTGCTGGTTCCCGACTGGACTCCTCATTGTGCCGCTCGCCTTACCGAGGCGAAAACCGTGAGAACTCGAAGTATTTCAAATAAAACAATGAGAAATGAGACAAGTAAAATATAAATATCTGTATCTGTATCTAGATTTATAACTATATCTATACCTTCAAGCATCTGTTAGCCAATTAATAACTAAATTGAGAATCCAGATGCCAACAAATGTACTCTAAAATTGTAATCGATAAAATTAGAAAAACAAGTGCTTAGAGGTTGAGAGTTGAAGCTGGAAAGTCTCGAGATTTGGAAGAAATGAGTGTGAAAGGTTGATGGGAACACTAGAGGATTTGCTGGGTGTTTAGCGGGGGTTGGATGAGAGGTGAGAGGCGGTAGGGCGGTGCTCATTGTGGGGCTCGAGTCTCGAGGTGTGTCCAACAGTATGGAAGAGAGCCTGCTTGGTGAGTCTTCGGAAAGACTCTCTTTCGGTTGGGCCGCCTTGTTTGCCTCGCCTTGGCTGCTCCCACCGCACACAGATAGCACACAGTTGGAAAGGAGAGAGAGAGTCGAACCTCTCCTTGAGCACCCCATCGCTTCTCATAGTTGACTCCTCGTGTGCACTCTTCCTTTTTCCCCTCACCTACCGTTTGTCTCAGAGCACCAGATAAGAGCGCTGTTGATACGAGACATCGATTACTTAGTTAGTTTAAAAAAACAGAAGATTTTTAAGTGCTTAAGCTTAGGCAAAGGCCTAGGCAAAGGCTTAGACATAGGCTTAGACCTATTTGAAATTATTAACGAATTGAATATTGACAAATATTGAACTTGAACAAAGAAACAGAGAAATATAGAAAGCAAATTGTACTCTTTAAATTCAAAACATTAAATCACAAGAAGAGTAAGAGATCGAGTAAATGGTTGAGCAACATTTTGTTCTTGCTCAAGAGAGAAGTTGCTATCGTTGTCATTTCGTGCTTTCGCGCTTTTGCTCTTTCTCACTTTCACACCGTTTTCCCCCTTTTAAAGTGAAAATGAGTGAATGGAGAGAAGCCGATAGGATGGAATAAAGAGAAAAGAGAAAACCGATTGATTGCCAGGCTTGGAGCTCTGCCTGCGCCCTGAGTCTCATGGAAAAATGTTTAAATTTCGCTTGCTCGGGAATCACACTTCAAAAACAATGCAGGAGTTTTGGAGAGAGAAAAAAGAGAGGGGGAAACACTGGGGAAATGATACGAGTAAAAATGTTCTCATCGGTGGAACAATAAAGATTTGAGTAGAAGGAAATGAGGAGGATGGATCACACCTGCATTTGTTCCCCCATTTTCCCTCATCTCCTCGTCTCTCCCTTCATGATCTGCTCATTCGCTCAACGAGCTGCCAATTGAGGATCGCGAGATTAGCCGAGAGGCAACGGGGCTCTAATAATTGTGCGCCTTGAAAAGAAAAAGAAGTGCAGATGTGAGAGAAGAGAAAACGATTCTCCTGAAAGAACAATTCTCCCAATTGCCTTTGGCGATGTTGATAAGAAAGAAAGCAATAGATCGATGAGAATCTGAAGGAGTTGAAGGAAAGAAAAACTGGGAAAATGATTGAAAGATAAGTTTGGACTTGAAGCGATATAACGATTAGCGTGCTGAATTAATTTCTTTCATTTCTCCGCAACCGCGGTGAGCAAAAGAAAGATCAATACCGTACTTTGGAATTTAAACTTTTACAGAATCAAGGAGGAGAAAGTTAAAGTAGCGTAACAGGATTCATTCAAAAAAATGGACTAATGTTTTTGGCAGAGATCAAGATTTCCTTCGTTAAATCTCGAGAAAATTTTTATAAAAACAAAAAAGAGCGACAAGCAGCGATCAGAAATCGATATGGGAAAAGAATTTTGAGCAGGACGTGGCGCGGGTGGAGAGGGGAGGGTCCCCTTCTCACCCACACACACACACACACACAAAGATTCATTCGTGATTCAGAAGACGCGCTCCTCTCAAAAAGGGAAAGGCAGTCTTTTCATTTTTTCCCTCTTTACGATTGCTCAGTCGAACAACCTTTCCCGAGCACTTTTCGAAATCTATCTCAACAATAATGAGTGCAAAAATAAATGCAAACAAATGGATACCTAAAAATGGATCTCCGAAAAAGGGAAGATCGGGGAGTCTGAGTTGGGCCAGGGAGTGACCTCGGATGGCACATGCACTTGGCAGAAACGGAACTCTGAAGGAAAGAGAAAAAGAGAGAGAGAGAGGTGAAAGAAAGGGGAAAGAGATCGACAAAAACACAAAGCATTTGAGAGAGTTGAGACAAAGGAGGAGGGCCCGGTAGAGTGTAGAGAGACGAGAGAACAGTGATCGAGCCTGAGCCACCATCTGCCATCTCTGGAGGCGAGCGTGTTTGCTTGCACACTCGCTGATTCCGCCCATCTCCCCATCTTTCCCTTTTCCCCATTTAGGAAGCCCCGAGCACTGGGGTGACTGATTTGTGATAAGGAGAATGTCACTCACGATCCTGGGACTGTTCAAGAGGCATTTTTAAAGTATAGGCAAGCAGAGGATCTGTTAATTTTAACTTCATTGGCTACAATGGCTACAAGCGTAATAGAATATAAGGGAAGATCGAGGAAATATGAATGATGAGTGGAGAAAAGGATTGTAGGAGCTGTCATGAAAAGGAGCCCTTAACAAGAAAGGCGGGAAAAGAGAGGTTCAAATTGAGGAGCTTTATCTAAACAAAATTTCTGACAAAACAATGTTTAGAAAAAAAAATCTCAAGGCTGATCTCTCTAAATCATGACTGAAATCTCTGAATCAAAAACTAATCTTGTAGGAAGTAATTCGTTAGGATCTGAGAATCGATGAGACTCAGAAGGGAAAGTGGTGTCTTCTTCTTTCTTCACTCACTCTCACCCTCCTATGGGCGCAAGGGGAGCGGCAGCTGGGCAACCGGAGCCCGGGTGCCTCCTCTGAGCCTCCCCCCCCCCCCTCACTGAGAAGCGAAAAGGAAAAGAAAGGAAGCGGAGATCCTCTCCTTTTCTGTTTGGAGATCTCTGAGTGCTCTTGCCATCTCAATCCATGCACACCGGAGACGAAGACCCATCATGGATCAGGAATAAGAGCCCCCCGTTGTTAGGCACTCACCCATATCCACCTCCATTTCAAAAGCTCTTTCCTTCTCAATCATGCATCCTCCTCTCCAAGCCATGATTGATCTTTAATTAACTGAGAAGCTTAGTGATATCAAGAGATGGAGTTTCAGTTTAGATGATTTTTGATTTTGTATGACTACTAGGTTTTGTTGATTTTTTAAAAAGAAAATATGATTTTGCTCGGATTCTTGGCTAAAATTTGAACTCTCTAATAGGGTAAAGAAAAGGTTAAAGAAATATCAAATAAATGTCATCTCACTGACGTGCTAAACTCCAAAACCCACTTAATAAATCTCTAGTTTATTTATATTCAATTGTTTTAACGATTCGTCAATTGCATTCAATTGTTTTAACGTTTTAACGATTCGTCTAGAGAAGCCCAAGTTTTCAGGGTGTTTTCGAGAAGAGAAACAACAGGATCTTTCTTTTTTTGGGGACGCATTCGGTGGCGGAAGAGTGGAAGGGGGGACCCGCCGAACTGTAGGAGAGGATTGAGAGGGAGTGGTGGAGGAGGAAGGGGAGACGGAGGACCCACAACCGCATACACACAACACTGGGCAGCCACGCTCTGAACAAACAATCTGCCCCTCCCGCGGCCCCATCCTCCCCTTCTATGCCTGCACCCCTTTCCCCTTTCACTTTCTCTCTCTTGTGGAGAACCCTCGATCGCTTCGATTGACCGGAGTCGAGCATCAGGCCTCTCACCTCGTTTCTAGGGACTTTTTAGCGCTTTTCGGCTATACTCCAAACTCTTCTTTTATAATAATTTGTGATATTTCAAAGTAAGAGAATTAAGATCAGAATTCTATATCTGAAAAACAGAATTGCTTTTATTTTAAAATAAAAATAGTCGATTTTTGTCGATTCGAACGATTTTTAGATTGCCAATATGTAAAAATTAGTTAATAAAATAATATTGAGTCAATAAATAGCGAAAAACAAAGTCTGAACTGTCTCTCTGATAGTTTGTCTGATAAATCTGCTACGAGAACCCGTCTTTACGTAAAAAAAAAACCCCAAGAAGTGCCCTGTTCACTCAAAAACAAAATAATGTTAGATGTTTATGCTTTAAAGATATGAATCAAGATATATAAAGCTTAAAAAGCTATCACTTTTCAATGGGTGGACGCTTTTCATCGAAATTTTCCGAATCGTTTTCCTCTTTCTGCAGTGTCCATTTTGCTGGAGTCGCATCAGCAAAGAAACAAAAAACGACATTTGTGGCTAGGAGAATACCGGCATGCAGAAGGAAAACATTTCGCCATCCCACGTAACTAAATGAAGGCAAATTGTAATTCTCAACTTCTGATCCTAACCCCTGAGTAAGGAATAAGGCCCTACTCTGGCGGCAATACAATCCTTCTCAGTCTAGCTCAGCTCAGGTAGAGCGTTCGCTCGGTAAGCGAACGTGGTCTGAATGAAAGTCTGAACTGTCTCTCGGATAGTTTGTCTGATCTGGCGAAGCCCTGGGTTCGAATCCCGGTGCCGACCATCTTTCCCAGTCCCATAAAAGAACCTTTTTGTTCAACTCTTGTCATGAGTCATAGTTTCTTTTACCCTTGTGAAACAGTCAACACTTTGAGTGATCTTCAGTTCTCATAAACGGTGACAAAAGTTTTCAAAACAACAGTCAACTCACCTTCCATCTCCGAGAATCGGATTCACAATGAATGGCTCGACAAGAATGCAAACTGCCCAAATGTTGATAATCTGAACAAAGTTGAGACTTTTTTTTTTGAATCGATTTCTCTGAATACCTGTGTCATGACAAAATGGCTGTACTGTCGAGAGTGCAACGTGGCGCATTTATTGAAGCCGGCCGTGTTGAAGCCAATCATGCTTTCAGTGAAGACCTACCTTTTGATATGCCCGACTTTTGAAATCTCCACTTACCAAAACAACAATATTTAGTGATGGGTGTGCATTGTTCATGAGTGCCAATAGAATGAAAGCAAGGCCCGAAACGCCGAGGGCAAATGTGTTGAAGATTCGAACTTTTGTCGTCTCATTGAGACAGCTAAAAACTTTTGTTTTTGTTTGATAAAAGCTTTGGAGAGATGATTTCTTTTTCTGGATGCAAAGAGGATTTAAAAGGGTTCCAAATTGAGTACTATAGGGTTACTGCAGGGTTAGGTCTACTGTAAGATTGGTGTAGGCTACTATTGGATTACTATAGGTTTATTGTAAGGTTAGGGTTACTGTAGGATTGTTGTAGGCTACTATTGGATTGCTGTGGGCTACTATTGAATTACTGTAGGTTTATTGTAAGACTAAGGCTACTAGGGTTACTGTAAGGCAAGATCACTAGAACTAAGGCTAGAATTACTGCTTTAGGGTTACTGTCGAGCGACTTGTTCCACTAGTTATCTGTATCTTTACTTAAAATACTTACTATAAAGCATCGGAAATGGCTCCCGAAAAACACTTGACGACAAATTGAACAATCACCGGCAAAGCGGCCATAAAACCTACAAGCAAACGCGTTTTAACTTTCCAAACTTCAAGGCAAACCTGTATTTAAGATATCATACTTCAAGTAATCTTTCATATATTGTGGATTGAATAAGCTGACTAACTGAAAAGATTTTGTTAGAAGAAAAGACTTTGTAAGAAAAAAAAACAAAAGGCAAAAAGGGTGGGGCCAGAAAGACCTTTTATACGCCCCCCCCCCCTATGCCGTTGGCAATCGAACTTCGATCGCAAATTTCTTGATCTTAAGCTGTTCAATTTAAATATTCTTGGTATTGCCGATGGCAAAGGGGGCGGGGCGTATAAAAAGGGGCGGTGCGCGTATAAAAGGCGCCCCGGCAATCTAACTTTGAGCTCAAATATCTTGGTGTCGGCTTGTCCAATTTAAATAGTTTTTATACTAATGTTTTGTTTTGTTGAACAGAAACCTGAACAGAAAGCAAGTCCCCAAGTGCTGCGATCCAAACAGCCCAAATCGTTAATGAGGTGAAAATTGAAAAATACGGAACATCCGAGGCTTTTTTCTGAATAGAATCTTGAATATTAAGAGACAAAAACATATTAAGATTACAATTTATAAATAGAAATTGAATTGCAATTCATTGCAATTTTTCATTTTTCACCTCATTGTTTTTATTAGCCTCTATTCGTTTGAGTTCCTCTGGGCTCACAAGTGGGTGAATGTTTGGATGATTTCTAAAGAAATAAACAAAAATAAACAAAAATAACAGGCAATAGTTGAATTAATTATGAAAAAATTAAGCTTAAAATCCGTTTTTCTATTCAATATTTCGATTGTAAACCTATAGAAAAAAAAGAAAAGAGTGAAAACGATAGCGGTGACAATCGCATGCACATAGTAGACAGCTGGCCAACCCCAATTTGATGAGCAAAGAGCTCCTGTAAAATAATTGATGTTTAGAATTTGATAATTTTGATAATAACCAGCCGACAAACCCGCCTAACGGCAGGTTTTTCCCGATGTTTTGGGGGTAGACGAGTTTCGTCGCCGTGGAGCAGTAGGAACTATAAAGGAACTATAAAGGAACTAAGTAGGAACTAAATAGGAACTATATAGGAACTAAATAGGAACTATACAGTAACCAAATAGGAACTATAAATAAACTATATAGGAACCACATAGGAACTATAAACTATAGGGCGCCGGTCTATCGCCGATACGATCCGGGTTCGACCTCCGCGTGCGACTCGAATTGTGCTTTTTAAAAAATCCAAAAGCACGTTGCACAACTACATGTAATGCTCTATTCAACGATGCAAAAATCATTGCAAATGATCATCTGGGGGCTGAGGAGTAGCGTGCACAGACAGACGGACATCCGGACAGACAGACGGACATCCGGACAGACAGACGGACAGCCGGACAGACAGAGAGACGTCTTAGACCCTTTATATAGTAGATTATTGATTGCTAAAGTTTATAATCCAAAAAATTGATTTACCAATGAGCAATAGATGTTTTAAAGCTCTAACCTGAGACGGGCATTGTAAAAATATTGGCAAGTTGCGTGAAACCGGTGGCTAACGCCAAGAAAATCCCGTGTTCTCTGGAAAAAAAACTCGATAATGTGTTTTTGTTATTACATATTTGTGTAAATCATTTTAAATCATCTATGTAAGCTAATTAAAGTTCAAAACTCGTGGAAGAATACCCCAGTGGTGCCCAAGTCGCTGTCAGTGCGCCAATCAGCGGAGATGTGGCTGCAAAAGCGACTCCCTAAAGCGACTTTAATAATCTTTAATAATCTTTAAAAAGCTTTTAAAAAGCTTTAATAATCTTTAATAAGCCTTACTAAGCTTTAATAATCTTTAGTAAGCTTTAATAGTCTTTAATAATCTTTAAAAAGCTTTAAAAAGCTTTAACAAGCTTTAGTAAGCTTTAATAATCTTTAATAAGCTTTAATAATCTTTAATAAGCTTTAATAATCTTTAATAAGCTTTAATAATCTTTAATAAGCTTTAATAAGCTTTAATAATCTTTAACAAGCTTTAACAAGCTTTAATAAGCTTTAATAATCTTTAACAAGCTTTAATAATCGTTAGTAAGCTTTAATAGTCTTTAATAATCTTTAATAATAATCTAAACATAATAATGTTTACTTGAATAACTCTGGCCACCAAGAAGTACCCGAAACCTCCCTGGTTTGCCAGCGGAATCAACGCAGTCGACACTGAAAACGCGAGAATTTATGGAAAAAAAATCTGTGGCTCACCCGCGGAAATGATTCCCGCTGAAATGAAAAGATATCGATGGGAATATTTCGAGAATAGATACACATACGGAACACCGCCAACCAGTGTTCCCCAAGCCACAAATGATTGCAACATACTGAAGGACCCTCTTTGAAAAGTCTTGACATCAATGATTCAGATTTTGGCCAAAACTTTCGCTCGACGTCAACTCAGAATTACAATTTTCATTAATATTTGATGTTTTTTTGAGCTCAAAAATTCTACAGCAACTTGCTTTGTAAAAGAAAGTCTTTCAGTAATCAAGAAAATCAGAAATCAATTTCGGGTACTTCTTGATGGCCAGGGTTATTCTAGTAAACATTATTATGTTTAGATTATTATTAAAGATTATTAAAGATTATTAAAGCTTATTAAGGCTTATTAAAGCTTTTTAAAGCTTACTAAAGATTATTAAAGACTATTAAAGCTTACTAAAGATTATTAAAGACTATTAAAGCTTATTAAAGATTATTAAATCTTTTTAAAGCTTATTAAAGCTTATTAAGGCTTATTAAGGCTTTTCTACAGGAAACTACTATTGAATTACTGTAGGTTAATGTAGAAATCTTTCAGAAATGTCAAAAGGAAAAGTTTTTTTCAGAATTTCAGAAACATGACCGAATATTTTATTTAAACAAATCCCTTTAAAACCCAGAAAAAAACCTTTGTTGATGTTTTGTATAGTTTTGATTATGTGTCGATGAGGTGTCATTCGAGATACAAATCTTCGTGAAATTATACGTATTCATATTTGAGAGAATCGACGTCAGACATGCTGTCGTGATAAGTAAAACCTAGAATAATGTAGAGAAATTTCTTTGTGAATCTTACCAGATGACGAGTGCCGAAAAAGCTAAAAAAAGGCATCATTGGGTTGAGCAAAAAAGAAAACGAATTTTCGCGCGCTGTTTGCTTCTGTTCAAATCAAAAAAGAAAAGGAAACGGTGAAAAGGAAAGGTGATAAGCAAAAAAACGCCAAACTTTTAATTTAAAATATTTCCTTTTTCTATTGAGATCATTTGTTTTGTTGGGGCAAAAATGTGAGAAAAAAGTTTTAAAAAGGAAATTTACTGAGTTTTTCTGTCGAATTCGTGAAAGAATTTGGCGAATTGCCGCGTTAAAGTGAATTTAATCGGAAATTAAATACAATGATTGATAATTTAATGATTAGACTTTCTCGGATTAAGCTTTTTGTTCAAAGATCAAAACCTAAAAAGCTTATAGTTTGAAGAGGAGGGTAAGTTTTTTGGTCAACTTGTAGTCCGATTTTATATAGGTTTTTGTTAATAACTTTTGATAAAACAAAGAGTTTCTGAAAGCTGACATTCTAAGCTATCTAAATCTTATTAGAACTTTTTGATCTGACAAGTTTAAGATGCTTAAAGATGAGCTGCAAGTTGACGAAAAAACTTACTCCCCCTCCCTCGGCTGATAATCGCTGACCTCTCCGCCCTCCTCCCATTATCCGTCAAGCACCGAAAAATATGCTTATAAAGATGAATTCTTATTTAAAATACTGTAAAGGTCGATCTTAGTCTCCAGTAGGCCAAAAAATGGATGATTCAGCTATTCAGCCATTCAATCACACTTCAATGAATCAATAGCTTGATACTTTATAGCTTAATACTTTTCTAATTCCTTTGTTTACTGTAGCAATGTTGCTTAGATGACTGTCTTCGAATCTATTACAAAAAAAGCTCAATTCAAAACTGATTGAAACGCCATTTTCATGACATTATCCCCGTTTTATGGACTTTCTTCCTGTTTTCTTCAAATCTTTGACCTAAAAAAAACGCAAAATGCCAAAGAAAAAAAGTCAATTCCTGATTTTTCTTATCGCTTATTGCTATAATTTGAACAAAAATGCGGTGATGATTTTCATTCTTTTCGTGAAAGCATTCCCAAAATCACGTCAGTGAAATGATTCTTGATGATGGGGGAAAACGGGGAAACGCTCGGTTTACCTCGTGTTTATCACGAGTAATTCCTGATTTTTCCCCCCATTCTTTGACCTTCATTCTCAACAATATTATATCAGAAACTCATAAAATTGACCAATCTATCAAATTCTATCAAATATCAAATTTATCAAATTTATTAGCTAAACAAATTTTATTAGCTTTATTAGCTTTTTTTTGTTGTTGTTGAAAGAGAGCATTTTTTCAAGCATTTTCTCCGTCAATAAGCCTTTTCTCGTTTTGCTCGCTTTTCTCCTCTTCATCAACATCCAAAGACTCCAAATTTATGTTCTAAATTTGTTTTTTTTGTATTCTATTCTTTATAAACTTTGCATAATTAATCGAGTTATTAAATTAAATTCTGGGACATTTTACCCCCTGATGTTCGTGATATTTCCACCTTGGCTAGATTTAAAGCCGCAATTTCGGCAATTGATTTGACTGCTCTGTGATTCTTTCTTGAGGTATCTATTTATCTTTTGGGGTGTGTTTTGAGTGGTGTCCCGGGTAATTATTGTGATTTTGTTTTGTCGCTATTCAACTGAATAAAGCATATATAATTTACATTACCTTAGTTTCGGTTAGCCAAAAAAATGCGACGAAAAAGTTGATCGCTCCAAGGATGAACACCGTCACATAAACGGCCGGTGACCAGAATTGCGCGGAAAAAGCAATCTGAAAAAAAAAAAAAGATATGGCAATATTATAAATACTAATTTTAAGGAATATGATTTAAAATCTACAAATGGAGCTAAAAGTGATCCAATTCGAGCCACCAACGAGCACGATCCGACCGCTGAAGCTCGACACGCTGTTGGAAGAGATTCTACAGCGCATAGCTAAAAAATTTTCTTTAATAATTGGCTTGAATTGGCTTTACGTAAACTATCATTTAAGTATTCCATTAAAATATTCAACTATTAATTTATTTAATATGCTTAAAATTTTAAAAAAACCTGATTAGCATCCCAAGTAAACTCGATACAAACACAGCCAATAATGTTTAAAATCGTCAAAAAAAGGCCCTAGATAAAGAATTTGTTTTTGATTTGTTATATTTGTTATACCGTATTTTCTCTAATAGTAGTACACCCTAAGCGCCGCCTAAATTGATCGAAATCTCGAAAACTGCTTATCAGAACCTATCGATGTGGGGTCGGAAAATGTAGCTGACGATGAGATCTTGTGGGGGATTTGAGTGTTGAGCTTCTGCAAAAGCTTGGAAACCGTTGAAATTGTCACCAACTTGACTCGCCGGTGTGCACTACTATTAGCGAGAATACGGTATATATAATTGAGGTTCAATCTAATGCTCAGTAATTGAACACATTTAGTTACCGTATTTTCTCTAATGGTAGTGCACCTTGATCGTCGTCTAAATTGCTCGAAATCTCGAGAACCGCTTATCAGAACCTATCGATGTGGGGTCGGAAAATGTAGCTGACGATGAGATCTTGTGGGGGATTTGAGTGTTGAGCTTCTGCGAAAGCTTGGAAACCGTCAAATAGGCATCAACTCGGCTCGCGACTATTAGGTGCACTACTATTAGAGAAAATACGGTATTTGTTTAATTATTTACCTTTCTTCCAAATGATAAAAGAATAATCATGATTAGAAAACAGACACAGACAGCAATTTGAGACATTTGATGGAGACGACGACGTGAGAAATTCGGGAATTCCTTATCCGCCCAAGCCATTACCTAAAATATATTTATAAATTCAGATTTATTAACTTTATTTTTATCCTGTATAAATTAAATGAAGTTCTACCCATTTTGAGAAGTAGATGATCAATCCGAAAAGAAATTGATTTAGATAGAAATTGCCGGAGAGTGAGCCTGAGTTTAGGTCGTTAGCATAGCTGCAAGTGGCCGAGCACCACCTGAATTCTTCTTTTCAGTTGAAATTTACAAGAAAACTGAAAAATATAAGCTTTTAACACATTCGCGACGAGGCGTTTTTTTTGCGTTACTGCCCCAGTGGACGAGGGGTGTCTCGCAAAGCTATTAGCCCCGAAATACACCTCCTATATGTAAAATTTCATGCTGAATCCGAATCTCTAATCAGATTTTGAAAATATTGCTGCCTCAAAAAGATATCGACTCTTTTTGGCTCGTGAGACAAAACGCCGCATTTCTCTTTCTCCAATGGTCTGTTTTCCACGATTTTTGTTTTATTGGATGGAGCTCAGATAGATGAACATTTCATATCAACATCATTTTTTGATAAGAATTGATCCAAAAAAGGGCGTTTTACTGGGATACGCGCAATAGAGATCTTCTATAGCGCAGTCGGTAGAGCGTCTGTCTCTGGGGCGGGAGGAATTTCATCCGGTGGACCACAATTTCATTCACCGGTGGACCGAACCGTCCCAGGGGCCAGGCGGCCTTCGTCCACCGGTGGACCGAATCGTCCCGAACGTGTTAAGCAGTTAATCAAGAAAAGCTTTAACAGTTTTTCTTTCAGAACAAACCACATAAACCCAAGCACCCATAACTTCCCGAGAGTTTTCTTTGAAGAAATCATTTCGATAATGTTCTAAATTTCGATAAAATCAACGTTTAAAACGATCGAACCTTTGATTTTTCGACTTTTTTGTGCTCAATCGGGATATGAGCACGACCAGCAAACTTTGCGATTTTCTCTTCACTTTCTTTCATCAATACGTATTTTCCCTGGAAATAGGCAACTTTATAAACATTTATAAACCTTTATAAACTATAGATTAATAAATATTTAATAATAATATTAATCTAAACCTTATTGTGAAGCCAAATCGGACTCTCAGGAAGGATAAAGAGAACACTCAAAATTGCAGGAAAAGCAGCCGCCGAAATGGCTAAATTTTAAGGTAAAAATCATTTAATGAGAATTGATACTAGATATTATTTACTCTGACATACCCAATGTTGCACGACGCCAATCGGGGAACAAATAGCACAACAACGTCTGCAACATGCGACCTGTGCCCTGAAATATTGAAACTGCTCCACTTTTAGGAATGCAAAGCTTAGTTTTCATTTTTCGATTTTCTATTTTCTAGAAAATAAACCGCCGAAAAATCAAAAAGTCAAGATCGAGTGGCACTCCGGGGGTCGAACCCGGGCTGTGTGAACTGCATAAGCCTAATAGAAGCCTGCGTGTGGACTGCAGACAAGCACGCTCTCAACTGCACCGTGGCCACTATGCCCTGCCTTCAAAAAAGCTAGCTAGAAAGACCCGCCGTTCGATAGGCTCCTGGCTAAATGTTTTCGGAACGGATAGTCTAAAGACGGGTCTTTCTGAATGTTTTCGGGCCTACACATAGTCGCCGTGGCGCAGCCGAGGGCACGTTTGTCTTTGGCCCACATGGTCCAGGTTCGACCCACCGTAGTGCCACTCCATCTCGATTTTTTAATTTCTTATTTTGAATGACTTAACTATATTATATTTTGAGACTTTTAAAAATAATTTCAGGTTTTTTTTTTGTTCAAAGACGCCTGAGAAAAAGCCTGTACAGACGGACGAACGGACAGACACTCTCTATTATATAATAGTTATTTTACAGTACCCAGTTGAAGAAAGCTCTCATCATGATTCTTTGCTGGGGTAAAAGCAACTCATTGCAATAAGTGCACACGACGACGATGACTGAAACTTTTCCTGTTTTTTTCGATACTTTCCTTTTTCTTACCTCCACCAACAGTGAATCCAATGACAGCTCTCATCACCAAAAGAGTGTTTGGACTTTGGATAAAAGCTAAATGTTTGACTTATTCGAATGAATTGGTCAAGTTGATTCTTCAAGCTTTGTTTTGTGCTTAAAAAATGTGCGCATCCTCTTTGGCGCACTCGATTCTCTAGCTTTCTTGAAACGCATCCTCTCTGGCGCACTTATTTCTTTAGTTTTCCAGAAGGGCCTAGTTTTTCTAATTCAATTTATGTTCTATCTGAAAAAATGAAGAATGGAGAATGTTAGAGAGCCTTTTAGAGAAGAGAACAGAGAAGAAAAGAGAAAAAATTGTCGTTTTCTAAAGTGCACCTTTCACGTCTGTCTGTCTGTCTGGGTTGTGACTAGAAACGTCTCGTAGTCTGTGCCATTACGCTAGAAAAAGTGTGTTTACATTCGTAAGCAATGAAAGCAATGAACTCTCTCACCCGAAGCCCCATTAAACACCACACATCCGCCAAAAACAAGTAACGAGATCGGCTTTCGACCATGAACATCCGCCAACCAACCGAAAAAAACCGTTCCGAAAAACACTCCAACAAAAACCATCTAAAAATTTTTACCGTATTTGTTCGAATAGAAGACCGGGTAAAGAGTATGATCGCGTACTCCTGCGTAGCAGCCCTTTTTAAAATTTCTTTTCTGCATAAAAGCTTTCAATCAAGTGCTATAGAGCTGGAAAATGGCTCAAAAATCTGTTAGCTCATGTCGTATTTTTGAGTCATTTTCCCGCCCTATAGCACTTGATTGAAAGCTTTTATGCAGAAAAGAAATTTTAAAAAGGACTGCTACGCAGGAGTACGCGATCATACTCTTTACCCGGTCTTCTATTCGAAGAAATACGGTATATCTTTCAAAAAAAAAATCCTCTTTTTTACCTGTGAATAGTTTCTTAAATATGTGTTTTTTGTGTTTCCATCACAGAAATTTTGAAATCTAAACTTTTATGAAAAAGATAAATCAAAAAAAAGAAAAAGATACTCCATGACAACAGAATTGAAAGCCGGCTCCTCGAAAACGAGATTTCCTTTGCATTCCGTAAAAATTGTACAATTCTGTGAGAAAAATTTAAATTTTAACAAAAATACTGTATCAAAATGATCATCAAAATGTCTCGCAATGTCAAAATGTCTCACTGTATCAAAATGATCATCCTCGCCGCATTTCCATTTCGGAGTGTAGTTGGCGAAAATCGAGAAAAGCATCTGAGTGGCGAGAAAGATCGCGAGTTGCCATGTGAGCAAGACAACATAATGGAAACGATTCGCGTTGTAGTATCCCATTTTGAATAAAGATCTGACTTAGATTAAGCTTTTTATATATAGACAACAAAAGAAACAACGTTTTCTTAAATGCTGGAGAGTTTCCCTTCACTGCGGTTTAGCGAAACTTCTCAAAACCCGATGAATTCTTTCTTTTTAAGATTTTATATTGATTTCAATCTTGATTATGATTAAAGTAAATCAATTTGCCAATGATTTATCAAATATTAAGGGGTGTCAGCTTCGAGCCAAACTGATATTTTAGTTACTATTGTTATTATTGAATGATTTGTCTATTCTTATGCAAATGTGTCCTCCCCTGTGCTTATCCCTTTTATTGCCGAGAAGGGGCGGTCCTTGGGATTGCCTAGGAGGACAGTGAGGAGCCTAGAAGGACAGTGAGGGGCCTAGGAGGACAGTGATGAGCCTAGAAGGACAGTGAGGAGCCTAGAAGGACAGTAAGGAGCCTAGGAGGACAGTGAGGAGCCTAGAAGGACAGTGAGGAGCCTAGAAGGACAGTGAGGAGCCTAGGAAGGACAGTGAGGAGCCTAGAAGGACAGTGAGGAGCCTAGAAGGACAGTGAGGAGCCTAGGGGGACAGTGAGGAGCCTAGAAGGACAGTGAGGAGCCTAGAAGGAAGGCAGTGAGGAGCCAGAAGGACAGTGGGGCCTAGGGGACAGTGAGGGCCTAGAAGGAAGTGAGGAGCCTAGAAGGACAGTGAGGGCCTGGGGGGGAGCCTAGAAGGACAAGTGAGACTCTCATTTGGAGTCCCCCCTTCCCCTTACACTTATTTGTAATCTATTCATCTTATTATACTACTGTAAATAAAGATACATATCTTCCGGGTCTATGCAACTGCAGTACAGATCGGTCATTTCACAGGGACTCCCCTCTAATACGTTGGAGGAGTTGAGTTGGGTTGTCGGGGTGTTAGAGATGGCGGGATATCAAAAGGGATCCACTCTCTTTAACTTAACCCAAATTCTAGTCCACATCCGTTTATACCTAGGAACGAATAGGGGATCAAATCGGGTTTGCAAGTCGTTTCAACCTTGAGTATTTCGGTAGTTTTAATTTTGGCGGTAAGAATTTCTAGTGCCTTTTCGGCCTCAAATCTGGCTTTATTTTTGCTAGAAATTCTATAGCCTTAAACTCAAACTAGCTGAAATACTCAAGATTGAATCAAATTGATCAAAAAGTTGATCGAAAAATAGAAGAATTCAATGGGTTTTCCTTTTTTGAGAACTTTATAGTCAGTAAGATAATTTCAGTGAAAATGATGAAAATCGATCATTTCATTTTCATTCTAAAATAGAATAGAATACATTTTCAATTCATTTTCATTCTAAAATACAATAGAATACAACAATTCAAAAGAGAATCCAAAAAAAAAAGTAAACTTTCTATTGAAATGAAAAGTGAAACTCGAGTTTTTCCCATGACTATCGGGGAAATCAAAGATTTAGAAGAGTTTGTAATCGAGATCGATCTCTCTCTCCGGCGATTTTTTTAAGTCGATTTCAACCCTTTCCCCCGATGATCAAAGTGACAGGTTTTGCTGACTATTTTGTCTTTTTTTTCTGTCTTTTACGGAAAAATTTTTATTGTAATTTCTCGATTCCACTAATATCTTGGTATTTGATTCGAAGAGATTGCTTTCGTCTCTTTGGATCCTCACGAATTTTGGCGATTGCTAAAATGTTTCATTAGAATTTCTAGAGGATTAATTTGAATTTGAGAAAAACGAATTTCTAATTATTTAAAGATTTAGATAAATCTTTTGGCTAACTAGAGTTTGAAATGCCCTTCCCGACAAGTTGCGTTTGATCTCCACCGTGTCTGATTTTAAAAGGGCTATTTCGTTGCATTTTAAGTGACTTTGTGATCTTTTATCTAGTACTTTGTCTTTTGTCTTTTACTTTGTGATCTTTTATCTTTTATATTTTATCTAGATGCTTTAAAATTGTTAAAGGCATTCATCCCGACCCCCTTTTTTCTGGTCTCTTTGAATTCGGCTCTCTACGGGGCCTACAGGGCCTACAGAGCCAGAAGGGGGCCTTTTCTCATACGCCAACCTTCCGTTTCCTCTAAAAGCCCCCCACAGTTTCTTTTTTAATCGAGTTATTAAATTCTGGAACATTTTACCCCCTCATGTTCGTGATATTTCCACCTTGGCTAGATTTAAAGCCGCAATTTCGGCAATTGATTTGACTGCTCTGTGATTCTTTCTTGAGGTATCTATTTATCTTTTGGGTGTGTTTTGAGTGGTGTCCCGGGTAATTATTGTGATTTTGTTTTGTCGCTATTCAACTGAATAAAGCATATATATGTTGTGTCCGATTTAGATTTCCGTCCGATTTAGATTGAACTTATCGCGGACGTCCGATTTAGATTACAGTCTATATCGGACGTCCTATTTAGATTCAATCTAAATCTTATATAGATTGAACAATAATACGTCTTATATAGATGTGTTTGATAGCTTGTCTAAAAACGTTCACAGACAACCGAGAACATATATTAAGCACGTTTATTATTGTTCGATCTGTATCGGACGTCCGATATAGACTTTAATCAATAAAAGACCTTTGAAAAATGCAGAAAACTACAGAAAACGCTTAAGAACATATATTAAGCATGTTTATATTATTGTTCAATCCATATAAGATTTAGATTGAATCTAAATAGGACGTCCGATATAGACTGTAATCTAAATCGGACGTCCGCGATAAGTTCAATCTTAATCGGGCGTCCGATTTAGATTGAATCTAAATCGGACACAACATATATAGTACATTTTTCATGTCGTTTTCGCACTTTATTTCTTTCTGAATAAAGTATTTATATTAACTAATTTAAATAAATCTTTAAATTAAATAATAATTTAAATAAATTAACTAAATAAATTAATTAATTAAATAAATAGATCAAATAAATAAATAAGATTAATTAATTAAATAAATAAATAAATTTAAATAAATCTTTTGGCTAACTCACCAGTGAAAGCCACCATAAACAAATTGCCATTGCCAACGATGAAAAATAGAATTCCAAGCACTGGCACCTAAAATTTACTCTTTCAAAGCATGTAATTTCTATATTTTAAAAAATATTTCTCTATTTTGTTTACGGTAATCTATGTAAAAATAAGGAAATTATTAGAAAAAGGAAAGAAAAAATAAGAAAATTAAGAAAGAAAAGAAAAAAAAACCGACATGCCAACTCGTTTGATAAATTTTTTGATTTTTGATAACACTCAACCACATTTGATAAATTTACTCTTTCAAAGCATGTAATTTCTATATTTTTTCAAATATTTCTCTATTGTTTCTACGGTAATCTATGTAAAAATAAGGAAATTATCGAAAATTTTAAAAAAAACCGACATGCCAACTCGTTTCCCCACTCAACCACATTTGATACAAAGTGTAAGAGTGAAAAAGTTCCAATAGCTAAAAGAAAATTTAATATTTTAACGATTTTAACGCTAAAATTTAATAGAAAACTTGTTTTATTGTTTAATGAATGAAATCTCTAATCTCTAAACTCACATAAGCGAATAGTAAAAACGGAAGTAAAAAGGTGAGACCGCGAAACATCCATCCTTCGAAACCTTCTGAAATTTTGAGATTTTTGTGATCATCGCCTTCTTTAAACCTTAAAAAGCCACCTATTTTACTAAAATCCACCGTTATCCACCGTTAGGGGCCCTCATGGTGTATTGGTTAAGTTCTCACTTCCAAACTGAGGGTGTGGGGTTCGGCCCCCCTAGGGTTCTCTTCCCTAGCCCGTGCGCCCAGACTAGAGGTGTCTTCTCTAGAGCTGACTAGAGATCCCTTCTCTAGCGGAGTTCACTCTTCCAGTGGGTTGGCCCATTCATGGCCTGAGGTTATTAAAGCAAGAAGCCTATCTTCTATCTATCTTCTTTTCTCCCCGCCTCCACATCGCCGAGTAAAATATCTCATCTTTCTCTATGTATTTATGTGTAGATTTGTGTATTGTCTGACTGATTACGCTTTATTTCATGTCCTGAATAAAGTATCAATATGTTATTATTCTGTTTTACGCCCATCCAAACACGAAACCTACCGTATTTATTCCATTTGAAAAGCTCTCTCCAATAGAAGAGCACCATTTAGATGAGATTTTTCAATTTTTACAAGATTTGTCAACAATTTTACTACCAAATTTCGAATTCAACAGCATAATGCTCAACTTTTTTTTAAAAGACTTCTAAAAGCTTTAAATAATAGTTATCGATTTAAAAAAAAAGCTTAATGACATCGAATGACGAATGAAAATCCAACAAACAGCTTTGAGATCTTGGATTTTGGGGATAGGCTAGTTTCCGCAATTTTTTTTAGCGCAACTCACCATAACTTTCTTCTAAGTAGGCCAATCTTTATGCTTTGGGTTTTATTTTGTTGCACTTATTGAGATCTACAAAATGAAACCAAAATCATAAAGATTGACCCACTTAGAAGGAAGTTATGGCGAGTTGTGCAAAAAATTTGGCGCAAAAGTAGCCACACCCATTTTGTTTTCATTTTGTAGATCTCAAAAAGTGCAACAAAATGATACCAAAATCATAAAGATTGGCTGACTTAGAAGAAAGTTATGGCGAGTTGCGCAAACGACCCAGTTGAGCAAAAAAAGAAATTGCGGAAATTAGCCTACCCCGAATTTTGAGCTATTTTTGAGCTCTTGAAATTTTGGGTATACTGTAGCTAGAGCACGAAAAAGAATTTCGAGAGGGACATTGAAAAATAGAAGAGCCGACTCTTGAATGTATACGGTACCTAGCGTCAAATCCATGGTATCCCCGTGGCCAAGCGCATGCAATCGCCGAAGACATCCACTCTGATACTTGTATTGCATTTGCTGACACAACGAGATGTACAAAGCGAAGAGCAGGAATTGCAGTCGAAAAGCCTCAATTCGTGTATGTAGTTTGGATTTGTCTATTCGTCGATTCACCTGATAAAATCGATCATCGGACCACGTGATCGCGACGCCGCTGATCACCGTCGCGAAATAATGATGCGCCACCCACCAGCCGTGCATTCTAAACCCTGATAAACCAGAAAATACGTGGAATTTTTGCGCAACGATCATTCGAAACTTGTGCTTAACATATTTTTCATACCTTCAAAAGCTCGATTAATGAAGCACAACTTATTAAAAAGCATTCTTTACTATAAAAAAAAGCGTCATAATAGAAGTGACTAACTTTGCAATCAAACTAAAAAAGCATTTATTTCGCAGGCTTATGCAGTCCACACGCAGGCTTCTATTAGGTTTATGCAGTCCACACGCAGGCTTCCATTAGGCTTATGCAGTCCACACGCAGGCTTCTATTCGGCTTATGCAGTCCACACGCAGTCCTATTAGGCTTATGCAGTCCACACGCAGGCTTCCATTAGGCTTATGCAGTCCACAAAGCCCAGGTTCGACCCCCGGAGTGCCACTCGATCTTGACTTTTTGATTTTTCGGCGGTTTATTTTCTAGAAAATAGAAAATCGAAAAATGAAAACTAAGCTTTGCATTCCTAAAAGTGGAGCAGTTTCAATATTTCAGGGTACAGGTCGCATGTTGCAGACATTGTTGTGCTATTTCTTTTGATAATTAAAGTCAGAAAAATTTTTTACTAAAGTTTTTCTTTTGGAAAAGTTTTGAATGCGATTTTGAAGAGTTAAGTCTTTTCTACAAAATAAGCTATAAACCAAAAAAAGTAACTTGAAAACAAAAGATTTTCAAGAGATTTTTTTAGGGTGGGAAATGCGAGTTGAAAATTGACACAAATGTCAAAGGAAATTGGTGAAAGCCTTAAAGCAAGCAAATTGACACCCTTAAAAGAATCATTTCGGAAAGTTGTTCAAAGTCAATTTGGGTTTAGATAAATATGCGAATTATGCGAATTATGCGAATTTTCCAAATTTAAAGTTACTTTGAAGAATCAACTGAAGAATGCTGTGGCACGTAAGCTGCTTACTTAATGCTTACGTAATTCGTATATTTTCTGGTCCCTGTATTTAGGTTGAAATTCTTTAAGCATTCATACCGTAAATACTGTAATAGTATCCCATCCCCATAATGTTGCGTAGTCTAGCTTTGAACGAGTTTTTCTCGACACTGGTTTATGCTACAATGCGCGTTTAGGTATCCAAAAATAGCCCTGATTTTCAGCTATTTTTTTGATACCAAAGACGCATTTTTTGAAAGTACGGTGACTTTGAAAAAAATGAAATACGAAAAACGAAAAACGTTTGCGACTACGCGACTGTACGAGGGGGTGGGGTAGTATTACAGTATTTACGGTATGTAAATCATTTTCTTTTAATAAATTTTAGAGCAAAATCATTAAAATAGATGTAAAAAAATGCAGGGAAAATATTGAAATTCGATCAATTTTAAGCAATAAACATTACATTGTTTTCAAACTTACTGTGATCCATTCAACCGCAAAATGCTTTCCCTGATCGTCAGTGTGCAGTAATACCAAACCATCAGAAAATGACATAACAAATCGAGTTGTCTAAGAAGTTTGAGAAATGAAGCAAGAAAATTTCCGAAATTTTCTCTTTACCTCGACGGTAGCACCAAATTCACTACTAGAAGGACGAGATTGACGAAAGTGACGCGGAGTTTGAATTTCTCGTAATCTCTTTTGAAAAGAAAACTGTAATAAAAGAAATCGAATTTACGAATTTTTTGCTCTCATACCGATCCGCCGATGTCATTGTGAGATCAATCGAATTCCCGAGAATGATAGAGAGATAGAGACTAAATTTGGCTATTTTCCCCAATTTTTCTTTCAAAACCCATTGTCCATTTTTCGCTTTTCCCGAATTCGTTGTTTACACGCTGGGCATTGATTTGCATTTAACGAGTCCATTTTTTTTTCTGGAAAATTAGCTAAACTTTAAAGCATTTAAAAACAGAAAAGAAAGAAGTTAATTCCCTTAGGGAGTAGGGAAGACCAATTGCGTTGACCAATTGCTAACCAATGGTTAGCACAGTTGGCCGGTAAGCGAAAGGTCGCGGGTTCGAGTCCCGGCGGCGCACAGATTTTGCATCTGTCCTAATTCCAACTAAGAAGCTGGAAATTGCTGTTGGAAAGCTGTTGGAAAGCTGTTGGAAATGAGATAAGGATAAGCATAAGCATAAAGATAAACATTTAAATCTATTTAGGAAAGAAAATATGTAAATCACGTGTATATGCGAAGGTGAGTTGTTTACGGGTCGAAAAAAACAATCCGGGGACATTAAAGGACAAAAAAGGCGCTGATCGATATCATTCGAAATGAGCAAAACAATAATATGAGGCCGGATCAGCAAAAATTTTGCTCTGTGTGTAAATCCATGTAAAGAAAGTGAGAAGAAAAGGGCAAAAGAGAGTCACAATAAACCGCGCCAGACCAATGAAACACACAATCCTTTCACACAGACTTCGCTGATTCTCACGGAAAAATAAAAAATTTTCTCTTCAAAAAACGCATTCCTATCATTGCTCGAACGAGCTACTATGAGAAATTTGAAAAAAAAGAAGCAAAAGAAGCTACGAGTAGTGTTTGTGAAAAAAAAAACGAGTGTATTTCAAAAGCAATTAAGCACTCTCTTCAAAACGCCAGGTGGGGCCGATTGCCCCAGCTGTTTAGTGAAAGAAATCGAGAAGGAAAACGTGAGTTTGAAAAAAACTAAAATGAAGAAAAGGTTGTTTTGAATTTGATGCAATCAGATAAGTGACTTTTGAAAGTTTTCAAATAAACAGAAAACACTTTTTTTTCTGTACAGACTGGCAGATTGCCAATGGTCAACTGCTAATAGGAGAGCTCTCGCATAACGATAACCTCTCCCTTTTTGACCACAAAGGGGTCAAGGCGGGGTCAACGAGCCGCAGGGGAAAACAAAAGGTGAACAATACAACTCACAAGATATGTATGTAAAGTTTACATTCTAAAATCCCACCAAAAACTGAAATGATATATCAATGCATATGTCGTAGCCGATTATGAATCAATTTATTATCGGCTAGCGAAATTCATAATCGGCTACGAGACATATATTTCCCCAAAAATCGATTTCCGACACAGATGTGGAAAAGTTTTGCGAGAAAACTTTAATCTGCTGTTCATTTCCATCCGGGTCTCAAAAAAAAAGCCACAGATCACCCGAGTTATTTTTCAATTTCAACATCTTTATTTGTTTTCACCAACGTCTGCAATATATTCTCACAAAATTCAATCAAGTGACCCAAAATTGTGCTTTAATTTGACAGGATCGTTGAAAAAGAGGGGTTTTAATTGTAGAATGAACAGGAATTTTTTTTTTCTCTAACTATATAAAATGGATTCGAGAATGAGGGTAGTCACATTGTTCTCACACACTCCACGCTGTATCCAATGGCTCTTCACCACCAAGTGATTCTCGTTGCTTTTGCAGGTTAGTGGCTTTTATCCAGATACAAAAGCGAACTCGAATATCAAAATATTCTTGCTTAATGTTTATCAAAAGCCTTTAGCTGTGTTTTTGGTCAATGATACGGAGGCTGTCCGAGGTGCTCTGATTCGCCACGGTAGAGCGAGCTCTCTCTCGAGATATGCTTCCCAGGTCAGTTAACATTCCATTTGTTAAAGCCAGAGAGCCGTAAAGTCAAAAGTAGTAGGTAAATAATGTTGTGGGTTAAATAAAGTAAAGGACTTTCTACGCTTTGGAAGATCTCAGGTGGATGATGAAGTTCAACCAATCAGCTATGGCCGTTCGATTGGCCTGCGCTATTTCCGGTAAGACAAATCCAACAAAGAACTTTTTCGGCAACAAAACAAGTCCTTGTACGAAAATGAGCATTTCTAGGCCAAACATCATCCCAATCGCAGATGATTGGGAATTCTGAACCGCTTAAAGCCAAACATCATCAGTTTTTTTCAAACATCGTCAGCTTTTCCAAGAAGAAATGCTGAATAATCATTTAAATAAAGCATCTTTTATTCAACTTCCTTATACAACAAATTTAACAAACCTGTACATTAGAAAATAATGAGACAAAACGTAAAATAAATTCTAGAAAACCTACTATTTCTTAACTTTTGCAATCTTTGCCTTAGTTTTATCACGGCCGGCTGCTTTCTTTCCATCAACTTCTGTGAATACAATTGTCGGAGATGTAAACCTAAAGAAGCATTTTTAAGCCTTAACAATTAGGTTATCAGTTAGTGCGAAAGTGGAAAACATACTTAAACAATTCGGGGAGAAATTCTTGTTGATATGTGAAAGGCGCCTCTTCTGAGCTAACTTCTTCCGAAGCTTCTGGAATTGTTGCAAGAGATGGAGTCCACGTTGGAATGCTCAATGCCTGAAAAACTTACTAATCACTAAGCAAAAAATAAGAATACCTTTGGATACTTCTCTGCTTGTAAACAATCTTTCAGTAGTACAGTTTCACCAATATCACCCGGAACATTTCCTTTGATGTAGATGACTTGCTTGTCAATGTTCATTCTTATAACCTAAACTTTAACATAAAGAAATTCCTGGTAGATTTTGTAAAAGTCACCTTCAATCCGGAAGTGGTGCTCCATTCGTAGCCCATGTGACCAGGCATCCGTTTACTCGGCCAAACTCTCGCATCTCCCACCGAACCAATTGAGCCGATACGTCGGTGAGATTTGGTAGTTCTAAATTGTTATAATCTATAGAAACTCTAATATTTTCAAAATATATAATACATAAACAAAAAACCCTTACCTTCTCTGTGGTTGTCCACGAAAGCCCCAGCGATGCATTGCTCCCTAATCATTTTGTTTTAAACTGGATTTAAAATTTGGAAAAGTACCTGAAAGCCCCAATCAATTGTTTTTCCACTGGCTGTGATATACTGACCAACGGTGAAATGTCTAAAAAGATGTGAAAGAAAAGTATAACGATAAAGAAAGCTATACCTAACATCTAATGGCATCCCTAATTGAGGCACAGCGTCTGGGGTAACAATGAAAGCTAAAAAAAAGCGTCAATCAATATTTACCAATCAATGAATCAAAATCGAACGTGAAGTAGCACTAGAACTTACAAGCAATTTTTTCCTTGACCGGCAAACCAGCTTTCGCAAACATTTTTCGGTAAGCTCGATGAAAACGCCAAGGCTCGCCATCACTTGCACCAACGGTCACCTTAAAAAATAGTACTGAACAAAACAAAGTTTAGGTCAATACTCTGTACTAAAAACCTACTTGCCACATTGGACCTGCTCGACCAAATGCTTTCCGTCTTCCGATAATAGAAGTTCTGTACCAATCTTCTGGTGACTTCACTTTTACCTAAAGGCGAGAGAAGTCAAGTGAATATTCTAAGTTATTGAATACCACATTGTTTTGATTAACATGTAGCAGAGTGCATAGAATACGTTTTCCTGTATTTGTCCATTGGGGGAGCATTCCTGAATTTTCACTTTTATATGCTGACTCTACTGTAAAAATACCGATTTTCGTAGCAACGAGTCCAACACGGCGTGTGTCCATGTAGGATGGATTTTCCATCTAAATAAACCAAAATTACACAAAAACAAAAAAACAAGCCTTTCTTGCTGATATGCTTTCCAATTGCTCATCAATATTATTTAAGGCTTGCTCCCTCTCCAATCCATATATCTTGTTGACCAATTGTCTAAATTTTAATAAAGTTTGTAAAAACAAAGAAGCTTACTTATTTGCATCACTAATTTTTGAATCGTCAAATGTTTCGTAAACCAAAGGAGCCCATGGTGGTGCTGTCAATGTACGGCGACGCCCACGCACTTGAGAAGACTTAACAGAAACTTGTTAAATCAATTATCTGTAAAAGAACACTTACCAATATTTGGGTTGAAGAGAGGAAATTACGAGCTGTCGAAGGAAGAGAAAAACAATAAGCCCCAACCCGTATCATCCCTGACAAAAAAACACGATTATAAATAAAAATGGGTTTTTCAATAAGTAGTTTACAGAACAATGATCCGTTGTATGCATTACAAAAATTCTTAGAACATTTATGTAACAACAATGAGATAACAACAATAACAGTAAATACCGTCTAGAAATTTGCTAACAAAAATCACAAAAAGAACAACAAAACAAGTTAAAACTCCATTGTATCTGTTCTTGCCTTAGCTTGAACGACTTTCACACCGGAAGAGGCCTCTCCTGCCACGCCGACTGAAGTCTCTGTATGCTCTGCTTGCTCAGCTTCAGTCTTAGTAGCGTGTTGAAGCTCTCGTCGTATTTCAGGTGTGATTAGATAGTGGAAATGAACCTAAAACAAAAGTGGTATGTAATATATCCAAAACCCGTTTTAACAGATTATTTCACTTACCTTAACAAGCTCGAAAATATCCTTTTTCTGTTGCTCTGTCAGATCTAGCTTATATCGTTGTATGAAAGAAAGCAATGCTTGATGCCACAACACAGGAAGCTCTCGGGTTTCATCTTTGAACCTAAAAAAATAAATAAACCAATTTCACCGAGACACAGCTTTGGCACGAGCTTTTATTACCTTTTAAAATGATCCACTAATGCCTTGATAACACGTAATGGAAGAGCATATTTCTTGTCGATCAATGTTCGAATGAACAGTGAATTAGCACCAGAATAATCCATTTCTGCTATCTAAACTTCGTACTAAAGGACATTGACAAACTTTAACAACAAACCATTAACAAGCCTGCAGCCGCGTGAAAGATTGGTATCGAAAATTTTTGGATCACTGAACAGAAAATGACAGCTTCACGAAGAGTACACGTTCCAGACTAAATAAATAGGTAAATGGTATCATTGTTCGTTATGACAAACCTCACAAAGAGGCATAACGAGTCCCTTGAAGAAAGCAGCCGGTTTATATAGTGATTTAACAAGGGATTGGTAGAGAGGGTAGTTCAACTTTTTGTATTCATCGATGTCATCTCGAAGACGTGGTAGAAGAACATGGTGATAAAACCTTCAAATTGAAATTTTCAAAGGACATCACAATAATAAAGATACCTTTGGCAAGCGACCGGATTTAAATTGGAAGAAAATAACACTGTAGCCTGATACATAGATGCAGCGCTCCATGCGTCTGGTTCAGTCAAACTTAAACAAAAAATGATTTAGAAAAAAATAGACAAGATACTAAAGAAGTTGCTCCCAATTCTCCATGCTCGCAGTGTACTTGAAAGCTTTCGGCAATTTTCCGGCTCGATATTTTGATAGCACCATTCCAACTTCACGATACATTTCAATAACTTGTGGATCAAGATCTCGGATCTAAAAATTGCAGATATTCAAAAGTAATAAATTGATTACAGACCTCAATACCATCAGGCATGTCTAATTGACAATCGACATCAACTTTTTTTTGCTCAATTTTATCTTGGATCATCTCCCATAAAGATTGTTGTTGCTTTCCTTCGGCCATAAACATCTTGAAATCCGCCTCCTCATCGGGATCAACTTCCTAAAGTGAAGCACATAAAAATATATACTAAAATAGATACTAATAAGCTTAGAACCTTTAACTTTAAGCACCTACCACTTGTGTTTCATCATAGTCTTCAAAATTTAGCTCTTCATCTTCAGCAGTGATCACATCTCCAAGGCTTACATGTCTCAAACTAAAAGCCAAAATAAAAAAATTGTAAATTTTCAACAACCAACCGTTTTTGTGGTTCATCATTATCAGCCACTTCATCATCTTCAGCGAGCTGCTTTCTGGCTTGAGAAAAAATGCGAGCTGCAGCTTTATCACCGATGAACTAAAATCAACAAATGATGCTAATAAAAACCGTTTAAGAACAAAAACTCTCTAAATAATCCTTACTTTTGTGGTGCTTTCTTCGCTAATCCTTTTTCGATTCACTTTCTCGTGCGTATCCGCCCGATATCCGGCATCTTGAGTCTCCAAATTCGGCCGCTCATTCTTCAGCTTCTCGAGCTCGAAGCCCCTGTTTTTCAACGCTTTCTTGAACTTCCCCATCGTTTACCTAAAAATAAAGTTTAGTAAATAAAAAAATGCTCAAAAATTACAGAAGAAATGTTTTAGGTAACGGGCTTTACATAAAATTCGCTGTAGTTTAGCACTAAAAATGGGAGAAACGGGGTCTTGCCACGAACCAATTGGGAAGAAATGTTGGAACGCGGTGCAAGGCGATCATCCCTTTACTGCCTGTTACTATGATGCTATGTAAAGTTTAATTCAACAAAGAAAGCAATGTTTTCATTCAAAAAGCATGAGAGTACAAAACGCCTTATCGAATTTCAATAGCAACTTATCAAATTTCTTATGCCAAAAATTATCGAAATTTATGTTTTTTTCTTGCTTTTTTAGCAATTCCTTGCTTATTATTTAAAAATTTCCGATGATTTAGATAGATTTAGACAGTGCATAAAGAATCGATGCACACAGTGTCACCACTGGTGCAAAGAAATGAGCAGAGCCCGGAAAAAACGAATGTAGACGTTGACAAAGCACAAACAAATGAAGGGGCAACAACGCGAAAACTATTGGCCGTTTCAGCCACTCGGTAAAAAAGGAAATAAGGATGAAACAATGCCACTATCGAATTTCAGTTTACCGCACAACATTTTGGTCTACATTTTCTCTTATCTAACCGCTTCGGATCTCAAGAATTGTCTGATGGCTTGCCGACATTGGAACAGCGCACTAGCATTTGAAGTAGTTTTTCAAAATGAATTAGCGATCAATTTTACACCGTTCGTCCCTCAAATCGTTTTTGATTTTAAGTAAATTAATGCGACAAACAAGGGGGATAATAATTTAAAGCTTGTGCTCATTTGGACGCAGTGCACAAAAGAAACTTTTGTGACTGGAGAAGAAAAGTTTCTTGTGGTTTGGGGGACAGCAAACTACCAATTCATAATTGACACCAGCTCAAGAATCCAAAAAAATTTCAGGATAGTGTGGTTTGGCAAACGGTAGCACGGCGATTGGTGCCAGAACCAGCACTTTCCGATCCTTACTTATTTTCTGGTAGACAGAATCAATTGTATCACCTCTAATCAGCCGAATTTTAGAAATTCCCTCATTCAAGCAAAAGTTGAGAGCATTCAAATTTGCCTGGAACCCAAACGATTCGAGCAAGTAAATACGAGATGGGTAAACTGCAATGAGCAAGATTTTGCAGAAATAACTACCTTCGCCCGAACGGAATCACAATACATCGCCAACCAGTAGCCCAATCTACGGATGGTGTCAGGGGAAAGGTAGGGAAAAATAAAAGCTGCCCCCACTCCCACGGTGCGGAGTGTTGCGTAGTCTAGCTTTGAACGAGTTTTTCTCGACACTGGTTTATGCTACAATAGCAATACAATTATCAAAAAATAGCCCTGAATTTCAGCTATTTTTTGATACCAAAGACGCATTTTTTTGAAAGTACGATGACTTTGAAAAAATGAAATACGAAAAAAGCTTTTGCGACTACGCGACTGTACGAGGAGGATTGGGTACTATTACAGTCGCAAAACGTTCAGATTGGTGTTTCTTCTGGCTGTCACGCGTTTGAGCTTTCCTGGGAGGGTCCACTTGGTACAGTGGCCGTAATCGGATTGGCGACAAAGTACAGAAAAATTAGAGTTTGCATTGCAAAAGTTTTAGACACGCAGCACTACATTGTCCAGGGTATGTGCCACTTATCGGCTCCGATGATCAGAGTTGGGGATGGAATTTGGTAGGTTTCGAAGATCAGATCAAACTCATGGCAAATCCAGGTCGATAACAATTTGCTCCACAACGGACAATCGCTCGGAATTTACCCTGCTGTCAACAATCCACCAAAATATCAAGTATTCAAATTTTAAAGCGTCCAAAAAGCTTGTTTCAGGTGGGAGAACGAATACGTTTAATATTGGATTGTGATCAGCATGTGTGTTATTTCGAGCGCGGGACCGAGTTCCTTGGAGTCGCTTTTAAAGAGTTACCACCAGTCAAGTGAGTAATGAAAGTGAAATCGGTAGAATTGTGTTCAAATAAAGGAATTCACTGATAGAACTTGTAAATCCAAATAGATTCTACATTTTTAACAAAAACTCAGACTCTTCCCATCAATTTGCGCTGTTTACGGGAACACCGAAGTGTCGATGGTTTATTTGGGAGCGCCGGCTTTGGGCTAAAAGAAAAAACGGATGATTTTTGATTTCCACAATGCTTATCTAACAATTTTAAATGTTACTTATTTTGCATGAAATGCTTTATGCCAACTTTTTCCCCTTTCCATTACAAAATGATCTCATTCCTGTTTTACGATCTCTCTTTCCTCTTTTGAAGAAATCTGAACAATTTTTAAATATGATCTTTCAAAATTCAGTTATATTTTATTCAATTTTCAATGAATTTAAATTTGAAAAATTAATTGTAGTTCGTTTGTAATCAGGTTTGTAAGCGAAAAAAAAGCGGAACATGTAATATCTTTTGATTTTCAAAGCAAAACTCAACAAATGGGGCAGACGCATTGCGACGGAAAAAGCGGAAAAACGTGGCTGCCCCATTTATTGACTTTTTCTTTAAAAATTAAAAGATATTAGATTTTCTGCCTTTCAATTTTCGTCCAGATGTTTTCCAAAAGCGATGATAATTGCCATAACCCTCGATCTCTATTCGGTTTTCCTTACGAGGTACACGAGGTTGTATAAACTTTCGTTTCTGCTTTGAAATCCATTATATCTTAAATATATATAATATTTCAAATAGTGCTATTACCTATATCTTTCGCAATATTATGTCATAATGAAATGAATCACTTTCCCCCATTAGCGAGCAAACTGTTTTCATATCGAATTGGGCTCTCATTTGTTAGTTTTCACCCCCTCTTTCTTCCGCTCTCTCGCTTCAAACTTTGCCAAAAAAAATCGTTTGTGTCATTTTAATGATCTCATCATTATTGAGATCTCGCTTCCTGAAAAAAACCAATTTACACAATAAATCATTCGCAATTCGTTTCAAATTGGCAATTGTATTTACATCATAGATTTGTATATTTGATTTGTATATTTGATTTGATTTTTGATTTGACTTTTGATTTGACTTTTGATTTGACTTTTAAATCTTATTCGATGAAAATTCAATATTTTAGTTGTAAAAACGATTTGATTATGATAACAAGATGACCCAAGAAGGAACGAGCTCTTCACCCATTGTCGACACGGTCTCAACGATCAAAGAGGAAGAGGCACTAGTGGTAAATTTTTGAAAGACTATTGCGTTATAAAAAACAGTATCAAATTGAAATCTTTCAGTTAGAGACAGTCCCCTCAACATCCAGTCTTCCCAGTACTCCCACCTCACCCATCATCTGTGATTTTCGAAATGAAATCCTGTCAAGACTTGAGGATGCGAGTGCTCGAGTGCGACAATTTGAACCAATATTCGCCGCCTACTCTGATCTGTGTGAAGAGTTGAAAAATCAAAAAGTAAGTGTACTAAATTGTAAGTATTCTGGCACAAATTCCAGCTAGTAGTAAAACAAACGAAAAATGGCAATCATTTCAGAAGCAACGCTCGGGAAGTGTCGTGCATCAAGATGGTGTCTTCGACGTTTCCTCAGCTCAATTGGAAGCTCTTCGAAATGAGCTCAGTGAGGTCTACAAGAAGAAAAGCATCAATGACCAGGTGAACTATTACAAAGCCAGAATAGAATTGCTCTTTTATATATAGTAGATTCTTCACTAAAACCCATTTAGGCCCTACTCGATCATAAGAAAGAATTGGAAGAGTCTCGTCGACAATTGCTCATTTTACAAACACAAAAAGCAAGTCTTGAAGCAGAAAGGGAGAAATTCATGAGAGTATGTTTCAACAATAGAAAAATGTACTTAAAAAACAACAATTTTTTAGCGAATTGCTGAGCTAGAAGTTGCTCTAGCCAAAGTCACTGAAGAGAAGACGACAATTCACGATGAATGGCTAGCTTTGAATTCTTCATGTCTAAAGCTTAATGTAAGTCGTAAAACTTACTTCCATCTCTATCATCAATTTCTAATTTCTAGGAAAAACTTGTTGAATTGGATCAAGACCGAGTAGCGTTGATAACGAGGATTCGAGACTTGCAGGTGATTACAACCAAAATTTTAAAACCATAAACCTTTAGCAACAACAAGCCACCGCTCTAAATGATGAAGTCGATCGACACGCAGCTTTGCAAAGACGAAAAATACAAGTACTCAAAGAAATTGAATATTCTAATATTTAATATTCTTTAGGAGGATATTGCTGCAGCATTGGCATCAACGGATTTAGAGGGAACAAGTGGTGACAGCGAGAAAGACGAGTCAAACTCCAAGAATTGCGCCTACATGCCAATTGGTGACGTCTTACCGGAAAGACAATGGTAAAGAAAGTTTTTTTTATAATTCAAAACCATCACTATTCAGTGTCAAATTCGAAGCCAACGATGGTGAAGTAACGGATGTGATTTTTCTCAAAGAAACAATGGCAGCAACAGCTGGCAGTGATAAAAAGGTAGATTTTGAGAAGATTGAAAGTTAAACGATCAAATTTTAGATCATTCTGTGGAGATGTATGCAAGGAGGTCGAGTCCAAAGAATAGGTTTCTTACAATCTTACTTATTAATATTAAAAATAAGATTTATTAAATATAAGAAACAAAGTTTGCTTGTTTATGTCTGTCAATTCACTTCATAACTCGAGTTCCAATATGAATTTCGGTCCAATTTGTTGAGATAATATGTAATTGAATACGGCTATTTAGCCTGTTAAATCAGATTTTGAAAATTTCAACTCGTTTTTGAGCAAAGTTGAAAAAACTGAATTTGGCGGAGATCAAAGCTTAGGAGCAGAGCTTAGGAATACTTCAAAAATGGATTTCAGGTTCATTTTCTCAGAATATATTGTGGGAAATATGCTTATCTTTTAGCAATAAAAAGATTTTGAAAAACTTTTGGATTTTGAGAAAGCTCTGAGATTTTGAGAAAGCTTTTGAGAAAGAAAAAGTTCAAATGATTGAAAGTGACGGTTAGATTTCGGTTAAACAGGAAATTTGCCTCTTAAACTCAATTTAGTTATTGAAATCATATTTAGTAGTAAACTGTAGTAAATTTATCAACAATTAAAACTTAAGTTACTCATGGAAACTACGGCTCAAAATCGGTCGGCAGTTATTATTGTTATATTTTGAATTTAGCTGCTCTGACAGGATGCAATCAAACAGTCACTCGTCTCGATGTGAATATGGAAGATGAAAAGATGATACTTGGAGCCAGCAATGATCACACGGTTAGAGCATGGAATGTGGAGAATCAAAGAATGGTGAGTAAAAGAGTTTCAACGCTTGAAAATCGATCTAGATGTTCACACTCTCCGGTCATGGAGACAAAGTGACGGTGGCTCGTTTCTATTGCAATCAGCAAGTTGTTTCTGGGTGAGTAATCTTTTTTTCTTTAACTCAATTAAAAGCTTATACATATAAAGAAACCAATTGTACTTGTTAATAAAGTGAAAGAGTTGACAAGAAAAAGGAGATTTAGTTCCTACGATCGCATGATAAAAACGTGGGATATACGAAGTCAGCGCTGCACAAAGTCACTGTTTCCTGGATCAACGGTGAGTTTTGCATTTACCATTCGATTTTTAAAATACTATTTTCAGGTACTTGATCTTATCGTCAATCGCTCAATCTTTATATCGGGTCACTTCGATAAAAAATTACGGGTGTGGGACGGGCGAACAGCCGAGGCAGCGCACATTGTCGAGATGGGTGGAAAGGTGAGTAAAAAAAAATGAAAGCAGTGAAGCAAATGCAAAAAAAAAACAATATTATCCTTCAGGTCACTGGTCTTCACCGAACTTCAGACGACAATCAACTCTTGGTTTTGTCCAGGGATGACACACTTTCCCTGCTCGACATTCGCAGCCTACAACAGATTCACATCTACTCGGCCGAGCAATTCCGAACCGCTGGCGATTCGGTTCGCTGTGTGGTCAGTTTAAACAATAAAAATCGAAAATAAAATACTATTTTTATGTGCTATGTGGAATTTCTAGCAAAAATAGGGCAGATTTGAGGCAAAAATCGATCCCATAGATTTGGACATGATTACGTCCCAAGCGGAGAAACCGGCTCACTCACTCACCGCTCCTTCTCCTTTACCTGGGGAGCTTTCAAGGGTGTGGAATCCATCTAAAACTCATCTGGCATGTTCTTTGCGCTCCAACAAATGGGAACTTATGGGTTAGACTCTGCGATAGCCAATTGAAACCAATAAATGGGAAAATGACTTCTAGAATTAAAGGTTTTCTTAGGAGATATAACAAAACGAACCCTAGGAATCGATTCGCTTACTCCGAAAACCACCGGGTACAGATTTATAGCTCAATATCTTCTTTTGGGCCATCAACAAAGCAAAAGAAAAATGACTGGCGAGTTGTTCTTTGTGTGGCCGCGTTATCGCTCATCGTCTGGCAAACAGCCCTGGTATAAAGGGTTTTTGGAATCAGAAAATTTGAAAAGGGCAAGGAGCGGTGAGCGACCGAAATTTGGCTGTATTTTAGTTAGAAATTCCAAAGCTCCCAAAGAAAACCACCCGAAACGATGCGCAAACCCGATTTTATCGTTTAAGAGCTGTTAAATCATTGACAAGAGCTGTTAAATCATTGACAAGAGCTGTTAAATCATTGACAAGAGCTGTTAAATCATTGACAAGTCGATTTACTTTAATCATTTCTACATAAAATTTCATCAAAAAAAATTCGAATTCGAATTCTATTCTAATAACTTTTCCAAACGTTTACAGGTTTCACCAGCAATGACCTATTGTGCTGCCGGGAGTTCAGATGGGCAAATTTTCATCTGGAATTTGAGGTAAAGCAAAAAAAACCATTTGCTGGGAAATAAGCCAAATTTTAGAACGACAAAGCTGGAGAAAATTTTGTATCGTAACGGCCACGAGAGCACTTCGGTGCTTTCATTGGCGTGGGCTCCGCACGGACGCGGCCTGATGAGCTGCGATCGGCACAAAACCGTCTGCTACTGGGAATAAGAGCTTTGTAAACTTGCAAAATTATATAGATATAAATCTCATCATCATAAAAAAATGTATTTACAATTGTTTTCCCTACTTCATTTTTCGACGAATCTGGTCTTTTTGTCACTTTTTTTGCCATTATTAGTTAAAAATGGGTATCAAAAAGTCACGCAAAATAGATTACTTTTTATTTTTGTGATTTACAAGTAAAAGCGCATTTTCGTTTTTTTTTGAGTCCATTGAAACATAAAAGAGAAATTATTAGAAAGAAAAAACCGGGAAAGCGCTAGGCAACCCCGGAATCATTTATATAATCTTTTCTCTACAAAAAAAGTCATTATTAAATGTGTACCCTATCAAATTTTCGATCAGTTTCATCATAGAATTTTCTAGAATTTTTTTTATTTAGATTGTTATGCTGCTGATCTTTTGCTAAGTGTGTTTGAGTTCCCCTATTTGTGATGTCTGTTGACTTTCCCAGTACTCCCTTTTTTTACTTGTAAATAAAAGTTAAAGTTACTTTTCGCAATTCGCTTAAAAGATTTCACAAGGAACAGTTCAAGAGCTAATAGTGTACTCTGCAATGTTTTGTTTTTTTAAACGGTACTTAATTTACCTGAAGTTTTAGTTTCGTATTTACCGTATAATGTTTTTGGCGTGAAGACAAACTTTTTAAATTTTTAACCAAGAAGTCAGTCGTAGCGTTGAATATTGTAGTCTGTCTTTTTATAGTAGCTTTCAAACTTGATAAAACTGGGAGTGGGACAAATACGACCTTTTTTCCGCACTTAGCCCATTAGCGCACCTTTTTTCGCGTTTTAAAAAAGCTCTAAAAAGCTAATATTAACCAATTTCTATTCCAAAAGTTGTTTTTCTAGGTAATTTTAGGGCGTAGAATCGAAATTTTGGCATATCAGAGCTTGTGGAAGCGAACGGACGGAGTTATACAAAGAGAAAAATCAACAATTTTCTGTAATTTGACCTAGCCGTTTTGTCTTTCAAATTTGTCTTTCAAATTGGTTCCACACGCTCTGTTATGTCAAAATTTGAATTCGACACCCTCAAATTACCTAGAAAAACAACATTTGGAATAGAAATTGGTTAATATTAGCTTTTAGAGCTTTTTTAAAACGCGAAAAAAGGTGCGCTAATGGGCAAGGTGCGCAAATGTCCGGGTGGGCAAAAAAAAGGCGCATTTGTCCCACTCCCGTAGCTTTCAAACTTGATAAAACTCATTTTCAAGAAGATTTTATTTTGAAATTTTGAAAGTAGACAGAATAAATGTCAACAAACATTTTGATCTCTTGTTGTTTGTTTTATTTTTTGTTTATGTTGTTTCAATTGTTTTCTCAAAGAGAGGGAGAGCGAAAAACCTTTTCTAGGGTTTATCGAAACAAAAATTCGAGGTAGAGTTTGTTTTTCTTTTGCACAACAACCCGTTTCTTCGCTCTTTTCCCCATTTTTCGACGATTTTCTCTCCACTTTTCTCCCTCTTTTTTTTTCCTAGTTGATATGGGAATGACCATCGCACCAAAAAAAAATGCCTTTTCCTCAATTATTCACTCGGAAAATGAAATTTTTCAGTATATAGCTACAAATTTTTTATTGTCAGCTAATCAAAATCAAATTTTTGATTTTGATTAGCTTTTTACTTGTATTATTTTTTTCCTTTTCAATTTGATTTTGATTGATTTTGATTGATTTTCCTTTTCATTGTAATTTTATTGAAAATTTTCCTTTTCATTGTAAAATCGGCTCAAATGCAGTTTGAGAGAGAAACTGCAGTCTTACTGTGAAATCTGTTATTTTATCAAACATTTGCCAGTTTCGATTTTGATGAAAACATTACTGAGAGATGAATTGTTGAATCGTTTAGCACTTTTTGTAAAACATGGAAAACACTCTGGTCAACCAAAAATCTTTTATGAAAGCTTTGATTAAATCATTGAAGGAAAAAAAAGAGGCGTTTCTCGAAAGTTCGCATCAACTCATTTGATGCCGATCTTGAATTGCGAAAGGCGGATTTTCTTTATGCTTTCCAACCAAAACTTTATCTTATCTTTATTTCTCTTCGTTTCCCCCGAGATTTCCTTCTTTTCAAAGTCTGCTCAAAGTCCCTGTTGTCTACCCAAAAGAGAGATCCCTGGTGGCGATCTCTGATGTCTCTCCCCCGTAATTGTCACAATTAAAATGATGACAATTGCCGGAAATTTAAAATTCACTGCCCAGTCGGCAATTTCCCTCTTTCCTTCTCTTCCCCTTTTCCGATTTTTTCGCAAATCCTTCTGCAAATATTGTTAAACCGAAGCACAAACTAGAGAAAGCACAAACTCGAACTTTAATTACACTTTTTAAACTCAAACCAGCGCTTTAAATTTCCTCATTTCCTCATTTCTCAAAGTTTCATCATACATTTCAAGTTTTTTTGGAAATAGAATAATTTTACAATTTTTCAGTACATGGTTGATTTTAACGTCTGTCCGGATGGGATTTGGCCACCACGACCCCAATGTGCCCATGTTTTCACTTTCGGGATCTACACCGCTCTCACACTAGTCAATATTATTGGTAAATTTTTTTAAAATATAAAGCACTTTGTCTAATTAATTGCTTTTATAACAAAAAACAAAGGAAGCTGTTTTTTTTCAGCTTCTTGCCTTCCGCAACGGATCAACTACAGCCGTCTGGACACCCCGTTATCGTTTTCTTTCTACTTATCCGCCATCGTCAAAGTATGGAAAAAGTTAAATTGAAAACTAAACATTTTCTAGGTTATTCTGATTTGTGTCGCGGTTAGCTACGGATTTTTCGTTTTCTTCATTCACGCGTATACTCATTTGTTAGCTGCCTACTGTGTCAGCAAGGTATTTTTAGAATGTTCAGTCTGTAGGGTGTGGCTACTTTTGCGCCAAATTTTTTGCACAACTCACCATAACTTTCTTCTAAGTAGGCCAATCTTTATGATTTTGGTGTCATTTTGTAGATCTCAACAAGTGCGACAAAATGACACCAAAATCATAAAGGTTGACCCACTTACAAAGAAGTTATGGCAAGGTGCGCAAAAAAAATTGGCGCAAAGTAGCCACCGCCCAGTCTGTATTCACAAATGTTTTGCAGATAATTTTCTGGTTGATATGCTTGGGATCATATGTGAAATGGAGAAATATGCCCTATTTGCCGATCTCGTTGGCGATTTCTTACTCGATAGCCACCGTTCTACAGGTGACTCCTCAAAGCGTCGGTGCACCAAAATAGAATTTCTTTTAGGCGATTCCTTTGTTCAACTGGGCTGAATACTTTCCGGAACAGTAAGTGAGCTGTTAATATTACAAATGAAAAGTAGCTAGCTTTATTCATTTAATTTTTTAGTTCTTTCAAGAACGGAGAATTCGTTTTCTACGTTGTTGAGGCCAGCTCGACGTTGACCCTTTTCACTCTCACGATGATGATCGGAACGATCAAAACGGAAACCCCATCAGTAAGCTTAATATTTAGAATTGCTACTTAATGATTATAATATGAAAATCTGCAAAAGTTAATAAATAAAGTAGAGAAACAAAGCCGAATAAGTTCAGAAAGATGTTCCTGAAAAAGTTGCATAAGCCAATTTAAGACTTCCAAATTCAAATTCCAACTTTTTACCTGATAAACTTTGCTTTTTTAGACTTGGTCCAACTTCTCGCGAAAAATCTCAATGATTGCGCCATACGTATGGCCGAAGAAATCCCTCTCGTTGCAACTCCGTGTCGGTTTTTGCATGTTTTTGCTTTTATTCGGACGTCTCATCAACGTGGCTCTTCCACTGTTCAGTAAATGGATTGGTAAGTTAAGATTAAGATATTGAACAAATTTAAGAAAGAAAAACGACTTGGCCTAAAAACCGAACTTTTTCAGTTGATGCTCTTGGGGAGAACAACTTCCCGTACAAGCTCATCCTCATATCGACGGGGCTAAAATTCTTGCAAGGAAATGGAGGTGAAAAATAGATTTAGTGTCACCAAACACTTATCTCTTTTTTTTATAGAAACAATTATTATTCAACAATAATTTTTGCAGCTATGGGTGGTTTTTTGAACACGATGCGCACCTATCTATGGATTCCCATTCAACAGTATACAACCAGGGAAATGGAGGTAAGTGAGCGTAAAATAGCCAAAGATCTTGGAAATTTTCTAGGTGGAACTTTTCGAGCATCTGCACTCGTTGTCCCTGCGCTGGCATCTCGAAAGGCAAACTGGTTTAGTGCTGCGGGTGATGGACCGGGGAACCCAATCAATCAACAGCATTCTCAAGTTGGTTTAAAGCTATGATATCTGATATATAGACACCATAGCTCTTTTAGCTCAGTATGCTTATATTAGGTTGATGCAAAAGTCTTTTTCATTTTTTTCGTACTTCCGTTAAAAAGTAACAAATGCACCAATTGAACAACGGTTTATTGCATTCGAAAGGCCAATTATTTTTCTGCAAAATGACATTAAAACGAGTTTAAAATGTCTTATGTCTAGATTTTTTTGAGAGCCTGAAGTCGGGTGGTCAAAAAAGGCGACGGCTCGATGATGCATTTTAGACGCTTTAGCTAAGGAAACCAATCTTGATGTTAATAAATAAAAGATAGAGCACAAAAAGTTAGATATTTTTTCAGATTTTCAGAGAAATTGATTCAGCCAATTTCTTTATAGAGGTTTTTATAGATTTTTACGAAAAACCCGCTTTCACTCTCGAATTTGCTTGAAAGTGAACCCAAATTGACTTAAAAAGATGGGAAATTCAACAATAAACACTTTTCATTTAGAGCAAACCATAGGTTAATTGATGACTTTGTTATTTTTCAAAAGAAGTACGAAAAAAATGAAAAAGACTTTTGCATCAACCTAATAATATGGAATTAATATCAATCAAAAGTATGTCTTCTTTTCCAGCTACGTTCTCTTCAACATCGTTCCCACACTAGCCGATATCGCGATCGCGGTCGTCTTTTTCTTCTCGACTTTCAACTTTTATTTTGGCATCATTGTGTTGATTACTATGGTCGCATACTTGGGTAATTAGTAAAAAATAGTAAATTGCAAAGCTCAATATTTTCTAATTGTCAATCGTCAAATCTTTAGCTCTGACCATCATCATCACTGAATGGAGAACGAAATTCCGGCGAGAGATGAACGAAAAGGTGATTTCAGACAAAAAAAACAAAATTTTTATGGCTTATTTAGGAAAACAATTGGAGTGCTATCGGAACTGATTCTTTATTGAACTATGAGACGGTGAAGTACTATGGAAATGAGCAATACGAGGCCGATCGTTTCCGAAAAGCCATTCAAGCGTTTGTTAAATCAAAAATCATATAAAAATTCATATTCATAATCATATTCATATCAAAATTTGAAATACAGGGTGGCCCATAGTTATAGATGCAGATAAAAAGCTTTGTAGGTAGAAAAAATTCAACTTTAGAGAGTAAATTCTTATTTTCAAAATCTTTATTTGATATCAATGAACAACAAATTAATGGATTAAATTCAAAGCTATCATTGAATTTGGACATTTTTAGCGTTTAGTGATGACCAAGTAAGCATCATCGAGTTCATTTCAAGGCTTTTAGAAGACTTTTCTTCAAACTTTTAGCATTTTTATGCGGTTTTGAGCAAGCTTTAGCCTAAAGGATGGATTTAGACAGAATAATCCATTGGATTGAGATCCGGTGAGTTGGGTCAGAAAGAGATGAAATCGGGAAACTTCACTTTGCAAAAATCTTAGACTTTCTTGACTTTGTGGGCTGGAGGCTTGTTGGAATGTCCAAATTTGACTCTTGAAATCCTTTTGTGCCCAGTGCAAATTTTTAGCTTTAAGGAAATCGAGATAGTTAATAATAGTTTATAATAAGCCACTTCACCTATAATTATGAGTCATCCTGTAAACAAGCGGTCGCCTTTTGTGGGTCTTTTTCGATCGTCTTTTTCCTCTCGACTTTCAACTTCTACTTTGGCTGACCGTTGAAAATGAGCATTTTCTAAATTTATGAGATTTCTATTCACATTTCATAAAGTTCCCATTTCAATTTATGATTATTTTCATTCCGTAAATGAACATTGTTAAACAAGTCAGCCAATCAATCATTTTTAGGTATCAAGACGCGGAATGGCGCTCGAATGCTTCGTTGGCTTTCTTGAATTTCACACAGAACTCGATAATCGGATTGGGTGAATATTATTAAAAAAGCTTCATAGCATTTACACCTATATTTACATCTTATATTCAATTTCAGGACTGGTGGCTGGTTCATTGCTCGTCGCTTATTTGATCTCCGTCGATCGCCGCCTCACAGTCGGTGACTATGTTCTCTTCACCACTTACATCCTCCAACTCTACTCTCCTCTGAACTTCTTTGGAACTGTTTATCGGTAAGTGTTCTCTTTTTATAGCTTATTTATTATCTATTAGAACCATTCAACGATCTTTCATCGACATGGAAAACATGTTCGACTTGATGCGACAGGACGTTGAGGTGAGTGAATAATAAAAATAAATTTGAAACTTTCATCTAATTCACGATTCCTAGGTGTCTGACCTGCCAAATGCGATCGAATACATTCCATCTGATGGACGAATCACTGTAAAAGATCTCTTCTTCGAGTACACTCCCGGAACATCAGTCTTGAAAAAGTTTGTCAAACTGATGATAATATTAGGTTGATACATAAGTCTTTTTGTTCCTTTTCGTCTGTCGTTTCAAGCCAACAAATGCACCAATTAAACTACGGTTGATTTCATTAGAAAAACCAATTATTTTTCTGCAAAATAACATTAAAACGGGTTTAAAAATATTTTATGCCTGGATTTTCTTGAGAGTATGAAGTCGGGTAGTCAAAAAGGGCTAACTCGATGATGCGGTTTAGACACCTTAGCTAAGGAAAACCTATCTTCGTGTCAATAGATAAAAGATAGAGAAAAAAAGTTTGATATTTCGCCAAAATTTCAGAGAAATTCATTCAGCCAATTTTTCCGTAGAGTTTTTATAGATTTTTACGAAAAAGGCGTTTTTCACTCTCGAATTTGCTTGAAAGTGAACCGAAATTGATTTAAAAAGATGGAAATTGAACCAAAAAAACACTTTTTTTATAGAGCAAACTATAGATTAATTGGTGAATTTGTTACTTTTTAACAGAAGTACGAAAAAAACGAATAGACTTATGCATCAACCTATTATAACCTAGAACTTTATCATTTGAAAACTATTATCTTAAAAATTTCAGCATTTCCTTTGAAGTTCAAAGCGGCGAAACGATTGCTCTAGTGGGTGAATCGGGAAGTGGAAAATCGACAATGATTCGTCTCCTTTTCCGGCTTTTCGAAGTCTGTGCCGGAGATATTCATTTTGATGGGCATGATATAAAAACGGTAAGGAAAAGTTCGGCAATAGTTCTTAATTTTTCAAGTTTAGTTGAAAATGCGATCATTACGCAAACAGATTGGCATCGTTCCACAGGATACCGTGCTTTTCAATGACACCATCAAGTGAGCATTGTTTTGAATGTTATTAATTTCAGATCACATTGAACAAATTGAGCAATTTAACTGTCACAAATTTAGATATAACATTCGTTTCGGGGACCCAACCGCTTCAGATGCCGAGGTGGAGGAGGCAGCAAAGGCGGCAATGATCCACGATCGAATAATGGCACTTCCAAATCGTGAGTGAATAGAAAAATGATTTTCAATGAAAATATCATATGCTTACTAGACATTGGCACTAAAAACTACAAGATTAGACTACAGACACTTGTAGAAACACATAGAATGGTTATTTTTACAAACTGTTTTTATCAAAAAATCGAGTCAACTTTAGGCTTTTGAATGAAAACAAAAACAGACTAATCCACTATCTCTGCTCCAAGAATTTGCTATTTATAGCAGTTTTTAGTCTATTTATAGCAGTTTTGAGGTCAGACTATAAACCAGGGAAAAAAACCTTAGATTCCAGTGCAAAGATCGTGAATTGGTCTGATTTTAACTTGATTCAAAAGCCTAAAGTTGACTCGATTTTTTGATAAAAACAGTTTGTAAAAATAACCATTCTATGTGTTTCTACAAGCGTTTATGTTTTGATCTTGTAATTTGTAGCGTCCATTTCTTCTTACAGTTAGCTTAACACATTCACGATGATACGACCTACTAGTGGGTCGTACTAATAACACTTGGTGATATTTTTTTTCTACTAATGACAGGATTTTTCTTGATTTTTGGTGTCAACTCGTTTTTAATGTTTTTTGTTATTGATTTTCCAGAAAATTCTCTGTAATTTTATACTAGTTTTCAAGAGAAGATTCAGGGCTATCGAATGGCTACAATAGTTTCATTTATCTTTGAATGCTCATCAAATTATCAGTGAAATAGTTAACGACTACGCGATTGTACTCCCGAAATGCTCGCTTATCAAAACCAATTTCAGGTTATGACACAGTGGTCGGTGAGCGAGGCTTGAAGCTGTCTGGCGGTGAAAAGCAACGAGTCGCCATCGCGAGAACGATTCTGAAGAAACCGCAATTCATTTTCCTCGACGAGGCCACATCCGCATTGGACACACCAACCGAGAGAGCCATTCAGAAATGCCTTGAAAGTCTCTGTGTCTCTAGAACTTCTGTGGTATGTTTTAAAATATCCTATGGATTCGATGATCTAATAAACTCTGACCAAATTCTTTAGGTGGTGGCTCATCGCCTTTCAACGATTGTCAACGCGAATCAAATCCTCGTCTTGCATAAAGGAGTTGTTGCCGAACATGGAACGTGAGTTTAACCAATGGATTTTCAGAACATTTATGCATTTCTTACATTTAAAATTTCAGACATACAGAGCTTTTGATTCAAAATGGTTTGTACGCGAGAATGTGGGAATCTCAGTCACAGGTTTGATTTCATTTTTCTTGTTTCATTCAAACTTTAAAGGCTCAACAAATGTTCGAATAAAGGTAGCTTAACATGATTGGTTTTTCCGTTTGAAACTATTGTCAACTGATCTGTTGTGTTGTGCTAAAAAATGCGCATTTGTGAAAGTTTTGTCGTTTGCCTCTTTTGAGCCCGCATGCTTTCAATGTAGTGGTTTTATTTTGAAATTGAAAAAGTTCTCTTGGTTACACATTACATAAACCCCTCTAATACTCAATTATTAGATTCGTTTTCTAAATGTCTTAACTTTTAATGTCTAACTAAAAAACTACCGTAATCTTGTCTCAAGTTTATTCAATTTATCGACTTTTGATCTTTCGATATCCTTTAGAAACCCTCACATATCAAAAAATCTTTTCAAAATCAAAAAATAGACACAAATTTACGGTAGTTACTAGTTAATCGATTGCCGTATGGTAATCGGTACCGTATTAATCGTATCGGTACCGTACGTACGGTAATCGGTACCGTACGGTTACCGTATTAATCGATTACGATTTCAGCATTATGGTAATTACAATAGATTAGGTTATATTCTAGAAAAAGCATTAGCTGAAAGAAATTTCTAGGGATTTACACTGCACTAGTGCATTTTAGAAGTCAAACTTTATTCATGCTTTAACTCCATTTGTCTTGAATTTTTGTGTTAACTTTAACTTTCAGCGTGAAGGCAACGACTCGAGTCACAGTTTGGAAAGTCAAGCTCAGTGATTTTACTGGAAAAATGGGTTTAAATTTCTGTATTATTAATGGTTTTGTTATGATTTCGATCTAGTCTAACTTTGAAATTTGAAATTTTTCCTCAAAATTCCGATTTTCGTGTTTTTCTCGGCCAAAGAATAACCATTCTAAAACTTTTTTTTTTTCAATTTTTTTAATAATCCCTAAACACTGTGATATAGCTTAATTCAATCTTTTTAACTTTTAAAGCTTAATTCAATCTTTTAACACTCCAAAAGAACAAAAAAAAAATGGGTATAATTGACTCTCAAACTCTTTTTTTTATTTCAATTTATTATTTTCTCGTTTTACTATCCTATTTGTAATAATTTTTGGCTTTAAAATAAATAAATAAATAAAGAAAGAATAAAAATTTATCGAAATTATCGAAATCTTTTCCTTTTGAACATAAAGATGATGAGAAATATCACAAAATTAAAGTTTTTCTTTGTTTTTCGATTTTAAAATTTGCTTTTAAAGATTTCACGAAGAAAATTGAATAAATCGGCGAATCTTTTTCAAAATAAAATATGAATGAGAAGCATTTGAAAGTTTTAAAGGTTTTGAAAGCGAAAAACGCTTGTAAACGCAAGCTGTCAAGTGCACAGATTGCCTTTGTATTTAACTAACAATAAGCTCTCAAAAAAGTCTGTAAAATCCAATTACCTGTCTAACTATAGTAAGCCAAAATGACAAATATTTGCTTAACTGAATATCTTAAATTTTTAAAAATTGAAATCTTATTGGGATAATAGATTAGAAATTTTATTGGGGGTGGCTACTTTGGGCCAAATTTTTTGCGCAACTACCGTAAATACTGTGATAGTACCCCACTCCCATAATGACGGTGCGGAGTGTTGCGTAGTCTAGCTTTGAACGAGTTTTTCTCGACACTGGTTTATGCTACAATGCGCGTTTAGGTATCAAAAAATAGCTGAAATTCAGGGCAATTTTTTGATACCAAAGACGTATTTTTTGAAAGTACGGGCACTTTGAAAAAAATGAAATACTAAAAAACTTTTGCGATTACGCGACTGTACGAGGGGGTGGGGTACTATTGTATTTACGGTAGGTCATTTGCGCAACTCACCATAACACTCTTCTAAGTCGGTCAATCTTTATGATTTTGGTGTCATTTTGTAGATCTCAAAAAGTGTAACAAAATGATACCAAAATCATAAAGATTGGCCCACTTAGAAGAAAGTTATGGCGAGTTGCGCAAACGACCTACCGTAAATACTGTAATAGTACCCCACCCCCTCGTACAGTCGCGTAATCGCAAAAGTATTTTAGTATTTCATTGCGTTGCACCTAGTTGCGCAAATGACCCAGTTGCGCAAAAAATTTGACGCAAAGTAGTGACCCCAAATTTTATTTTAGAAATCTTACATTAGAAAACTTATTTTTTTTGGTATACTAAGATTTGCTAGATAGATACTATCCGTAACCTTTTAAATACTTTTAAATAATTTTAAAGCTTTCTTTAATCTTTCAAACATTCAAAACCTTTAAAAGTTTCAATAAAACTTGAAAAAAGAAAATTTTTAGTTGGCAGGTAATGAGGAGGAGCAGAAGAAAGGAAAAAAAAAAAAATGTTTCCTTTTGAGCAAAATCAAAGAATGATTTAGCAATAGATAGGGGGGAAAGCATAGAGAAATTTGAGTTTTTGCAAAAAAAAAAAATAATAGAAGCGTCTTACCTTGTACACATAGCAAACCCGTCATTTTTTTTTGAAAGCTTTGTAGAGAATTTCAATTGTTAAATTTCAATCGGAGTCCCCTTGGCTCGCTGGTGAATCGGAGAGCCTCGTTCTCGGGCTCTGAAACCATTTATACAATTTTATTTCTTTCTTTTTTCGAGTTAAAAATTAGATAGATGAATTTTTTTTGCGGGGAAATTTTTGCCCCAATTTATTAGTTGATATTTCTAGACATTTTGCTGAAAATTGAGTCTAAAAGCCAACCTCTTTTTTACAATAGAAATAACACGTTCCACCGATGAAAACAATCGAAAAAGCGACCAGAATTACGAACATAAAAGTCTAAAAAAAGAATCTGATCACAAAGTATTGCATAGCCGTAAATGCTGTATTAGAATGAAATGTAATTCGATTTTTTGAAACCCCCAAAAATCGATTGATTTCAAAAAAAAAGGTAAGAGGGGATCACATAAATCAAAGATTTTAGAATTCATTTAAAACTATTTTAAGCGATAGCCCTTTATCCAAAAAGTACAAAAGAAAAAACACGTTTAAAAGGGAAATTATTTTCTTACCCGGGTAAGAAAATAATCTCTAAAAAATCTTCAAAAAAATTTCCAAAAAAATTTTCAAAAAAAATCCAAAAACCAAAAATGATTTTTCTGTTTTTAAAAATAACATTTTAAAGTTGACTGCCGATAAAATATTAATAGATCTAGATAGATTAATAGATCTAGATAGATTAATAGATCTAGATAGATTAAAAGATCTAGATAGATTAAAAGATCTAGATAGAGGTCCGAAATTGAATTTGAATACACTCTCACAAGGGGAGGGGCACCATCCGCGCGAAATAAGGCAAAAAATTGTTTTCTATAGGATTTTTACGTTTGAATAGCCATTTGACGCAGAAAAAATGTGCTGAATTCAATGGTGAAAAAAATTATCAAAACCCGTCTTGTATATTTTTTAAAATCGCATTTTTATCAAAAAATTCATTCTCATTTTACACAGAAACGGCCAAACTCACCTGCATTTGGCCCTCCACTAATCGATGATAACAAAAAAAAAATTAGGAAAGGCCAGGGAGTAGACTTTGTCAAAATGTTGTCTGCGGTCATTTTGCGACCAAAACGAAAATCCAAAATCAGATTTTAGACCCCTCCCCTCCCCGGTTTTAGATCTAGATAGATTTTAGAATCCATAGAGTTCTCTCACAAGGGGGGCGGGGGTCTAAAGTCAAGTTTTCGAGGGATCACGGTGGTGTCATTCTAATACAGCATTTACAATATATTACGAATATTACGACAAAATACTTTATCGAATAACTAATTTGAATATTAGCGTTATATTTTTGTTTTTTTTTTTATTTTACCACAAGTGTGCTTATCCGCTCGACAGCTGCCAGAATTTTTCGTGACGTGTCGAAGTTCTCGTGGAATGTCCCTAGAAAAAAAAAGAAGTAAAGTTTCGATAATTTTCTATAATTATAGTATATTATTACCGTAAATACTGTAATAGTACCCCACGCCCATAATGACGGTGCGGAGTGTTGCGTAGTCTAGCTTTGAACGAGTTTTTCTCGACACTGGTTTATGCTACAATGCGCGCTTAGGTATCAAAAAATAGCCCTGAATTTCAGCTATTTTTTGATACCAAAAACGCATTTTTTGAAAGTACGGGCGCCTTGAAAAATACTAAAAAACTTTTGCGATTAGCGACTACGCGACTGTACGAGGGGGGTGGGGTACTATTACAGTATTTACGGTAGTATATTATTAGTATTTTATTAGTTTACTAACATCACTAAGGCAATCTTTTTTTTCCAAATACTCACATAAAAGCCCATTGAGCATCTCTCGTTGCTGATCGCGTCCATGCTGAGAGGCGTAGGTCTCATACCTGTCAAATTTCGTTCTAGTTATAGAAAATTTTAAAGCACTTTAAAGCAAAATTTTAAAGTTCTAGTTATAGAAAATTCTCAAGTAAAAATTCTATACTTTGTAAGCTATTATTATTATTATTATTATTATTATTGGGTTCGGGACTATGACTCGGCGGACAAAATGTCATATGTGACAGTTTGAGCACTTTCTTCAAAAGAAACCCATTTTGGTGTCAATGGAAAAGTTGTAGAGGATCAAAAATCAAGCTTATATCCAAATTTTCAGAACGATTCAAACACTGGTTTTCAAGAAATGCGAAATTTACGAATTTTCACAAAACTTGCATTTTAAGCGAAACTACTAAGTGTATCTTGTTGCAAATTTGGCTATAAGCCTCATTTTTGATTCTCTACAACTTTTCTATTGACACCAAAATGGGTTTCTTTTGAAGAAAGTGCTCAAACTGGGACATCTCCAGTCCTCCATTTTTGAGTCTCACACTTGTCTCACACACAAACCAAAATCCTACTACGAAGGAGGAATCCGCAAATTGCCTGTAAAATGGGCAGAAGTCGTCAATAATAATGGAAATTATTTGGAATGAATTGATGGTTTTATGTTCAATAAATTTGCCTTTCTTTTGTCCGCCGAGTCATAGTCCCCAACCCAATATTATTGTTACTGTTATTGTTATTATTGTTGCTATTATTGTTATTATTATTGTTATTATTGTTGCTATTATTGTTGTTATTATTGTTGCTATTATTGTTGCTATTATTGTTGCTATTATTATTGTTATTATTATTGTGATTATTGTTACTATTATTGTTATTATTGTTGTTATTATTATTGCTATTATTGTTGCTATTACTGTTGCTATTATTCTTGCTATTATTGTTGCTATTATTATTGTTATTATTATCATTATTATCTATAAATTTTTCACCTATGATCCTCTCGACCCATCGTCACTCTGGAAAATCTCTAAAACTACAGCTTTAAAGCCTTCAATTGCTCATGAAGTTGCGAATTTTTCTGGAAATCAATTTGAATTTAAATACAAATTCAAATCAAAACTAAAAACAAATAGAAAAAAATAAAAAATATTTTCTGTTTTTGACAACCAAAGAAAAATGAAGAGAAAATTTGTGAAGAATTTCTGAAGAAAGGCGTTCAATTGAAAGAAAAATCATCTTAAAATGATATGAGAAAATAAGAAACATTTTTAGGAGGGATTTTTTTGAGAAAAGTCAGCAAAAGAAGGGGAAAAATTCTCGGGGATTCGGTGAGATGTCAACACAAAAAGACATGCACACACAAAAAGCCACAAAATAACGAGGTTAGACCTTACGTCTTGGCTGAAAGGGAAAGAAATTTAGAAAAGAAAAAGAAAAGAGATTCAGCTTAAAAAGGTGAATAGTTTTTTTCGAATTGAGCATTCATTACTTAAAATGATCAGCTTTTTGATTTGGATTTTGGCTAGCTTGCTTCTTGGCCAGCTTGCTTCTTGGCCAGCTTGCTTTTTGACCAGCTTGCTTCTTGGCCAGCTTGCTTTTTGACCAGCTTGCTTCTTGGCCAGCTTGCTTCTTGGCCAGCTTGCTTTTTGGTTAGCTTGCTTTTTGGCCAGCTTGCTTCTTGGCTAGCTTGCTTCTTGGCCAGCTTGCTTCTTGGCCAGCTTGCTTCTTGGCCAGCTTGCTTCTTGGCTAGCTTGCTTCTTGGCTAGCTTGCTTCTTGGCCAGCTTGCTTCTTGGCTAGCTTGCTTCTTGGCTAGCTTGCTTTTTGACCAGCTTGCTTTTTGGCGAGCTTGCTTAAAAAGATAAGCTTGATCTTTCTATGCTTAGGTAAGCAATTGTTTATTGGCCAAGTTAATGCCAAATCGAAATCACAAAGAATATTCTAATGTTGGTCATATTTTTCGTTTCTATTGTAATCTATTTTCAAATCTTTTACATTACACCAGCTATCCAGATAATCGTTTGGTCTTTTTCAGATCCAAATACGATTTTGCAACAAATATCTAAAGCTCAAAATCATTAGAAATTTTAGAGCAAAACTAATAAATTTAAATTTAAATAAAATAAATTCAAAAGAAAACCAAAAATCTAGTGTACAGTTATTTTGCAAATATGAAAGGAGAGGCTAAAATAATTTATTATTGGTTGTCCATTGTCCACCAAATGGAATCTCGGCCGCTCTCCTGGCTTTTCCCCAATCTCTTTTCAACCAAAAAAGAATCCCAAATAGCTGAGATCTTCTCTTTTTTTCCCCAAGTCTCTTTTTAGCTGCCAAAAGAATCGACTTTAAAATTCAAAGAGGTGTGTGCGTCGTGAGGAAGATTCATTCTCACTAGCAACACTCATTGACGACAAATTTAGTAGTAAAGAAGTTAATTGAGTAAATGATTTGAGAAAAATATAAAAAACGTTGTTCTTTTCGCTTGGGTTATACTGTGTGATAATCAATTGTAAGAAATGGAGAAAAATTGGAAAAATCACTTCAAGATTAGCAAAAATTATTGATTTTTCTTTAGAAAATATAGAAAAACGAACCCTGGCAATCGATTCACCGACCTTGAAAACCCCCCGGGTACAGATTTATAGCTCAAAATCTTTTTTGGCCATCTACAAAGCAAAAGAGAAATCCTTATAAATGACTGGTGAGGTGTTTTTTGTGCGGAAATGTAATCCCTCTCCATCTGGCAAACCGCCCCGTATAGGGTCAAGAATTTTGAGGAGTGGTTAAGGGGAAGGAGCGGTGGGCAACTGAGCTTTCTCGCTTTCTCGTCGTGTCCAGGGTGTCCAATTTTTTTTGGGAAAAATTGAAGCAGGCATATTCAGTTTAATTCAAAACTGGACTTGAAAATCTTCAAGGGATTAGAGCTTATCTTTTAGGATGTTCATCCCGAAGATAAGTTTCGAAATTGAATTTGAATACATGAATCCTGCAAAAGGTAAATAGAATAAAAAAGGGGAAAAATGGCGAATGTAAAGCCGGCTTCTTGACAATAGTAATAGTAACAATTTCTAATAGAATCAAGAATATTTAACGAAAAAAAGGGAAATAGCAAAAGACCACAAAAGGGCTGAGCAATTCCTTCAGCTTTCACCCAATTGAAAGCTTACTCGGCAAAAGGTAAATAGAATGAAAAAGGGGAAAAAAAAGGCACAAAACCTAGGCATTCGTCTATAGTGGTTTCCCCACAAAATGCCACTTTAAGGGTAAAAAAAAATAGAAGTGGAGGGATTTTTTTCGAGAGTGAATGTTGCGGGATTACCCACGTCGTCCCTGAAAAAAAAATGACTGCTTTTTTTGGGTCTTTCGTAGTAGTAAAAGTGTTTCCTCCTAACTTTTTTTGAGCTTTGTTCATTTTTGTTAAAACATTTACTAAACGTTTAAACCAAAAATCACTCTCGCTTTTAAGAATTTTGAAATCCGTCAAAGGAAAGGAGCGGTGGGTAACTGAGCTTTCTCGCTTTCTCGCTTTCTCGTCGTGTCCACGATGTCCAATTTTTTGGGAAAAACTGAAACAACCATCTTCAAACCGGACTTTAAAATGTTCATGTTTAACCATTAAAATTCAATAAAATAAAATCTGATAAAGTTTAGCTTTTTCTGTAAACAACACAAGCATAAGGGCCAAAGAAATAGGGCTAAAGAAATAAGGTCAAAGAAATATGGCCAAAGAAATATGGCCAAAGAAATATGGTCAAAGAAATAGGCCTAAAGAAATAGGGCCAAAGAAATAGGGCCAAAGAAATAGGGCCAAAGAAACAGGGTCAAAGAACAAGTGCTTTTTTGTCACCGATCAACAATGATTTTTTTGAGCGACAACACTCGACAAGCGAGGGTGAAAGGTTGACTCAAATTTCTTTCTCTCAAAAACTAATATTTTAAAAAAGAATCTATAAATCTATTGATTAGCATTCTGTGAATACAAAAGCAAAAAAAAATTTTGAGATTGAGAAAGCTTTTTTTGTGAAAAAAATTGCATCCTCAGCTACAAAACACCTGTCTTTCCCCCTTCGATTGAAAAAAAAACCCGCAATACATCGCATGAATCGTCAAGGGAAACGAAATTTTTTTTGTTTCTTGTTTTCAGATATTTTTAGCAGATAATAAAGTAAAATAAAGAATGGCAAAGAAAGATTTCCTTTAATAAGCACCTCCTTAACTTCAGACGCCTTGTTCTCAGCCCCATTTTGACATCTTCTTATGTTTAATATACCAAAAAATACCTCTTAATGTCTTCTATCTTTTGGTATATTAAACATAAGAATAGATCAAAATGAGGCTGAGAACGAGGCGTCTAAAGTTAGTCGAGGGGACCGCCCCGCAATCCTCTAATAACCGCCCCGCAATCCGATCAACTTTAGACGCCTCGTTCTCAGCCCCATTTTGACATCTTCTTATGTTTAATATACCAAAAGATAGCTCTTAATGTCTTCTATCTTTTGGTATATTAAACATAAGAATAGATCAAAATGAGGCTGAGAACGAGGCGTTTAAAGTTGGGGGCTTATTAGAGGAAATCGGGTAGCTTGTCAGAAACTAAAGATGAGTTTGAAAGGAAGCTATTTTCTAATGCTATTTTTTAGATCTACTCGGTGTGAATGATGATAGATTTCATTCATTTTGATAATTGAGCCCATTGGCTTCATCGATGAAGATCGAAAAGAGCCCCAAAAACAAAAAAAATCCCACGAGGCGTCACCAATTAGGGGAAAGTAATTTCCGAATGCTCTTTTCTCTTTTTGATCACAAAAAAATGAGCGAATGAGCTATGAAGAGCTCTTTTGAAAAGAGAGAATTTATCTATTTATCTTTTTTTTAAAAAAGAACCTTTTCAATTCTTCTACATTGAATTTTAAAAAGGTTATTTGGAGATAATCTTTTTGAAATTCAATAGAAAAGAATCAATAGGGTTTTTCAAAAAAAAAAAAGAAAGCTTTTAGAAATTTCTTGATATTAAAAGAAGAAAAGTTTTCATTTCTTTTATTGTTTATTGTAAAATTGTATTGTAAAATAATGTAAAATTTAAAAATGTAAAATTTCTTTTATTGTATTTTACGATTCTATTTTAGAATCGATGCTGTAAAAAAAGAAAAAAAAAAAGAAAAAATTTTCAATTTACAATAAAGATTACAATAAAGATAGAAAAGAAAATTTGATTTTAAAAAGTTTTAAAACTTTTTAAATAACTTTTTAAATAACTTTTTAAATAACTTTTTAAATTGCAATTTCTGAGAAAAAGTTGGTAAAAAGCTGGCAAAAAGGTGTGAAAATATAAGCGAATTAAATTGCTAGGTGTTTAAAGAGTAAGAAAAAAAGGGGGGGGGGACGGGAAATGGAGAAAATGGAGAAAATGGGCATTTTCAAGCTAATCGCTAGATGAGTCTCTTTTAAGAGTGCCTCCATTTGCAAAAAAAAGAAAGAGTTGAAGAAAAAAAGCAGAGAAAAAAGAGAAAAAAGAGAAATGGTGATGTTTCACTCGTTCACTTCTTGATTAATTTCTTGATGAAAGGCGATTTGAAATTGAGAAATTGAAAGAAAACACGAAATCTCTCATTTTTGAGCGTTTCTCTGCGGAAATTATGGAAAGCTCGAATTGGAAAAGGAAATTATAAGAGAAAAAACATCAAATAGAAAAGCTTTAGCTATACTTTTAGCAAAAGAAACTTTAGAAAATCGATTTTTATCCACAAAATCTACTAGAAAAACAAAAAAAAGGCAAAAAAGGCAAAAAAAAGCTTGATATTAAAGTAAAGTCTATTTATTCGACACGAATAATGAATTAGAACACAACGGAGGAAATTTTTACCCTTATTTACCCCTATTACTCAAATTTCGTTAAGAAAAAAACCGATAATGATGGGAAAAAGAGTCAGTTTTTCTGGTTACCGGGATCGAATCTTTGACTAGACTAGACTAAAAGACAAGACTCCTATCCGGTCGACTACGACGGCTAC